CCCTGCCTTCTAGCCGCGTGGCGTTCATCGAACAGCTCTGGCCGCTTGTCGAGCAGGCTAATGCCGAAATCCCTGCTCATGGTCGACTCACAAAGGAGTTGGTGCTCTTTGTTGAGCCTGACCGGCCCTTGTTGAGGACTTCCAAGGGCACTCTTCAGCGACGAGCCAGCGCACGGTCCTATCTCAAGGAACTCAACAGTGCATACCAGGCGTTAGAGGAAAGCTCTGGCTCTGCATTCGTTTCTACCACTATAGATCTCGACAAGGGAGATGTGGATATACAATCCGATCTTCGAGATCTCTTGGAGAATATCACCGGGTTGAAACCCTCTGGCGATGCCGATTTCTTCGCGCACGGCATGGACTCCCTCCTCGCGCTGAAGGTGTTTCGCGCTCTCAAACAGTCCTTGTCCCAGTATCCAGAAGTAGTCAAAAGACTTTACTCAAGCTTGATCTACAATCATCCAACCGTGGAGACACTGGCACAAGCTCTATCTGGTCTACGAAAGAGTGCAAAACCCGCTGGAAGAACTGGCAGTGCCACCACTCAGGGTACGACAGAGGACGAACAGCAGCGTCGAGACAAGATTCGCAAAACGATAGAAAGATATGCCACCACCACCAGCCCGCCACCTCGCACTCCATCTGATCAGTGCCAGAGTGCCGTGAGTGCCGCGAGTGCTCAGATGCAAATGTTGTATCCCTCACGCTGCTCGCCGTCGGGTCGGCATGTCCTCTTGACCGGAACAACAGGCGGCTTTGGCACCTACATTCTTGCAGCTCTGCTTTCCGACCCATCAATCTCACACATCTACTGCCTCAATCGCTCCGCCGACGCCAAAGAACGACAAATTGCAGCACACGAATATCACGCACTCATCTCACCTCTTGATCCCCCATCCCGCGTCCGCGTAACTTTCTACCAGGTAGATTTCTCGCGCGAGAACCTGAATCTAAGTCCAGAGGTGTACAATCATCTCCTCACCCACACTACTGATATCATCCACAACGCATGGACCGTCAACTTCAATCAAAGCCTCGCATCATTCGCACCGACCATGCTCTCTGGCCTACGAAGTCTCATTGATCTGGCCATCCGCGCCCGCGCTCCAGGGCCACACAAATCACGGTTCACATTCATATCGAGCCTGGGCACGATGGTTCGGTGGAAAGCCGCCGGGCGCTCTGGGGCCGCATCAGAAGAAATAAATCATGACATCGACGTCGTTGAGAGAATGGGTTACGCCGAGTCGAAATACGTGGCTGAGCATATTCTCGCTGACGCCGCCAGAACGCACGGTTTACACGTCAATATTGTCCGCGTGGGGCAGATCGCTGGGCCGGTCAAGTCAGGCGAGCGAGGATGCTGGAATCGAGCAGAGTGGTTGCCGAGATTGATTGCTAGTTCTGCAGAGTTGGGCATGTTGCCGGACAGCTTGGGGGCGAATGAAATCATTGATTGGACTCCTATTGATGTGCTGGCGGCAGCGTTGTTGGAGATTATACTCCCTACACCGTCTGCGGATCATTTGGAGACTGATACTGAGACTGAGAATGTTGGCGTTGGTGTTGGTGTTGGCGTCTATCATCTAGTCAATCCGTCCAGGACAACGTGGGAAAAACTATATCCAACGGTGCTGGAGCGACTTTCACAGGCAAGGGGCCCGGGTCAGGACCTCCAACTGGTCAGCTACGATAAATGGGTTGCTGGTCTTGAAGAGTCAGGAGCAAGGAGCCATGCAACGACAACGACAACGGCGATGGAGGTGGACAGAAATCCCGCCTTCAAACTGTTGAGCTTCTTCCAAAGTTCAGCTACTACTGGTACGAGCGACATGACCACGGAATACTCCACAAAGAAGGCACAGGAACGAAGCCCAACGCTGAGGAGCTGTGGTCCTGTTACTCGAGCGTGGATGCAACTTTGGCTAAAGCAATGGGGCTGGTAGTTTGTATCACTCGTTGAGGTCGCCGAGAAATACACGACCTGTGTCCCAATATCCCATAGTTAGAATCCCAACCAAAAAATCAAGCAATTGTATGACAACGGACGATTCCGGCCCGGATGATCGGTCTGGATATGTTCGCCGTCTTTTTGGTTTCTTACTCATATTCCCCAGTCTTTAGAATAGCCGCGTGGTTTGGCTACACACACTGGTCAGTGGACATCACAAGCCGTACCGGAAGCCATTATCCCGGCGCGAGTTGAATTGCCACTCCGGTAAGGGTAGCGCCTAGTAAACCTGCATTACTAGTACTTCCATCAAGAGTAAGAGATTAAATTAGGGATATACCATGACTGTTCTGCAAACACGTTTTCACTGCCTGGCAAGCCTGGTCGAGCCTCGTTAGCCAAATCACTCTCGATTGAAAAATGCCTACCAAGGCGCCTGCACCAGGTAAGGGCAACATGTGGACCCAAGCAAGACCGAGGAGGACGGACCCTGGCTTATGTCTCTTCGATAGCCGTCATCGCTTTCACGTCCAAAACGCACAGTGATTCCTATCCAGAAATCGATCCTTCGGCATTAAACCAAGATGGGAGACACGTTATGATCGCCGGTGCCTCTAGAGGGATAGGTCGAGAGATGGCACTCTCTTTCGCGAAGGCTGGCGCGTCCGCTATCGCTGTTGGTGCTCGATCCGATCTTTCCACATTGGTCAAGGAGATAGAGGCCGTTGCTGTCCAATTCAACAAGCCTAAGCCCAAGGTCGTCGCGTTGATGTTGGACGTGGCGGACGAGAAAAGCGCAAGCGATGCCGCCAACAAGGTCCGAAGCGCGTTTGGGTACATTGACATTCTGATCAACAACGCCGGCATTGTCGAGACTCCGCTCCGGAAGATCGCCGTGTCTGATCCGACGCAATGGTTAAAGGTACTTACCGTCAATGTTTTTGGCCCCTTTCTGGTCTCAAGAGCATTCTTGCCTCTTCTCCTCGAGCAGGAGCAGGGCCAGAAGACAATCATCAACATCACCAGCATGGCAGCTCACATGATCTTCCCAAGAGCTTCAGCGTATGGGATATCGAAGCTGGGAGTCGTGCGCTTGACGGAGTTTTTGGACGAAGAATATGGAGATCAAGGACTGTTGGCATATTCGGTCCATCCCGGACAGATCATGACGGCGTTGGGAGAGAGCATGCCGACAGAAGTGCATGAGCAATTGACTGACACCGTGCAACTTCCGGCACACACGGTTACCTTCTTGACCCAGACTCGGCAGGACTGGCTTGCTGGGAGATATATTGCTTGCTCTTGGGATATGCCTGAGATGTTGGCGCGCAAGGAAGAGGTCATTAAAGGCGACAAGCTCAAGGTTAGAATGCAGGTGTGAAGAGGTACAGGAGCTGCGGACGTCGTCTTAGATAGATAGCTTCACTGGGAAGGCAAAGTACTTCACATGGTCATTTCGCAGCCTCCCCCTTAGATAGACATTAAGCTCCAGGCCTGAGACTTCTATCACCTTCACGCGTATCCCGGCAGCAAGAGAGTTGAGTCTTGACCCTTGCAGTCGAGCTAGTTGGAGATGCGGGCACCTACTGGGTACATATAAAAGCGGCGCGGTCTGAAAGAGTCGCACGTGAACTGCGAGCTACAGTTCAGTACGTCATAAACAAAAACGCGGGACGCCCAGCTGCGGAAACATGATGTATCGGACTGCGGTCATGCAATCTCTGTTCACCCTGTTGCGCGCGGTCATAGGAGCCTGCTTCAAGACATCTTGCTGAGCTGAGATCGATACAGATTGCGCGCAATACTGATATCTACCATCTTCTCTCTATCACACAAAAGCAGTCAGTGGTCCCGACATGAAGAGACGCATCCCCTGTTAGCTGTCCTCTCTCCACAGCAATGCCGCGTTGCTAGCAACATGATCCTGTCGAGGAGCCTTCGAAGCTCCTTTGGGCGACAGCGGTCCCCATTGGCAGCCAGCTTCCAGAAACAACTTATCTACACAGGCGAAGTGACACGACCGAGACTGGTTACGCCTACGCTCTCAGACGGACTCGGAAGAAGGCGAGCATCCTCCGAGGCGGGAGACGACGAGACCGGCCACATTCAGACAGCGAAGAATGAGGGCATATTCTTCTTTGACAGTGAGTACCCAGATAAATGTGGCTCCTACCTCAGCGCATCTGACTGATCTATCCTAGATGTGTTCCCACAAAAAATCAACTGCTTTACAAGATGTGAACGCTCCTGTTACCTACCGCCGTACGAGTTGGTGCCCATGGCTAGATGCCTCGCCCCAGTTCACTACCTTAATAAATTAGGTAGTGGATGACTTCTATACGAAACTTAAATCTAGTATATAGAAGTTTCAATCCTACATAGTTCGAAACATATACTAAACGTTTAGTCCGGACAGCTGTTTACGCAAGATGGTAAAACTAGCTTTAGGCCTGGTTTTAGCGGCGTAGCTTATTAAGAGACAGTCCGACTAGGACAATCTAGTCTATGGTGGGGGAGATGTAGCTATGGACATTTTTATGGCAGTCTCGGCTTCACGGCACACGCACGCACGGAGTCAATATTTTCACCACGCAAGCGATGTGCTAGTTGCATATCCTAAGACTGAATCGTGACTCGCTTAGCGTGAATTACACATAGATTAGTGTCCTCAAAAATTAATACGAGGTACGATTCGGTGGCTTCTTAGAAGGCTCCAATAGTAGATGACTAAAATCGGAGGGCTGGTGTGATATCATGGGTAATTTCTCGAATAAGGCGTTAGAATAGCTGTCACGGCCTGCCAAGCCTTCCCTGGGACCAGTTAAGCTATCCTGGGAAGCGCCATTGCTATGGGCTCTAGAAAGGGGGTAAGAGGAGACGGGAAAGACAAAGGCAGAACGTTGGAACCCATAAAGGAGGGTAGAGGAACGATTCTTATACCTTAGGCATAGGTACTCCAACACAGCAATAGGCTCCCGTGCTACCCTCCGGATAGAGTAAGTTGTCTACCTACTTGATCGACGTCCTGTCCGATGCATCAAACCGGTTCTAGAGGGAATTAATATTAAGGGGCCAATTGTATGGTCGGTCGCGCTTCTGACGCGCTCTCCCGCTCCTTAAACTCGCAGTCAACTTAAGGGACGTAGGCGTCAGAGAGCTCTCCGGTGGAGAAGTTCTCTTGTGTAAGTCGCGGATTGAACGATGGATCCAGCTGTGGCTATACAGGCTCTTGTTGTGTCGCCGGCGTCATACACTCTTCGTCGACGGATGGAATCTCGGCTGTTTGTAGCGTGATAGCTTCGGTAGATCCCTGAGCTAGTATCGGTACTTGCGTTAATGTAGTCAAGTGCCCACGGTGAGAGATGGGTTTGTTGATGGTTCGAGCTGTACGGTCATGGTTTTTGTGATTTCTTGTCCCCTCTGAATCGTCATCTAGGTCTGAGCATTTGGTGGCGGACAGGTGTGTCTGCTTTGTGTAGTTTCACAGTTGGTGTTGGTTTTGGCGAAACTTCATCGATTTATGGAAATAGATTCGAAAATCATTTTCCCAGGTGCGTCATGTAGTATGTCGATCCAAAGAAAGGACTTGAGAATTAGTCGCAGCTGTGGCCACGAGGAATCCTTATTCAAGCCAATATTCTCTCTTAGCCTGGATTTTATCCACGCAGAGTCATCTGTATCAGAGGTAAAAATGGAAATTTTACCCATCATGAGAAACCACAGCGAAATCCGAGAAGCGACTCGCGGCTGAGTGTTGACGTCCTCAAAGCAAGTCCTATAGTTCTCACAGAGGTAGCCATTCGGAAGGTGAACTCCCCGTCGCTTTAAGAAAGAATGTGAACATAATGCAAGCAAACCAAGACGAATCGCTTCGTTGATCGGGTTGGTTGAAAATCTCATCCTTAGAAGTGCGTACATCACTGAGCCCATGGTATTTAAGAGGATTTGGTCGCTGAGCTTGATGTTCTTGTCAGCCACTGAGTTTACTAGACAACAGAAGTTGCTCAGAATGTCCCATATTTCGGCTAATTTCTCGTCTGTTATAACATTTTTGGCTTGATACTTGTCATAGGGGGATTTATAATCCAGACAAGGAGTGTGTGGAGAAGATGACTTAGTCTGGGGTAGATATATGATAGATTGTAAAAGCTGGTTGAAGTCAAAGACCGGTTTTGTTCCTTTGTGAATCGCAATGCTGATGTCACATCTGAATAGCATCAGCCATAAGCCCCAGGTAGTATAGTCCCAAATAGATAAGTGAAGGTCAGAATTCTGGCTAACCTTAATAACTCAGTGAGAAGTTTTGGAGTATTTTCGAAAGCAGCAATGCCTCCTCGCAGGTTGATGATTTTGCAAAGACCTTCCAAGTGTTTCTCGGCGGCAATATGATCGCCACTTAAATGTGCAACGTGTGCCAGAGTTAAAACGATCAGTATTGTGGGATTAGAAACGGATGTCTGTTCGTTTCCATCCGAAATCGAAAGTCTGTTGCGAAGGAGCTGAATTGTCTTCAACATCTGCGCTGACGACCGTTTACTGGAGTGACCCGAAACCAAATCCAAGTATGATTGAACTCCAAATATTACGGCATTAAGATAGGCCGGATCGAATGTTAACGGATCGAACATCGATCGGTCTTTGACGTTGAAATCAAAGCATCTCTCCAAGGGAAAGTTAATCTGTTTCGAAGTGGAAGTGACTTCAGAGGTCAGCATCGTTAGATTCTCAACACATCTTACATTATATCTGCTAGATATCTTAGGGTGAGCTCACTTACATTTCAAGACTTCCCATAGCGTAGAGGGCTCTATTGAATCGGCAAACCGTAATAAAGATAATTCTGAACCAAGCTTACTGGGGACTGCGGAAGCAGCCTCCAGGTCTGGCAGTTTTTGGACTGGCTCTGAGACTGGAACAACCGTCTTGGGCTTTCGCCTACTATGCAAGATTCTTCCGCGATTTTTCCCCAGCATGCAATGGCTCCTGATCAGCTTACGCATTTCAGGATCTGCTTTGTTCATGCTGGTGGAGATGACGAATGGCATTCCTGCCGCTGATGAACGAGCGAAAGGTCAAATCGATCGCCTGGCACTGAAACAACCGCGAACTTACCTGAAGCATCCGTATTAGCCATGTTGCTACCAGGCTACGAGAATTGTGAATGCAGTGTCAAAGCTTCACTTAACACCCCCACGAGACCATCGTTGCGGAACCATTCGGAGTTTCAAAACGGGTAGGCTCTGATCACCAAAAGAGAGGGACACATGACTCACACCTGAGGGAACATTCAAGAACGACATGAAGTATGCAAAATCTTCTGAGCGGATGAGGTTTTTATCGGAAGCTTTGCTAGTGGAGAAATTTAGCGTGCTTGAGATTGTTTCCTGTTTTAGGAATAGCCTGAGCTAACATCTCAGGTGTTCTGGAGGCCACCGTCCAATCACCTCCTGCATACCCTTGCGCTATGCGTATGAATTCTTTCTTGGAGACATCAGCTGACCTTTATGTTTAGTAGTGTGGAACCTGAGGCTGAGTACATCCTTGATTGCCGATGCACATCCAGTCTGGAAATAGGCATCAATGTCCTCTCCGCGATGCAAGTGAACGAGTAGTGCGAAAGTTTAGTCCATTCCGCTTTTGGCGGTAGGTCTACCTCGTATTGAATGCTTGAGAGATGGCCTGGTCTTGTTCCCGGTTCCGAGTACGTACACTGAAACTATATAAGTGACGTTAGTTGCTTCTCGGTCTGTCTTTTCAACATTCCTTCTTGAAAGTGACTCTTGGAAAAGTCTCCCACTAGGCGCTCGAGCACCATACCGGACTAGTACTCTCCATCTTAATTTCAACATGGCTGCTCCAAAGGTTATAGTCTTTGGACCATCTGGAGCAGTTGGGTCGGCTACCGCACGGGCTGCCCACGAACTTGGAGCGAAGGTGGTACTGGCAATGCGGGACACCAAAAAGCCTATTCCAGGCCTCGATGAGGTCAAGGTGAAAGACGGCAGTTTTGAGAGAGTTCAAGCCGATCTACACAGCCCCGACACTGTCCGCGATGCTGTATCTAGCACTCAAGCAACCCGTGCTTTTATTTACATCGCCCACGGCTCATCCGACAACATGAAGTCTACCATTCTGGCGCTCAAGTCTGCCGGTATCGACCTGGTGGTATTGCTCAGCAGCTTCACTATCCAAGGCGAGCCAGAGGACGTGAAACCTAGTGAGGTTATACCCTACATACACGCTCAAGTCGAGATCACTTTGAAAGAAGTATTTGGCCCAGGCGGATACATCGCGGCTAGACCAGGTTCATTTGCCAGCAACACAATTCAGTACAAGGCAGGATTCGAGAGTGGGTTGGTCAAGATTTTCGCACCAGATGCTACAGTTGATGGTATTGCTCCAGAGGACATTGGGAGAGCCTGTGGCACGGTTCTTGTGAAAGGACCGCTGGACGAAAACACGGCCATGTATCTGTACGGGCCACAATTGATTTCCCAAGCAGACTGCGTCAAGACACTCGCAAAAGTATTGGGCAAGAGTCCGACCATTGAAACGATGGAAAGAGAGGAAGCATACAAGAAATTTACAGAGGAGCGTCGTTGGCCTGCTCCTCTCGTGGAATACGCGATCAAGCAATCGGAGGCTATAGACCCTGCACGCAGTCTGGTTTTTGGCTATCCAGTTGGCGCTGAGCAGCTGTCGAGTGTCGAGAAATACACTGGTCAGAAAGCAATGACGTTTGAGGAATGGGCAGAACAGCACAAGCAGATGTTTATCTCCTGATAGCTGTAGAAAATGTTGGGAGGGAACTCCACCCTTAGGGTCTGTCATGTGCTGAAATAACGATTTGATTTTCTTCTAACGCAATGCCTACGTGCAAGCCCTTAAATAATAGGTACCTACCCATTAGTGGGGTTTTCAGCACAGTTGATGTTTTTGGAGTGCCTGACGGCATAATTGTGGTTTCATGTCGTTTCATCAATTTAGGCGGTTTGTCAGACTCTGTCGGTAATTTCGCGGCCTGATAACGCCTGCAGGGTCTACCTTCCAACACTGCCCTCACCCCCGGCTAGCAGGAGCCGAAATAGGAGCAACTTGAATATTTTCTAGTGCCCGCACTAAGACTTCGATATTACCTCCTTCAAGTAGAAGCATTATTGCCTAAATATACGGATCTAAGAGACCACGGTGCACCCGAGTCGTCGACATTCTTCTATTCCATCTACAGTTGGGGCTGTCTCCTCGGCCTCCAGTAAGGCACAATCCAGGTTAGAAAATATCAAGGATGTATTCCGCCGCCACGGTGGATGAGTTATATCACGGCGCAACCTAGGACAGGAAAGATCACTGTTAAGGGTGCAATTATGATATGAATTCTGAGACAAAGGAGTCTAACTAACAGTGGCGCGGTGAACGCGACAGAAGAGTGTTTACGCGCCCAGCCTTGTGCGGGGTGGCCAGCCTCGCATCGGTATCTCACATGCGGTCAGCCAGGCCGTGACACAGTTAACCAACTGATCAGTACCCACTATGTGGCGTAGGTCCTGATATATAATCTTTATATTACTTGAGGACTTCGATTCTAGCATTTAGTAGGAGCCCTTGGCCTCGAATTGGCCTCGAACCGAGTCCCCTAACATAAAAATTTAATGGCTTTAGATATGTTACACTATTTCGAACCTAAAGACCTATATGTCGAGAACCCCTTTACGTTCTAAGTAATCTATAAAGGCCTACGTTAGTATCGTCCTTAGAGCGCTCGTATTAGGTCGCGGTGATCAGTCTCTATAAGCTTAGCGACTTAAAAAAAAAGGAACTATTTCCGGCTCCCGGCTTCATTTGGCTCCCTTAATCTTTCGTATACTCTCATCTGTCGGTGCCAACCTCGTCTGCTGAATAGAGGCACGGTAGCGGTGTTCTTTTGACGCTCTTGTACGCGCCACTCCACGTCAAACTCAGTGGCAGGACTTGCTGTACTTCTTTAGCCGGAAATAATTGTACGGCAACGGAACTAAGAAACCCGCCACTGCTGCGGATCCGGCAGCGGTCCAGAAATATGGGCTACCCAGGTCGACGCAGCCGCCCGTGAGAGTGTAATCGACAGTATTTTCGGCCACCTCCATCGCCAGCATAGATATCATGCTCATTCCTGTCGCAGTCCTGGCGGCGACGTTCCACGGGAGACGATCGCGACCGAAGCGAAGGAGAGTGGTCTCTAGGACGATCGAAGACATGATTCCCGCCGACACTACGTAGCACCGGTTAGTTCAGGTTAGTGGTTGTACGGAGGTCAGGTAGACAGATGCACTCACTTGACAAGCCCATAGTCGTCACGGTACCTAACTCTGGGTAGGCCGACTGCAAGTACCACATGGCGGAGAAATCACCGGTCGTGCATCCAATAAGGCATCGCAAAGTATTGACGCTTGACCGCTTCCACGTGGGTATCGACACCCAAAACCCCTCGTCGATTGCCGGTGGAAGTCCTCCCTTCTTTGCATGACAAGGCTTGTTCGTGGCTGTCGTGGCGACCGTGCGCGATACAATGGGAACTAGCGGTCGACGGGCAAGTGAGGTCGAAATCGGACTACGACGGGCTATACACGTCAGCAACGCCGTGGTCACCATGCACGTCGCTCGTGTCCAGCTCGACAGACCTAGCATCTTTAGGACCATTCCGTATGTGAAGTGCGGCGCTTTTAATGACAGCTTGTGCCTGGTTCTTTTCTGGCGCGAAGAATTCGCGTTAAGAGCAGGATTGCCAGCGACAAGGCAGGCCGTCCCAAAAATCGCCCGGTGGCTTTACCGCACAGGAGATCAAAGCCAATGATGAGCAAAGTGACGACTCCCGCTATTGAGCTCCACAAGTGGGGGTAGAGCAGCCAAGTCCAGTAGAGCCTGGAGTGAGTTTTACATTCAGCTCACTGCTTGCTCGCAGGGCAAAAACGGTCAAGATGGCACGTACAGGCAGCCAGCAACAAGAACTGTGAAGCAGGGCGGGAATGACGGGCCAGAACCAAGAGCACTCGCGCTGTTCGGGCTTCGGTGGCGGGCCAGAGCAGCAATCAGGCATTGAATGGTAGTTGACAGCGACGATGGGAGAAATGCGGGATGAAAGCAACACGTGTCGTATCCACATATATAAGGACCGCTCGAGGCCTACGACACTAGTGAAAAAACCCCATCCTCGAGGTGGATCTTCCTTTAAACCACCCATCCTCGAATTTGACTGTTCGACTGCTTGGTATTGCCCCCACACATAGCACTATTGGCGCCATGCTACTGCTAGTAGCATGCTAGTAGCACTGGTGGTGGCCCACGGTGGCCCATACTAATTACGCACAATGCACTCACCGTGTTAGTGTGAGCCATTGCGTCAGGTGCAGTATTGGGTTGGCCGGCCAAGCGTCGGCATTACGGAGGCTAGGCATAGTATGGTGCTGTGGACTGTAAAGTGGACCGCTTAGGTCATCTCAGAACGCATATACCGCTCATTCACCAACAAGCCCCTGCGGAAAACTCGATAACACCAAGACCAAGCAGGTTTCGATCTGACCTTGCCACTGGCCTTGCTTTCAATGCCTACGACTGTCCTCCCGTCACCCAGATCGATGCTGGTGACAGTGCAGAATCGAGCTCCATGTACGCGGCGTCGGTTGCGATTGAAGGCATGGTTTGCGGCAGCTGTGTGGGTGCCATCAACAGGAATCTACAAGAATTAAACTCCGTGATTAATATCAGCGTTGACAACAATGGGTCGATCGAGTTCCGCGGCAAGGAACACCTCGACAAAACCCTCGAGTCCAGATCACATACAAGCCTGATCCCTCTAAAGGTGTTACTCTGCGAGATGAAATCTCGCAGATCAGATCCATCGACCCGGCTTCCACCGTGGAGGTATATCACCCTCCGACGTTCGAGGAATGGTCGAGGCGACTACAACACCATGAGAGGTGTGCCATCTTGCAACGCTTGGTCTTTAGCGGCATTGTTTGCGATTCCAACATTTATCATTGGCATCGTCTGCATGGCCCTGGTTCCGGAGCATAATCCCACGCGGATGTGGTTCGAAGAACCCACATGGGCCGGCAACGCGTCACGCACAGAATGGGTCGACCTTAGGCGCGAATCGCCGACGCATACAGGTGTTGCTCGCTTTTGTGGCTGAGTAGTTCAACGAGGGATCTCTCTCTCCGACCAGGACAGATCTGTGGAAGTCGACGTTGTTGGTAAGGAGATTTCAGATCCGCCGGTGGCGCCGCCGATGATAACAACATCGTAGAACTGGTTCCGTGGTTGTTCATGGAAGGGCTCCGTTGCTAATGAGTTTCCAAGAGACTGGACTGCAGACTGTAACGTAAGGAGATATCGTTCTCTGAAGTATATATACTCTTGTTAAATGGCATAAATAATAGCTCATTACTGAGGCCCTAAAAGCTGCTTACATTATATGCGTCGGGAGGATTTCCTCATCTTGATTCTCCTTTACGATGCTAACTTGTTGCAAGACTCGGAGATGTAAAAATGGCAGCGTAAACAAGATACGACGAAATTTATAGGGATTCTTTACACATTAGGAAGGCCTTTCCCGGAGACTAGTTCCAAAATGGGAAGAGGTGGGTTCCCCAGCGAACCACTCGTTGACGAATTAGTAATATTACTCCACAGTGCCATGCAGGAAGCGCATATAAGTACTTTTCTCATTCCACGACATCAATGGCACCCAACTAGTAAACCACGCACACGGCGACGATGGCCAGAATTCTCCTGCAAGCTTATGGATGCCCCAAGTACAAAGCCCGAAACTAACAGGTGCAGGACCGGAGCAACTGGATATATTGGAGGCGAAACTCTCCACCAGTTGGCGACTTCAGGCGCGAAATATGCGATAACGTGCCTCGTGCGACCCCAGAAAGCTTCGTTGATTGCGAGGGCGTATCCGAGCGTGCGGATTGCCGAAGGAGACCTCGACGATGTTGAAATCGTCGAGAAAGAGGCCAGCGAGGCAGACATTGTCATTCGTACGAGTGGCAGCTCGAGAGTGTGGATCCCCCGCTAACTGCAACAGATCTGGCAAGTACAAAGCATGTCCCGAGTTGCAACGCGATTATAAGAGGGTTATCCACTACCGGCCGATCGGCACCAGGTGAGAAGCCTCCCAAATACTGACGCACTGTGGCTGAAAGTTGATCAGGCTACTGGATACAAATGAGTGGTGCCTCTCTGTTCTCGGCTGAAGAGATCAAGAGCGATACGTACGGCGAGGCTGCTGGCAAGTTCTACGACAACCTGAAAGATGCCGACGAGATCAGATCAATCATCTCCTCCAGTCCGAGCCGTGTCGTGGATAATCTCGTTCTTGCACAGCAGCCGTCCTCGATCAAGACAGCTCTAGTCGTCGGTCCACTCATATATGGACGCGGTCGGGGGCCGGGAAACACCCGATCCATCCAAGGCCCCGAAAGTGCGAAGTACACTCTACAACAAGGGCAGGGCTTCAGACTCAGTGCTGGAAAGAGCGTTTGGAGTAATGTCCATGTGCGCGACGTTGGATCGCTGATTTGTTTGCTGGTGAGCGCTGCCACCGCCAAAAAGGAGGGGATTTGGAATCAGGATGGAATTTACCTTCCAGAGAATGGCCATATGGTAAATCCATCTCCCTTTTCTGTGATACACCCTCGCTAATGAATTCTCCGCAGGCGTTCGGCGACCTTACAGCCCTAATCGCCAAAGAAGCACACCGACAGGGCTTCATCCAGAGTCCGACAGTAGAGAAGGTTATCAACCCCGCTGATGGTGACGAAATAACACCTCATGCGGCAATATTACTTGGTACCAACGCAAAGCTGGTGGAATCTCGTGCAAGAAGGGATCTTGGATGGCAACCCTCCGGATTCAGCCTTGAAGATGAGGTAGCTGACATGGTAACACGGGAAGCAAAGGACTTGGGCCTTGAAGCCCACATGTAAGGATGTACGGTACGTTATATGAGAGCACTGGGCTAAGAGCGACTAGTGGCGAGTAAAGGCTATGATGGTATATTATCGAATCTCAATGGAACCTGAATATTCTCTTCTCCCCCCTCTTGTAGTCCGGCGGCAACACCGCGCTCTCTCCGAGTCTCTGCCCAGCATATCGGCGCCCCTGATGAGCGCACATCCCGCGAGGTATCCCCCGCCTGTCTTGTCATCGTACCCACGCACGACCACCGGAAAGGACAGACCATCAACCATCGCCACGATCGACTTCGTGTCGCAGCACGTTTGCACGCCTGGACAGCTGATCAAGCGGCTGGACATCGAGCTCGTGCGGTACATTGCGCTGGGTGAAATTTGGCCGCCAGGAGGGGACATTGGTAGCTGTTATGGATGGGTAGCGGGTTGGATACCACCAAAGAACATCGCCCCAGCATTCGAATTGGATCAAGAACACGGCTAGACAGGTAAAGAGCAACTCGGTCCTTATCTAATAGTCGGGAAGAAATGGTTACAGTGGACGCGAAGCAGGGTGTACAACTCGTACAGCTCGTGGGACCGAAGATGACCCGTACTAATCCACTATAAGCGAGTTGCAATCATTGCATTGTAGCGGTCCGAAAGTGATGATGCATTCTTGGCGATTATGATGTATCTGTGTCGCCGCTCTTGGATTTCCAGAAGAAGATGGACAATGCTGGGTAGTGCGACAAGGCGGTTTACCATGATTGAGGCAAAGAGTTCCGATTCGAAGTTACAAAGGCGCGCGGCACCATGGAGCATCAGGAGTAGCTGTACTCAATTCGTCGCGCTCGGTCGGAAAACTAGGTGAAGCAAAATCTCCTACAATCCCAATTTGAGATGTCACAGGTGTTGTTGCATTGGGCATTGGCCAAGCTTGACACTCCACAAGCAAAGAACAACCGTATCTATCTGTCAATCAGGAGAGCTGTGATGATGTCGGTCCAACTTCGTCGTCTGCTCGTCCATAACCTGCTGCGCGGTCTGCATGGCGCTAGTATGCTGCAGTCTCGGTGGCCGATTCAAGTCATCAGTCTCTTGTTCTTCCACTTCATTCTGCTGCTGCTCCTCGGGGTGTTTGTCGACGAACAAGTCCTCGATGGAGCCTTTGCCTGTCGCTCTCTGGTAGATGGCGAAGGCGCTCGCAAACTGGCGATGTGCACCAATCTGAATGGCATTGAGCAGCTCCAGCGCGAAATTCTGGCAGTTGTTGCTTATGAGATTGTAGGCTGGTCGCTTCGTACGCATCTGGTGTATCGTCATCTCACCTAGATGAGGGTATGTTTAGTATAAGGGCTCGTTGTGACCAAGTGAAATCGCCGGAACGGAAATGCCTACTTGCTTGTCTTAGCGCTTCGTCGTTGAACCTTGTCTTGCCGACAACGAAGGTGTGCCACTCCGCTGGTTTCAGCCTTTCATTTATGTAAATGATGTCCAAATGTTCGTCCTGTAATACGGATGAGCAAGTCCTCTCCCCCTTGGGGCGGCAGGTTTCTGACGAGACTTACCATCCATAACTGGTGGACGTAGTCTTCTACCAGAACTGCCCAGTGTTGAGTGGGGTCAGGGTAGTGATTAATCTTCTTGGTGATCATCTTGCCTAGTCCCGTCTGCTCGGCGAACCATTTGCCGCCCAACCCTGCAACAGGATGCCATCCTATTTGAACCACGCGCAGATCCCCGCTCACAGAGGCTTCACTTGGAGGAATGACATTTGGTTGAGCGCCCAGCCCGAGGGATTGCTGAATGAGAAGTTTGCCCTTCAATGCTTGATCCTTGCTGTAGCGTGTCAATGGTAGAAATACTGCCACCCGAGACCTGGTGCTTACAAAAAAGAGCCTACAACTTCTCGTTTCGACTGACGTTCTTGTTCTCGCTCTGGCTCGTTCTCTGTCATGGCGGGGAACGAACCTCGAACTGTTGTGGGGACAGTTAGCTACAGGATGGTTGTGCGGTGTTGACTGGATAGGGTTGACCGACGGTTGAATGGGTCGATGCCTTCCTTGAAAGTCACCGCTGGGCCGATGTGGTACTAGCGTTGACCACCCTAACCCACAATGCTCCAGACTTGGAACGGTATGTAGGCACTGCCTTGTAAGATGGATGGACTTTGCAATCCAAGGGAGTAGTGGTTGAGCCACTGCAGGCAGCTCCTGCCCCTCCAAAAGAAGTCCACCCGTCTTGGCATCATTGACGTCAGCGCCTACCAAGCCCGCCTCTGACATCCCGTTTTAATAAGTGGGGGAAAGACTCGCCTGGCCAAGTCTCGCCCATCCGTATTTCATCGCCTGCACTGCCACATGTCGTGCAATTTCAACAGCCTGCGGGCCGCGCTTTTTGCCCATTTAACGCAGTTCTCAGCCCCATCGTCACCTATACGAGAACTGTGGCTATGGCTGTGCATGTAATGGCTACGGTTCTCCCAGGCTCATATACTCCACCGTACTGCATCACCGGACCACTGATCCACCGTAATACTGCAACCTCCCACGCCTCCTTCGTTGTGATTTCCTAGACCACGCCGCCGCACTTCGAGCGGTAGGAGAATCAACAGTTCAATGTGTAGTACTGCATCCTTCCTGTTATAATAATTTGGTCTTGTTTCATTTCCAGCTACAACGAAGAACGATTATATTTGATGCAGGTCCAAAATTAAGTAGCACGGCAGTCCTGGGCACTGTGGCCATCGTCCAAGCAACAATAGCTGGGCTTGACGGACCCAGAATCGGTTCCCTGGCTCATAGCTTGCCCAGCCGCGACCACCCAAGCCTGCACAAGCCTCGTACCCTCGGAAGCTTAGGTGAGCTTCAGGAGCCTCAAGTCGAATTGCGCGCACAATACACCAATCCAGCCCCGCCTACTCAATGCACTAGATCCCTTGGCAGCTGAAATCAACACGAGGATGGGGCAGCACAAATTTGACCAACATCCGGAATAGCAGCTGGGACATGAGCAACGTTTCGTCGTGGCCGTGCATGTTGACACCCTTTTGAGAACCCTTGACTGGATCTGGAGATACGATTGAGCGAAGCGTCACCTCCAGTCACCAAATTGAAATTGCTTACTGTTCGCCAGAACTTGAAGGTGGTTCGAACATAGGACGGGAGCCACACATGCCGTCAACCTCCTCTGGTCAAAGGCCGTGCTAAGACATGTATGTCCGGGTTAAGCCTTTCTGGAGCAAGACAACGTCCGCGAACAATGCCCTGCCTTCTCCTTGGCCGGCTTGGCGCAGCTGAAATCCCCAGGCCCGAAGGAATACGAAGCATGGTGTTGAATGCATATGTCCTGCGAAGGGGTTGCTGTTTGGATCATGGTTCACTGCGCCCGCGAATGGAGACGAGAGGCTAGTCTGGACTCGAATTTGCGGCTGAAGCGGACCTCGTGTCGGCCTAGGTCTAGGCTCTCCGGTCGGCCTGCAATACGAAAATGGCTTCTGAGACTTCGATTTTCAAAACAACGTCTACCTCCATGCATAGTGAATCCCCGGAGATTGAAGGTGATTCAGGATATTCGGATTCAACATTTTTGCCCGAAGATGCTTAGGACAGCTTAAAGATACCTTACTGGATCCTCGAATGCGGAGGTGCTCCAGTCATAATATGGAGACCGGTAAGGCTCCCACTTTGTGGCGTTGAACGAACCCTCGCAAGTCGACGTCCCCTGAGCAGCTGACCGTGTCAACAATAGCTGAAGCGGTCCAAACGAAGCCGTGGTGATTTGTTTGCTGGAAGAACTGGGAGGGGTTGGCGCTGGTACTTAAGTGCCTGTTGTTCCGCCTTGCACACGAGCCTGGGAGGACTGCCAACACCTCCCAATTTTGCAAAGCTGCTTTTTTGCTGTCTTGAACCTTTGAAGGTACTGTAGGGGCCGAGATGGCTGCGGAAATTAACCTCCAAGAAGTGGGAGCACATCCGTCCTTCGAACGGCCAAATCGTTTCTCTGTGCAAATCGGCCTGTACCTCCCGGGGATCCGCCACGCAGATGGGTTTCAGGTGGTCGTCCGTATCATCCACCGGGACGATCGCTTCAATCAAACCGTTTCGCCTCAAGATTTCGACCTAGATTGGGTGGACGGTAGCGCCCTCGACCACTGGACGAAAAGCATCCCCATTACACCCGTTTCTGGCACACATTATGGTACCGAAGGCGTGTACCTGTATCGCTTTCAACTGTGGTTCACCCCTGGCGGGGGCAGCCGACAACTTGTGACTCGGTGGTTCACTGATCCATTTGCAAGGGCCACCGACGTCGGGAGCCTCGCTGCCTTCACGCTCTCCAGATCGCCGACCACTTTCGCCTGGAACGACGGCTCCTACAAAACCCCCCAGCTTGATGACCTCGTGGTCTACGAGCTGCAGGTCGAGGAGTTCAACGACACCTTCGACGGTGTTGCGGAACGTCTGGACTATTTTCGGAGCCTGGGAGTCAACTGTCTCGAACTCATGCCTGTTACAAGTACCAAGCTCGATTTCGACTGGGGATACGGCCCTTTGCATTACTTTGCCCCCAATGCTCGATTCGGGGGCCCCGATGGCCTTAAACGTCTCGTCGACGCGTGCCACAAAGCCGACATCGCCGTCATTCTCGACGTTGTCTATCAACACGTTGATCCGTCGTTCCCATACAAGCTTGTCTACCAGGACGTGAAAGACTTCCCTGGAACTCCCCAGATCGATAGTCCAATGATCGGAGGTGATGGACCCTTTGGTCCGCAGATAGCCTTCTCGAAAACATTCGCGCAGGATTATTTCGCGTGCGCGAACCGCCGCTGGCTCGAAGAGTACCACGTCGACGGCTTCCGATACGACGAGGTGACCGATCTCTTCGTCAGCCCTACCGATTCCGGTTACGCCAAACTGTGCTATGACACGTATCAATGCTCGACACGCATCGACCGATTTCGACGAGAGGCAGGTAGCTACTCCCGGATCATCCAATGCGCAGAGGCACTCTCCAAGGCGCGGGAAGTCTTGAGAGGCACATATACGAGCTGTGCCTGGCAGGACGATCTGCTCAACAAGTCCGAAAGCATGATCCGCAACAATGTCGCGGACGCGGATTTTGCCCATTTCCTGGATCCGAACTTTTGTCAATACCCCAGCACCAAAACGGTCGAAGACGCTAACGGCAAGTCGGCAGAAATGCCCGTCGCGCCCTTTCAATACCTGGAGACCCACGACCACAGCCAGTTGATCGTGTTTGCGGGCACCACAGGGGGCGGATCTTATCCCTCAGGCGATCGAAGCAAATTCTACAAGCTCCAGCCATTCGCCGTCGCGCTGTACACGCTACAGGGTGTCCCTATGCTGTGGCAGGGTCAAGAGTTCGCCGACAACTACCAACTGCCGAAGAGCGGCGATGAGCGGGTCGGGCTCCGGCGCGACACACACTGGGAGTTCTTCTACGATGAAGTCGGCTCAACCCTGGTGCGGCTCTATCGTCGCTTGGGCATGTTGCGTCGCACCTACCCAGCCCTCCGAAGTCGAGACTCGTTCTTTTACTTCCGGCAATCACTCCAGGGCACTCAGATTGTCGCGTATCACCGACATGCGGGACCCACGTCCACCGCTCCCGAGCAATTCGTCATGGTGTTGCTGAATTTTGCCGACGCCGCCGGGTCCATCACACTCCCGTTTCCGAAGGCGGGAACGTGGACTGAAATGATCGACGCCGATACCCGCACCCTCACGGTTCAAGTCCCTGTCGACGGCGCAGAGGTTTCGACCGATGTACCCTCGCATTACGGCCATGTTTTCGTGTGGGCAGGCTAGTGCCTGCTGCGAAGGACCTCGTTATTGTTTGGGGGGGGGGGGGGCCAGCTCAGGAATTCGATCTTCAGAGCCGCATGGTTTGATTTAAAATAAGTTGGTGTTGCAGGTACGAGAATTTGAGGCAGGGACGCTCAGTGATTGGCCAAGCCTCTTCGATACTCCGTTACGTACCCCTTCCCTAACCGAAAATGGATAGGGTATATATATATCCATTATTTATACAAACGGTTCGACGACAAAAGTTAGGGTAAAGGACACCGTTTCGAGGGTGGACGGACCATCAACGCGCCCCATAACCATATACACATGTACGATCTGCTTTAGGTGTACCTTGCATTGAGGCAGACAACTAACTAGGCCGCTGCCTGGGGAGTCCAACCGCTTCCAGCAGTAGCCAGCGCTTCTCCTTCATCACCCACGGTACTATTGCTCTGGCTTGCACGTCCGCCCTTGACACTTGCATCAAACCCTTTGCCCTCACCCTCATCCAGGAGTTCTATGCCCCGCTGGTTTCCATCAAACCACCCCACTGCTAGTACGGACTACAATGCAGGGCGTTGTAGCCCTGATTCAATGATTGCGCAGACATACAGAAAGGGGCTGGACGGCCGCTATGACTGATAAGCCAACCCAAATGTGTTGAGCGAATAGGTCGCCACAGGAGACACCCTATCAAGGGAGTATGCACCAGTGCTCCGTAGCAGTCTGCTCATTACTTCATCGGAGCCGACTTTCCTCTTGGACATGGATGTTTGCTGCTTTCGCCGAGTCGGCGACGGAAGACATGCAGTCAATGGTGAAGATGGTGAGGCTTCAGCTTGTTTTGATACTCGCACTGGCAGCTCTAAGCTCGGCCCAGCACGCGCTTTCGCCATCACAGACTTTGACTCTGTCGTAAGGCGGCAGCCCAGGCACTACTGCCAGAGCAACCCAGATAGAGCTTCGAGAACGAGACCTAATCCAGTTTCCCACGGGATCCGTCTGTGGTTATGTGACTCGTGATGCGCGTGCGTGGTTCGGTCAATGTACATAGGGAAGACTCTCCTCGACTGACAATGCAATAGACCAGCCGATAGCTTGCAACGAAGGGCAAAATTGCGCCATAGGAACCAGCGGTGCCTTCCTGTGCTGTGGTACTACTTCCGTGTCGACGAGCGGGTTGAACAGTTGGACCACGGTTGCCAACTGCACCCAGAATTGGGCAAATGCTTGCTATGACCAAAGCCATACGGGCCAATGCACAGGCAGCTGCACCTCAACGGCAACAGTCTGGTTTGTATAGCCCTGATGATGGTTTCGATCAGACACTGACAGCTGATCGCAGCACCGGCCCCAACTACCCAGCCTGTGCAACGCTCATCTCGACGGACAGCGCAACAATCTACACCACGATGGGATCAGTCAACTTCGCTTCACAGTGGACAGTCGCGTACTGCGATGTCTCGTCATATGTGCTCGCGATAGAATACACCTATGAGTCGTATGTCACCGCAACCACCACCATAGCACCTGCCGGCGTCACCTTCACTTTCGCACCACCAACGCCGACGAATGTGGCCACCACCACATCCATCGCACAATCCACATCAACCAGCGCGGCCCTCCGCACTCTCCCCAGCCGATTGCTCCTGTACACCATCAGCATGATGGGTCTCTTCGGTGGTCTTCACTAGACCGTTGATTCGACATGAGAGTAGTGGGCGCGCGAACGTCATGGTAGAGTCGAGGACTGCGGCCCGCCGAGTTTGATGTGGCTTTCCATCAGAACGGAGACGCAAGGAAGCAGGCTGCGATCGCCTTCATTGAAGCGATGAAGAGAAAGAGCTCGCCAAGGGCCTAGTTAAACCGTTCATCAGCCATGTCTGAGATCCAAGGGGAAAGACGGACGCCCTTCCTTTCTGCCGCGGGAAAATGGCACTATGCTGAGCTTCGTGATAAAGAATTACGATCGGCATCACATACCTCCACCTGGGCAAGGCAGGAATGCCACAATCAAAACATAGAGTGACATCGAGCCGCCCTCGGCCTGGCCTCCTCGGTGCTCCTTTTTCTGAACGAAAATGCCAAGGGATAAGCGCGGTTCGGGGGATTTATAATATACATATACTAGTATACAATACACATACACACGCGGTTCGACGACGAGAGCCAAGACAAAAGTAAACCCTTTTCTCCATCCTGCTTCCAGGCACCCGGTCCAAGGTGGAAGGGCCATCAACGCGCCCCTTGACTGCATACGCACTTACGTGCAAAGCTGTTCCGGGTGGTGACAAGGTACCACGTAATATTATACCCTGAGAAGGGGGGCAAGAAATGATAACCATCGCTTCAAAACACCATGAGAACCGAGGATAAAGGCAGATTGGTGTGTAGATACCGACAAGAACGGCTAGGCAGGTACCTATTTATGTAGGTAGGTAGAGTGTGTAGAAGGCCATTACATTCCACGTCCCCATATCCGGGGCGGACTCCCACCGTCGTACCCTCTTTCATCCTTCTTATCTTTCTTCTTTCTGTGTCGGTGAACCAGAGAATCCCAGCCAGCCTGGCTGCTTCACGCCGTCATATCAAAAGATTACCTAGGTACGTGAGATATTGAAGAAACCATGTAATATTACTTCCCGCTGCTTTCAATGACTCGAATTTGCCCCGTTCGCCCCATCCGCCCTTGTGACATATCTCATCTCATATATCTCGCGCTCAAGTTTGCAAAGGCGTCGGGACTATGCCTCCCCGCTTCCAAATTGTTGATACTCATACTCTCTGCGCTGGCATGCCTTGCCCCGATACCCTGTTGTGCACCCTGCACTCCCACACCAGCACCCATGCCGCTGGGCATGTTCATCCCCTGCCCAAAAGGCTGCTGTGTCGGAAAGCTCTGTCCAAAACTCTGGTTCTGAATCTGAGCATGGCCGGGCGGAGGGGACCCGAATGGACTAGCGCCGCCGGCAAAGGGATTTAATGTCCCATTTGTATTGACGGTGTTCACGTTAGCGCCAGTGACGTTGGTCATGAATGGATTTCGATTCCCGCTTCCACCGGCGGAGTGCATACTCGACAGCGAAACAGGCATAGTCGCGCTACGTTTCGCAGGCGAGATATTATTGTTGCCAAAGATATCACCTGATGGGGAATACGAGATTGTGTGCTGCAGCGACTGTTGCGGGTGTTGCGGTTGTTGCTGTTCGGAGGCTGGTTCTGGGATTGAAGCGAGTTGCTGGGAGCCGAGTTGTGGATAGTTGTAAAGAGCCAAGATGGAACTTTTGTCGTAGCGGCCAGTTTGTTGGGGCATCATAGGCTGCTGAGTATGCTGAGAGAATTGTGGTTGGGAATATGATAGTTGTTGCTGGAATTGAGGAGTTGACGTCGGCATCGGTTGCGGTTGTGTCTGCTGCTGGGGTTGTGTCTGAGGATGGGTTTGTATTTCAGGTTGGGTATATTGGAAATTGCCGTAAGGAGGTTGGATTTGAGATATTTGAGGGCTCGACACTTGGGGCTGTTGTTGCTGCGGTATGCCCTGTTGAAAAGGATTGTTCGGCTGGAGTTGACTCTGAGGAGCAGTGCCGAACAAGTCTTGTGGTTGCTGCGACTGGGGCTGTTGTGTCGACTGAAGGGGCGAAGAATGGGAGGGCGGTATCCCAAAGGGATTGAAACTTGCCGGGAGCGAGCTTTGCCGTTGTTGTACTTGCCCTGGCTGTCCAGATGATTGCAAATTGAAGAAAGGGTTCGATGAAGGAGATGGAGGCATCTGGGAAAGGAACGGGTTGTTTCCTGTCGACTGAGCTGACACTGAGGTGGGCTGAAAAAAGGGATTGCTGACGACAGGAACCGCTGCTGGTGACGCTACATAACCTTGTTGGAATTGCGTCGACGTGACTGGAGGCGTCATTGAATACTGGAAACGAGGGTCTTGTAGAGGAGGAGGTTGGCTTGGATAACCCCCAGTGCTGTGAGGGAATAAGGGTTGAGAAACTGGCTGGGAAACTTGCATCGACTGAAAGGACTGTTCGAGTCCCGTCTGGGATGGGCTGCGACTGGGCTGAGCATAAGGATTGTTGCTGCCATAAGTTGTGGCGCTGGTTGGAGTTGAAGGCTCTTGGGATTTGGCCATTGAGAGACCAACAGTCTGCTGGTTGGTCATGGACGTGAATGGGTTGTACGACGGTTCTTGAGGCCTGGAGGCAGGATCTCGACTCGCAGTAGGCGCCGGTCCCTGTCTTCTGGAGGAAACGGTATTGCCATTTTCACTGGGTCCGAGTTGAACCAAGGCCTCAATGGTCCTTTCCACATTCCCATTCAAGCGGCGCAGCAAGTTCGTATTGCGGTCGGTATTGGTAAAGCCCATGTCTCTCAACGTGACCAATTTCATTTGTAATTCTGCGTCTGTCATCTCAAAGCGCGCATCGTCCATTCTTGAATTATAGTCTCCAGTGGGGATGCGAAATGTGCTATCTACTCGAGGCTCTTTCTGGTGCTTCTTCTTATCATGCTTCGATAGACTGTAGGCGGAAGACGAGGCGCGAAGACCAAAACCAAAGAATTTGCCTTTCTTCGGAGGTAGAGGGGGTGGAGGAGAATCCAGATCTCCGCCTTGAGGTCTGGAATAACTGGAGGGTAAATCGTCGTCGCGCCGAGGAGGTTCAGGTTTGCCATCCGTGAGACTCTTTTCCTGGTATTTCTTGCGTATGAATCTTTCCATGGCCGAGTCGACTTCGTCGACATCAAGCGGCATGTCGGGCTTCTTGTTCTTCGGGTTGTAGATCTTGTTGACCGCGTTGTTGCCGTTGCGCCTCATGTTCTGTGGGCTTTGTGTCAGTAGATATGCGCTGAGGAGGAATGGAGATTCCACCCACCTCAACCTGTTCTGTCGACCAGGTATCCATGCTCAAAGATTTGACCTTGGAAATATGAGTGCCCAGTTTACGATGCAGAGAGGCGCAGCGCATGCAGAGGAAGACTCCTAGATTCCAGCTCGCCCACGCCGGGTTCTTCGCACCACAATCGGCGCATTGTGAATTCCCGGGCACGGAGAGCAACTCGTGAAGCTCCCGCTCATTCCGCGCTTGAGTTCGCTTGCTCATCGAGGCCATTTCGAGTTGCGCGGCCGATATCGATAGGGTCGTCGTCAAAACTGCGTCGAGCCGGAGTTCACGACATGCGGAGCGGAGGGAGATTGACGGAGGAAGTTGCAAGTTGAGAAGCTCGAGGTTGATCGACTCGATGGATCCAAGACACCTCAACTCATTGCGACGACTTGATGCAGCGTCGATCCTTTGGCTCCTTACAGGACGATTACCAAGGTCTCTTGCGGCACTTCAGTGGAATGATCTGAGCTATGCTTTGTTCGTCCATCTGCCCTTGCCGCAATTACATAATAACTGGGCTGCAGTCCTAAGAACCCCTTTCTGGAAAATGGTCCGGCGAATAGATCTCCAGCAGTAGATCCTCAACGTTTAATTACCATCTCGTGCCCAAGGAGCATATGGGCATTCGACGACTGAGCCGTAATTCCGAGACCATGCTTTGTCTGGTTATGTGCAATTTCCATTTGAACAAAGGAACGATGTCGATCAGTATCTACAGCCCAATCTATGCAACCACGAAATCAAACATTCCAAGCAGTCTTCGCACGCCAACATCATGCCATCACTTTCATCTGTTGCATGGTTGCCACGTCACACCCTGAATCCGTGAATCAAGACATCTCTGAATCCCCATCACCGCGTCTAGCAACGGAATAATCAATCCCATAACCATACATCTGCTGGAGCATGCCGTATTGATGTTCCATGGGCTCATCGTCAGACAGATGCCACCACTCTCTGCTATTGTATACCGGGTCCTTCGATTGTTTGTAGTTGTCTTCCTTCATCATGAGAGGGCCAAGTTCCGTCGAAGCTGTAACTCCGTTTACGTTTGACTGTGTCTCGTAGCCATGTAGTATATATGGCTCTGCAGTTTGTCTGATCTCACCCGCAGGCAGAGCACATAAATTCTTTAACCTCTCTTGTTCCACCAACTGCAATCGATACTTGGCGGCTTCTTCTTCTCTTTCCATGCTCGTCTGCGGCCAATTCGCCAAATCATCAGGGTGCATCTGACTGCCGTACGTTGGAGGGGCGATTTGCCAGAGTTCGATCAACCTCAACCTTTGTTCAGGCTCTGCATTCTTGAACAACTGCAACTGGGATGGGAACAACGCCGAGGCATTGATGCCGGATCGTTCGAGGGCGGTTGAGACGGGAAGATCCTGTGGTGCCTGGTGTGCTGAGTGATGATAGTGTTGTGTGATATATGTGATTGGCGTCGACTGCGGGACAACTTGAGGGGTCGGAGGCATGGACATGTCTGGCGGAGACTGGAGAGGGCCGAGATGCAGGTTGCGTGTCATCATGTTGATCAGGTCGTCCTGCATCTTGATATCGCTCTCGAACGCCGATAGTCCGCACTAGGGCAAAGAATCAGAAGGTCATGAACAGGGATTGGATCCGGACAAACCTGTCTGCAATGAGGGTTCTCTTCAAAGGCTGCCAGATTGTTCGAGAGGTCTGTCTCGTAGCCACAATGCTGGCATCTGTGAAAAGCCGACGCCATGATCTGATGGCTTCAGATTTGACAACAACACCAGCGGTTAGAGATCCTTGTGTCTGCAAAACGAGAACCAACCAGGCAGGGAAGAGGAAGAAGCAAAAATTCTGGGATTTAGGCTTCAAATTCGTATTGTACTAACTAACACACAAGTCTGCTATAGAAGCTCCAGGGAGTCCAGCGAGGAGGTCCGGTTTCCGGATCCGGTGAAAGAACTCCAGGCAGGTCGGCAGTCCAGTATCCAGAACAAAGAGCGACCTTGGATCCAGATGTCCAGTCCAAAGGAATTTTGATGTTCCAGTCCGGAAGAAGCCAGAAGTCAAGAAGCTGTTGATCTGTTTGTGAAAAGATATGAAGTCAAGGGGCAGAGGACGAGGTCAAGGGGAGGAGAGGAGCGGGGTAAGGAGGGTTTGGTAAATTGTGTGTTGCGAGTCTCGTCGATTTACAGAAGGCGGGGGCTCAGCTCAGCATCAGAGCGTGAGGGCCGCCTGGTGGAGGGAGGAATGTAAGAGATGTCTGAGATCTTGGAGCTTGGAAGAAGTGGTGACGAGCAGAGATAGAGAGAAAGCTGAAGTTGAAGGTGGGAAGTTGGAAGGGGCACCGGGGGCAGATAATATCACACATGACCAAGTCGGGAGCTGCTGATGACACGTAGCGCTCGCTGCTGCCCAAACTCATCAAACACGCCAAAACTTCCCGATGCGCGCCTTGGCAGGACTAGGCTCTTTTGGGATCCCTGCTCGCCATCTGCAATGGCGCGGCTCTGGGGAGCCTGCGTCGCATTCAATGAAGTCTGGCCGTGACAGAAGTTCTCACTGTAGAATCATCTTCTCGATATCCCCAAGTCAAACGCATTCTTGCTGACGCCTCTGTAATTTGAGGCTCTGTGCTGAGTTCACACCTTTCATCAACACACCAGGAATCTTCTCAAGCTATCCTGTTGCAATGGTATGTCACTTATAGCCCAATCAAGATCTTGCAGAATACTAATTGTTCGTTCTCTAGACGTCGATAGGTACAGGCTACGATCTCTCCAACTCCGTCTTCTCACCGGATGGACGAAATTTCCAAGTCGAATACGCTGTCAAAGCAGTGGAAAACGGCGGGACGTGTATTGGAATCCGGACAAAGCATGGGGTGGTCCTGGCGTGCGAGAAGATCATTACCTCGAAGCTCCTAAAGCCGGGCTCCAACAAGAGAATATCCACGGTCGATCGGAACGCCGGCATCGTGACTTCTGGACTATTACCAGACGGTCGTCACCTCATCAGCAGAGCAAGAGACGAGGCCAGTAGTTGGAGACAAACATACAAGGCCCCCATTCCCATACACGCTTTGGCGTCAAGAGTAGGGGGATACGTGCAGGCGTACACCTTGTACTCCAGCGTTCGGCCCTTTGGTGTGACAGCCATCTTGGGAGGCTGGGATTCTGAGGCGGAACGCGGTGTAGATGGCCAAGTCGGAGAAGGTCCCACGTCAGGTGCAGGTGGCAAGCTCGAGGGCGAAGCTGTTAAACGAGGTGGTCCGGGACTTTATATGATCGAGCCTAGTGGGCTCTACTGGGTATGTCAACAAGAATCGCTTCGAAGCATGATGCTGACAAAGGACCACAGGGCTATTATGGTGCTGCGACTGGCAAAGGACGGCAAGCTGCGAAAGCTGAGCTGGAAAAGCTTGACCTAGGCTCACCAACCTGCGCCCTTACTCTCAAAGAAGCCGTCATGGAAGCTGCCAGAATTATTTACGTTGCGCATGAGGACTCGAAAGACAAGGAATTTGAACTCGAGATGACCTGGATCTCGAGCCTCGACGGTCCTACAAAAGGTCGACACGAGCAGGTACCATCAGAGTTACTCGAAGAGGCCGAGAAAGCGGCTAAGAAGAGCCTGGAAGGAGACGACGAAGACGAGGAGGAAGAGGATGCCATGCAGGAATGATTGATTTCGCCTTTCCAGCACTGTAGCATTACCGGCGTTGGAGACGGGCGATGGGGCTTCTAGTTGAAAAAAAGAGGCTGGGACCAACCGTCGACGCGATATCTAGTTTTGTGGGCTTTTTTCGTCTCTCGCATATCAAGGCTAAACACCAGAGAGACCTCCAGGCTTGTGATACTCCAGAAGACCACCACAAGCAGGTAGGCAATGCTACGTGGATCACGTTCCGGCAATCTTGCCTTCTCCCCATCCCTTCCTCTTCACTCCAAGTTCGACCGCTGCGTTGCCCCAGTCCTCTCCATGGTTATGTCCTTTAGCCTCCTTGCCTGTACCTCCTTCAAGACCAGCTCGTGCTAGACCCTGGCCCTCGTTCAGGACTGTAAGAAGACCAAAGATCACCGGCACACCAGTGTCCAATTGGACTCTCATCAGGCCGTGAGTCACAGCGTCGGCGATGTATTCGAAGTGCATGGTCTCGCCTTTGATGAGCACCCCAATGGCTATTATGGCGTCGAAGGTATGCTTCAGTCCTTTCACGTCTTTCTTCTCTGGTTCTGGCGGGCCTGGCTGGAGACTTCCCTGCAGGTCTGTTGTCGAGTTACTTCCTCCCAGGAGATCTCCAATCCCGCTCGCCAGACTACCCATGCCACCTGCGACTGCGCTCGCCGTGCTCTGTATTTGAGAGGCCGCATAGACTCGTTGGACCGCAAGGGGGAGCTCGTACGATCCGGGGACTGATTCAATGACGATGTTCTCCTCTTTCACTCCCTGGGCTAGCATGGCCTTCTTTGCACCGCTGACTAGGGCTTCGATTATGGTGGTGTTCCAGCGGGCGTGGACTATTGCAATTCGCAGGCCGGAGCCATCGTGTTTCTGAGGAGCACCTGGCCCCTTGAGAGTTGCCATTGTCTCTTTGGATCAGCCTCGGGAGTGCGGGCACCGTTTCGTTCTGACCTGAGGTCTGGAGTAAGTGCGTGTTTGTGGCAGGCGAGGGCTAGTGAGAAGCGAGGGCTTGACTGGGGGAACAGCCATCCCGCGCTTAGCCGCAGTCGACCCTACATGGTCAAGAGGGTCAAGGAAATCAGCCCACGGCGTAGCCCACCACCACCCACTTGCCCCTCGACGACCCCTCGCCTCTCGCTCACTGTGCCGCCTCTTCTGCTGCCTATGGCTGCCCTTGCATATCTCATTACGCTCCCCAAACACCCAACGATCAATCCCATCCACTCAAATCGCTATCCACCATTGCGGGTCAGGCCTTCGACAGGCTTAAGCAGCCCTCCATTCAGGATACACCTGCACTTAGGGGTATAGCAACAGGTGAGTTTCCATGTGGAAAATCTCTGCACATGACCTAACATGGTGGACCTCAGAATCACGGGTACTTAACATCAACTTGCCCCAGCATTCCCATGAGAGAGACGACGATTACTTCACTCCTACTAGGCTATATAAGATCGAGTTCACCTTCAGACATTTCAGAGTGAGGCCAAATTGTTGGCCAATTAGCGCAACCTCGACCCGGAATATCAAGCACCATAACAAGCTCCTCACCATCAACCATGGCACCATCGGCAACCAGCGGTGATGGCGTCAACGGTATCACGAAGTTGAATGGCCAGACGACGGGCACGCAATTGAAGGCAACCGCTCCCGCATTCCACCCCGCTGGCACTCCCGATCGATCAAAGTACCACGCCTCCACTTCCGACGAAGCCATCCATGCCGAGCATCAATACGCCGCCCACAATTACCATCCGTTACCGGTTGTCTTTGCTCGAGCACTGGGAACAACGGTATGGGATCCAGAAGGCCGACAATACCTGGACTTCCTCTCCGCATATTCTGCCGTGAATCAGGGCCATTGCCACCCGGAACTGGTCAAGGCCCTTGTTGAGCAAGCCTCGACCCTCACGCTGAGCTCGAGGGCATTTTACAATGACGTATTTCCCCGTTTCGCAGAGTTTGTCACAAAGTATTTCAACTTCGACATGGTCTTGCCGATGAATACCGGTGCTGAAGCGGTGGAAACCGCGGTCAAGATCGCCAGGAAATGGGGATACAAGTCCAAAGGCATCCCTCATGACGAGGCAATCGTGCTCAGTGTGGCGGAGAACTTCCACGGACGCACATTTTCTGCCATCTCCATGTCCACAGACCCCGAATCCCGCGACAACTATGGCCCTTATCTACCCGGCGTAGGCAGCATCTCTCCCGCCACCGGGAAAGTGATACCCTACAACGACATCCCCGCCGTCCGTGCTGCGTTTGAATCCCACGGCGACAAGATTGCCGGGTTTCTCGTTGAGCCGATCCAGGGCGAAGCCGGTATTGTGGTTCCCGATGACAGCTATCTGACTGAGCTTCGCGCGCTGTGTGACAAACACAACGTGCTGCTCATCTGCGACGAGATTCAAACTGGCATTGCCCGCACGGGGAAACTTCTCTGCCACGAATGGGCTGGAATAAAACCAGACCTAGTTCTCCTCGGCAAAGCCATCTCCGGCGGAATGTACCCCGTCTCTTGCGTTCTCGGCCGCAGAGATGTGATGCTCACCATCGAACCCGGTACACATGGATCCACCTACGGCGGCAATCCGCTTGGTTGTGCAGTTGCCATTCGCGCTCTGGAGGTTGTCCGCGAAGAGAAGATGACCGAACGGGCAGAGAAACTTGGACAGCTGTTCCGTGATGGACTGAGGAATCTGAATTCGGACTTGATCAAGACAGTCAGGGGCAAGGGCCTGCTGAACGCGATTGTCATTGACGAGGCAAAGACGAACGGTCATAGTGCGTGGGATCTGTGTATGTTGATGAAGGAGAAAGGATTATTGGTGAGTTTTTCCAACCCTCGGGGTCAACTCATGTGGTTGATTGTCCATTATATGGTGGTTCTGACCGTTATGATAGGCCAAACCCACGCACCAGAACATCATCCGTCTCGCCCCGCCGCTAGTCATCACGGAAGAGGAAATCAAGCGTGCCTTGGCTATCATTGCGGAGGCCGTGGTGGAACTTCCAAACTTAAAGGGAGAGAAGGAGAAGCAGGTGCTTCCAGAGGGAGAGAAGAATGTTCACATCGGTGTGGATAATTAAGGCGGATTGTGTTGGCGGAGAGGAGTCGCCGCATGGCAGGACCATGGGCAGCACGAGGCTATGATGCATCTAATACTAACGAGTCACAGAGGAATGACGTTCACCGGAGACGTGGGTCTTTGCTCGCGGAGTGGTGGCATTAACATTCAGCTTTTCAGCCAGGGAGGTGCCGGTTTTGGATTGTCAAAGCAGTGGTTTCCCAGTGGTCATGGAGAATGTCTGTATTGATAAGGCATAGACTCTTACGGAACCGAATTCGCTGCATGGACGTTTGGAAATGTTCAGTCTTGTGTGGACAACAACAAAGGGTGTTGAGGACCAAAGTCGAGGGCTCGGATTCAGCCACGACTCCATATGCTGGCCTGGATAGACATGTATCAACTCCTCTGCTCCACCATCATCCACCCCGTTCGGCTGTCCCCCGGCCAAAGCCTCTTGCTCCCGTGGGGTCCATCGTGTCTTTTCATCACTTATCCCCGGCAAACATCTGACCAACATACTTCAGGTCGTGGTCCATTGGCGGCTTCTCTTGGTGTTTGTCGTGACCATGGCCCGCCGTATGAGCCCGTGATGGTTGAGATGCAGAGTGACTGGGGCAGGCTCCGTCGTCTTTCGAGGTCGAGCCCGTGGTTGCCCCCGTGGTGGATGGGGTTGTGAAGATTGGCCCTGTTTTCTGCCTCACACTCGCCGGGCTTCTCTTCGTGGAGGGGGAGGGGATTGAGCTGGTGTTGGTAGGGCTCAGGCCGTGCCATGGTTGGTGCCGGGGGTCTTCGGCCAGGAAGCGTTGCATTGGGGAGACGTCAACAGATGTCGGTTCCTTGACCTTTTTGGTACCTGGGGTGTTGGGGTCGGTCAATAACCCTGGGGAGGTCGCATGCCATGTCGTCCTTGACTTGCTCATAGTGCAGGTAGTCAGGAAGGGTATTTGGGAGGGTCAAACCGGGGTCTTGACAATGAAGAGGTAGCAGGATATCACACCGAGGAAAGTATTCAAACTCCTTGTGCAGTCATCCGCACATCAATTGAAGGATCAATCCCCTGCATCTTGTATACTGCTCACCGGTAAGCTAACTCTCGACTGGGGCAGATCTAGGAATTCTGATCCCCATCCCTCTGAACCCGCTCTGCGATGTGTGACACTCAGCGCGGATGAGGCCAGGCCGTTGATCCCATCGCAGTCCCCGGCTCACAGAGACGAGTATCCAAATTCCTAGATCTGCCCCAGTCAAGAGTCAGTTGCACTGCACCTGGAAATTTTGAATTTTGCTCGCCTATAGTCAGTTGTCTACCTAGGTGTACGACCAAGGACACGGGCTGGGTCAGGCGTCACGAAACGCGGTGGTGGTCTTTGGATATCGACGGCGGCCTCATCCTTCCCCTCCTCTTCTGATAAAATCCTGCGGAAGGTCCCGGATCATGTTCTGTGGTATCCATTGGCGGCCCCAGTGGGCGGAACACCGTGCCTGTCCTGGGTCAATCCAAGCATACGAGCACTGATGCGGCAGTGGAAAAGTAGCGAGGGAACCTGCCTCAGCCTCGTGGTCACATATGGCGCGGCAATCTTTCTTCCTCCTGGAGAATTTTCATTGGCGGCCCCAAAGGGCCCAGTTTTTGGCTCTGGTCTCATCTTTGACCCTGGCTCCTCGAAATCTGCATGCAGGCGCGGATGGGATGATAGGATGTCGACGCTGGCCCACGCCGTGGAGGTGGTGACGCCCAGCTGGATCGATTGGTCTGTGTGAACGGCCCCAAGAGCCCCAGCTAGTCGCAGATGCAGAACTTGGGACTGGGCTGCCAAGTGGCAGATGAGGCTGCTTTTGCTCGTTTGCACCCACCAGTTTAAATTCCCCGCCCTTCCCTCCACTGCGGCTCTCTTCGCCTTCAACCTCTGGATTGTCCTCGACACTCGAGAACGCAGAACATTGCCCCCTGGGCACCAGAACTAGACTCGAAGGTATTTTCGCCACCCCCTCGCTCAGCTATGGTCCTACACTGACATCTCATACAATAGGGGTCTCTTCAATCCTCCCGGGTGACGGTCTTGCGCGGAGACTGCTGGTCTTCGCGCAACCGTCATCCATAACAATCATTATGATCTCCGAATAGGTTATGATGCTCTCGGCCCGTCTCAGGAATGCCATACTTCTCAGGTTTATGCAGTTGAACCCCTCGACGACCTTGCTCCACTAGCAGCAACCTCGACCTCTCTTTCTACCCACACTTCTTTTCCGAGTCCAGCCAATAATTGTATTGCACATGGTCCAATCGACGACCAAGACTTCTCAAAGCTCCTCGAAGAGTTCGATGACCAGAAGTTTCTCACCAACGCCATTTGCATGACTTGCCAAGGCATCCCTGGAATTGGTTGTCTTTGCGACCTTTGTGGACTCGTGGTGCTTTTTGATGACATATCCGCGTATCCTCCCTTGATCGACCTGACTACGACCCCATCCTCCATGATGTCCCACAGAGAAAGCAGAGAGACCTCCGTTTCCAACTTGCACGTTCAGCAGCCCAACGTAGTTGAAAGAGACCCTCAAATTCTCTCGATACCTCGCATTGGATCTGCTGAGCTCATGGAGAATTCCTCATTCAACCTGTCACTGCACGAGCCTGGAGGAGTCGAAGGCAACCCGCAATCTTTAACACCAGCAAGCCTTACTATGCCCTCGGTCCTCAGATGCCCGCATTGTAAGCAATGCTACGGCTCGGGCCCTCTCCAGGCTCAACGCTTCCGGTGAGCATAACAGAACCACAATACCGGCGTTTAACGCCCTGACAGTTTACAGAGAACACCTTGCAAAACACGTGAGCCAAAGATGTGACTTCCAAGGCTGTGGAGTTATTCTGAAGAACGATCGACGAACACTGGAACGTCACTTGAGGACAGTTCACATCGCTCCATCGCGGGCTCCAGAGTATTTCTGGTGTGAATGCGGCAAGTCCTATAAACGGAGGGACCATCTCATACGACATGGTAGGAAATGCAGACGCAGTCAACAAAGGATGGCAAGGAAGAGTCATGGTTAGAAGATCCGAGGTCGAGTTATCATCGTTCGAGTGTTTGGGCACGCTCCTCCTTCGAGGTTTGGATCACCGAGACGTGGCAACGGGACATCATACACGGATGATCATCTCTCTTTCAGTTTTTTGCGCTGGGTGGCTTTTTGCATGGTGATCTCCACCTCTATGGTTTGACAGCTCCTGGTGTGAAGCAGACCAGGCTATCAAAGGCTCAAGTTGAGTTTACGCTACTCTCTTGAAAGGCCTTCAGCTGAGAGCTAGTTCTTTGATGGATTGAAAGCATGTGGACATCTATCGAGGAAGCTTCAAGGAGCCTTAGCGATACTCGATATTTCCACGTGCTCCAATATGAACTAGTGCCAGACCCGGGAGAATCCCTGACCTCATTCCAGGACAGCCTCTGTACTGAATTATAACCATTGGACATGAAACCTCGACGCCACTCAATGCCCGAAATACTTGTACCCTCTATGTCGAAAATGAGCGATATTAAATAGCAACTTACTCTCCGCCCACGGATCCTTGCCCCGGACATCCTTGAGCAATTCGCAAGCCGTACACTTTTTGGCTCCCAGATGTAGGTCGACAACCTTAGTATACTTGTCATAGGAGGTCTCTTCTCGCCAAAGCAACCGCAGATTGTGCGAAAGATGAACAGCTTCCAGCCTTGCAATTTCCAGGCCCCAAGCCCAGGAGGGGGCCGCGAGCGCCGACTTCCACAATCGCCATCCGCGGTACACGTTTCCGTTGCAGACACCCTGGAGCGGATTTGGTGGTCTTCTGACTCTATCCTTGCCGTCATTCGAAATCTTTGTCCTCGCCCGCATCCTGGGCTCTGGTATCAGCAACTGCACTGACGCTGTTCGTGGCTGCCAAATCGCCCTCAGACTTGCCGTGGCCTCCTGCCTACTGATTTGACGACGATGCCGTTGGATTGTCCTCCATCGAGCCTTTCTTGCTTCTTTCCTTGACCCTCTCTTTGTTTTTTCGCTGGTGTCTTGCTCAGACGACGTTTCAGAGCCTCCGAACAAATCGTCAAACGCTGCGGACAATGCATCAACTGCGCTTTCACTGGGCTCGGGATTTTGAGCCCTCTCATTCACCACGCCAGAATCTCCTTCGAGCAAGGACTCTGATCCGACTTTCATCACTGTAGAGTTTGAGAAGGAGTGCAAATTCCAGTCTCCATCAGGCGCTGGATCAGTGTCGGGTTGGGGACCTCGATCGCTTGTCCTGTTTGCTGGGCTGTCGCTGACCGTCTCAATATTGGTGGAATGCTCTTCGCTTGCCTGGTCAGGGCAGGGTGGCGGAGTTCCACCAGATGTCGTCCTGTCCAGCTCTCCAGGCCCAAGAGCAGGCGCAATGCCAGTATCGGCCTTCCCCGACTCCTCATGGTCGCGGATCACCCACTTCAAGCCATGCTCTTCAAGCACGCATATGAAGGACGACGACGCTTTCAGTCTCTTCACGTGTTTCTTCCGGTGCGCTTGCACTTTCGGGGACCAACCTCTAAAGTAGATGGCCTTGGCGACGTATTTCTTCTCGTTGGAGCTGTGACCAAGCAAGTACAGGTCTCCGTGGTTCTCGTTCCGGAGAAATCTCACAATGCGGAACTCAGACCCCAGTGAGAGTCCTTCGAGAGCCTTGTTCCGCCACTGCGATGCATGTTCGGGGCTTTGGTAGGATGTGGTCGATGCACAGGTGAGTTCGGAGCTCTCGCCGCGCAAGGCTGAAACCCCTTTCGACATTTGGCGGAGTTTGGCAAAAAAGGTCTATCGAGGGCAACACAAAGCACACGACAGTGCACGGCTCTGGCTATCGGTAACATACACGGGATGAATGAAAGGAAGACGGAATCGATCGTAGTGCGATAATCGTTGGGCTGTTTGCCGTAGCCAATGTCGCGATCAGGCTGAGGCAACTCAATCATGCGCTACATTGGGGCCACCAATCAAATGACTCCCTCGCCTATGCAACTGTGAGCTATCACCCAACCAATCATTGGACCATCTAGAGGGTGCTGGTCACCAGCGCAGCGACTTGTGGCTACTGCACACGTGGCCTGCTCCTGGAAAAACGGAACTTTTGCCCGAAAACGCAGACCCAGCCTTGTTTGCAACTACCTCCTCGGGTTGAAACCCATGCTTGGAGCCTGAGGGCAACACTCGGGTCTCTCTGCTAGTGTGCTCGTGCCATTTCACCGTTAACCACGTTGGTGCTCCACCCGTGTTCCTTCGACTTTGTTTCCGTGATCGGGTGCTGTGTGAACACAAGGATTCGCACTCAGTTTTTGCATCACAAACGAAGTATCTCTGTCCGCGAAGAGAGAGAGGAAACTTGCGGATATCGGAATGAAACAATACTGGTAGTCCCGGGTACTGACGTGGCAAGTCTGGCAGAAAAGTGTGTTTGTTTCCTTTACAAGACCTTGGACTCCCCGGATTCGCGGCCTGCCCTGTTTGAATAGCCAGATACTGACCTTCACCGGGTCCCTGAATCTTCCGAGACGCTGGCTATCTCCATAATGGCTTCATCAACCGCGGCCAAAATCTCTGTTCAAACCTAGTGTCCTCTCTTTAGACAGTCAAACTCATCGACGTCGTCCCAGATAGAGGCACTCAGTAAACCCATCCCGACTTCGACACCGCCTGGTATGATCCATTTGACATATTGCCTGCAATGCTCATCCTTGAGCGCGAGGTGGTTTCATGGGGAGTTCGCCAGCAGTACTAGGAAACATTGATCCTCGCGGGTTCGTATAAGGAACTTGAAAGATGGCTGTTTCAAGGACGGCGAAAACTCTGAGGTGCCGGTCGTCGGAGATCGTCCTATCCTTCTCTCGGCCTCTTGAGAATCTCGTGCCCGAAGCTTGAAAGCGCGTTTCCTCTTGGTATCAGGCTCTTGATCAGCTTCACGTCGTCGCGAGTCCCGTCCACTTGTCGAACGCGAAGATGTGCATCTTCTTCAATATAAAAAGTTTGGCCACGGTGTGGGATGCATCTGCAGCGTGCATGGACGTTAGCAGGGTGCTTATAGAGACGAGGTATTGCCCGAGCCTAACACGGATTGCTGTGGCACGTCGTGAAGCAGCAGGACCGGTGGACGTCTCCCCAAATGGAACAAGATTGTATCTGGTATGCATGCTTGGTCGACACCAATTCAGATCCCCGATTCCTGGGAAAGGACCATGTTGAAAGAATTGAAGTTTTGTCTATCTGGGACCTGCTTCTCCCTCACCGAAGTTGCATATTGACCGTACTCGTCTTGCTTCTCAAAAGTATGCAGACGTTCGACCCAGCCAGGCGGAACATGACCTCGCCGTCATCAAGATGATTGACAATAGATGGGGTGCAGCCTCATCGAGCAATCTTCTAGCCATGAGAGACAAAAAAGGGATGAAAAGGTCCCATGCTTCAAATACCGCAGTACATTGCCGAATATATGCGACGACCGAACCCCAGGGTTGACGAAATACGCGAACCGAGCCACCCTGTGGGTCTCCTTTCCCGATCGGGCAGTATCAAAACGTCATATCACCCCCACAGTTCAAAGGTTGTTCGAGACCTCACTTGCCGACGCATTACAATAGACCAGTGTTCAGGTCAGGGGCAGTAAAAGCCACCGACATTTACCAAGCAGTCTCAACATCGAATGCTCAGTGCCCGGGTACCAGTCATCGGAAGGCAAGTGAGCGTGGAAATTTGGTCCGATGCTTTCAAATGGTAATCTGGCAACGCAAGCGAGAGCAGATCCCAACGAGCCGACTCGGCTACAGGATGAGATGATTCATCTCTACAGGAGCACCAGTGTTGTACGGAATGCCACACAATCTAATGCTGCCCTAGTCTTGGCTGGAGATGCGTGTGGTTGAGTCGTCTAGCTAGTGCTATCAAACACCAGGGCTCGAATTTACGGGGCTGGCGCAGACGAATGATTGCAAAGACATAGACGTGCTAGGCTCTCGCTCTATCTAATGTATCAAGGAAACACCAGACAGACAGGTCAGGAGGGAAGCTGTTCATCTGGAGGTGCCGTGAACCAGAGAAGCTCGCAATAGCATTCTGCAGGGACAGATCGGTCGTGCACGTCCCGGCGTACAGGATCTGCATCGACCCGTAGTTCTCCATCAACTCCCCATCCGGCGGGTATCTGTTCAAACATCTCCGGCATCTCGAGTGATGTGAAAAGCAGCCTTTCTGCATTGTTCTGTACAGAAGGTGCCAGTCGATGAAATGCTGCCAACATCCGTATGACGCCAATCCAGACCTGAGCATACCTCTCGCCGATCGATGCCGAGACACTCAGTCGAATTAGAAACCACAACAGATGGACCGGTGATATTGATGCATCGTCTCGGGCTTCTTCCAGGTGTTGGCTGATGGCCTCGATACACGAATCGGTCGCCGGGTCAAAGTCTCCATGGGACCTGAGTGCCGATGTGAGAAACAAAAGGACCGCGAGCCGGCAGCTACGTTCCGTGGGATATTCTGACGTTGGTTTCTGGAGCAGGCCTTTCAGGGTCGAAGCTTGGAACACCTTGATCCTCCTCAAGTCGGACAAGCGATCCATCTCTACTTCGGAAGTAGGTAACAGATCAACCAGGGCCTTCTGACGACTCCGAAGCAGATCGCTGAGGTCCTTGAGCCCCACTTCCAAGTCTGGAGCAAAGTCGAACCCCGTCAGAGGTCCTGGCAAGGCAACGAAGGTCCAGACGAGCTTTGTGAACATGAGATAGTCGCCTTTGAACGAAGACAATCCGCCGTGTAGCGCTATCATCTCCCTGAACGCTTGCCAATGTGAGGTACCGTCCGACCCTGCCATACATTTAAGGCTGCAGAGTAATGCCGTGCCGAGAATGACGCCTGTGTTGAGAGTGGGAAGGTTGGACCTGACGCTTCGCACAAGACGGTTCTCGTACTCGAGCGGAGCTGGTATCCCCTGAAGGGCTGAGCGATGAGTTGCCGCATCGAACAATATGGCTCGAAAGGACACCTCGTCACGGCAGTAGAGCTGGAACAAGTCTCTCACGGCATTTGCGTCGCCCATGTGCTTCCAGCGTGCTCTGTATAGCTCCGGCATAACGGTTGTATCTGTGGCGATTTTAGTAGCTAGATGGGGAGAAGAAGGCGGTCGAGGTACAAACAGTGATGGAAGAGACATCTGTCCGAGGGTGTCACCAGCAGATGGAGAGGGAGATCAACCGTCGGTGGACAGGCTGCCTTGACCACCACGTCAACGGGCCACTTGAACTGGTCGAATCGTAAATCTGCGTGGGAAATGGCGAGGGTCGAGTGATCGCCTTTTCTGCGCTGGCGCTTTATCCGATGCAACTCCCTGGCAAGATGCGCTCGGGATTTGTGTCGCTTCTCAGGATCGTTTTCGTCGACAAAATGCAAGCGCGGAAGAGATTTGTGGGCCGCCATGGAGGAGGAGAAGATTGCACGACCGACAGAAGTGCCAAAGGATGCAGAGAAATACTAGTACCCGACCACCACAACTACATAGTATATAAATACATGTAGTCCTAATTCAGGGAGATTCAATCTAGACCCTCGGGTGAATGCCTGGATGCTGACGAATGTTGCTTGACAATGACTCGCTTCGCTCTTACGGCAAGCAACGACGGGCTCGGTGGAATTGTGACACGTGACCTCACCTCACCTCACCTCATCTGCACTCGAGCTTTGGCGTGCTGACAGTCTGCAGGTGAGCCTGAGGGAAGCATGATTGCCGTGTGGTTAACATGTGGATCATACTATGGTCAACATGTCGCATAGCACTGCTATGTATTGACTGCTTTACGCTGCCTCATAATAATAATCAAGCATCCGCATTTCAAAGGTGGCAACATCCTCCATGTGAGGTGGCCACCCTGACGCTTGATGGTACTACTACTATATCTATCTAATAGATAGTAGTACTTGTAGAACATGATCCTATGCTAGCTCCCGTGTGAAATGTATGAGTAAATCTTCGACCTAAATTTAGTGGTCTGCGACATGTCAGCGAGGCTGGGTCGCCCCTGAACGAACAAAGGGCAGTCATGAAGGCATGCAGAGCTTCAAGCCTGATGGCCAAAAGTGGATTCGAACCTCGCGATTGACATCGAATGACACTGTTGCCGTTCACTTGGGACCACTACTGATTCCACGTCGATCATAGTCGGCTTTCTGGGTGCAGGTTGAGCTGAAGCTTGACCTTAGGGCACTAGTAGTAGTACTCTCTAGATGACTCGCATCGCTCAGGACTTCTGGCTGCACCCTCCCCTGAATGTCAATCTGTTGGACAGGCGATTCAGACATTCCACCCCAGCTTCAACTTGAATATAGCAAGATCAACTGGAAATCCGCACTTCTACGGTGACGCTGTTTTCCGAACTCAAGAGTCTGGCATCAAACTCTGTTTCTCTTTTATTCGAAGCTGAGGACGCCGTCGCAGCATCGCGAACGAGCCACGGCAGCTCCGAGTTCGAGCTCTCGAAACGTTGCTCGTAGTGTATATTTAGTTACCTACGGGGGGCATTTGCATCCATTTGACTCTGGAGAACCGTTTATCTTTGACGATACCTACTAGGACTGTAGTTTACTGCATAACTCAGAGCTGCCGCACTGACTTGGATTATCAAATCAGTATACTATACTAGGGTCAAAAGATAGTGGTACAAGCTCAATTGGCTTCTCCATTTCAGGGAATCGAATACTGTTTGTATGATGAATCTAAGAGCAAGGCGATGCTCTAATAGTACTACGGACAGTGGTATTTTTGAAAGCAGATGGCTCGCAGGAAGTCGGTATACGCGTCCAGTTCACCAGTAGTACTGCGTGTCAAGTGTCTGATGTCACCAAGTCTTTGAAGCCTTCAGCCCTCTCATCTACTGTAGCTAGGCGAGTAGAGAATTCATTTATCCTATCAATAGTATCACACAGAAACATCTTCCGTCTGTTGGTCTGAGTCCTCTCACTCGCTATTAATCGGCTCTGTAAGCTTCTTCTTGAAATAGGAGTAGAAGTTGCTTTTCTAACTGCCAGTATTTTGGGTTTCTGCACCTTGCTGAAATGCATCACGAAAATCGCCCAAAACGGAAATCGACTTGAAAACCTACCACGTGATCATCTCTTCGCAACATTGAAACTGCCAGTACCACGTCTATCCTCCAAGGCCCAAGGCAAGTCGCCTGCATTTATGGTCGCCCTTTCCGTAGGTACTCGCTTTACAACCCAAACTCCAATTGCTTTAATGGACAGAGGTTGTCTTCCCAATGTCCCAACTTGAGTATGCTTCAGTTCTCGATTGCCAGCACAATCTCCTGGTGTACTAGCAATCCCTCCGTAGACTTCAAGTGCCACAAGTTCGAATTCCGACATGCATGAGGTCGTAAAGCCCTTCGGTCAAGTGCCAGCAACAATGAGAATTCAAATTGGTGCTCTATGGCTTCAGCAGCAGAAAAAACATCGTATGCGGACTTCCTACCTAGTCGCAGGCTTGCACTTAGTACTAGTACACAGCAGTTGTTCCATCCATAGCCAAGTCTGGAGCACAAGTGGAAGAGCAATTCAACGCATTAGTTATGTTTTTGTCGTATAAGCCGGTCACAAATGTGTATAGGCAGGACTAAGACAATGAATATATAATATAACCATCGAGCCAGCACTATTCAGACGACAGCCTACAAGATGGACGGTGCAATTGACAAGCAGTCCCCGGGATCTAGTCACGTGACCCAACAAACATGACAAACGTTGCAAATTTCAGGTCGGTTGATCCTCGGAGCTCGACATCAGGTTGTCTTGGGTAGAGAGAAGCTCCGGAACAACCAGAGCGTTCAATCATGGATATGCAATCAGTCTGCCTTTGTTGAGCGTAATTGCGTTTGTGTATTCCCCTACTACCTCCTCAATCAGTTCATAATGAAGTTCCTCCGGTCGATTGTCCGCACACGCCCGCCGGGGGCGCAGGTCCAACTCCCCAGAAGTTCACTCCGCACCTTCAGCGCCGTCCGCATGCACGCGCAGTCTCAGCGGACCTCGAGCGCAAGCTCCCCTCAACCAGAACGGCCCGTCAACTTCTACAGCACGCATGGACGCGCCTTCTTCAAAGCCATCACTTTGGCATTCCTGACGTATCAAATCGCGTATTGGGCATGGTTGACGGTGGAGACGGAATACCTCAAAGATCAGAAGAACCGCGAGGTCAAGTCGCTGGAGCAAGAAGTGAGGTTGCTGGATGAGGGTCGAAAGGCTCACAGACCCGGAACCTCTTGAGGGCCTACAAAGAATTTATAAAGATGAGGAGCTGTGCGAAGGTGTTACAAACGGCCTACCGATACCCCATCAACGACGCGCCCCGTGTCGCGACTTCGAAAGTATGGCGAGTCCTTCGAATTGAAGCTGCCTTATGACACCCTGTCACCTTTTGGAACTCGGATATAGAAGAAGAAGATGGCCGTCCAGAATTTTTGTCGAACGGGTGGCGAAGAGCGCCAGGATGGACGGGAGGACATTCTACGCAAACACTTGAAGCTTGTCGCTGCCAGGCTGCGGATTCGTTCTACGCCCAGCCCCAGTATTGACGAGGACCTCTTACCAACCGGAGAAACAAATATTCGAGTCCACATCACGACACGCGGAACTCGGTCACTCAGACTTGAACCTACGAATCATTTCTCGATGGACGATCGAGGCCCTACAGTTTGTGATGATACCGGCCACCCACGACCCCGTCAAAGACGAGAACCCGGCCCTTTGCCACCATCCTTGAAACCGACAGGAAGCTCATTCCGACCAAATGCAGCAGGGTGGAAAGGTGAAGCAGCAAATCATTTCCAATGAAGCAACTCGTCCAGCGAAGCCAGGAACAGTCATCTACAGCACGGCCGGCAATATGAGGCACACTGTCAGCACCAAGACGTTCTCGGAGGACATCGCTCTCGACTGCGAAAGTCAATAACGACAAACGAAAGTGGAGGAACCAAGGGGGGAATTGACGCAAGGAGTGCTGTGCAGAATACGTGGATAGACGTCTTGTATACTCCTTTTTACCCACACTGGAGATGTAAAATGATCTATGTCCCTCACATTCGAGTACCAGGCGGTAATCTCTGACAGTTCCGTTTGTTGCATTCTCCGGCCTTAAAACACATTGTATTCCACTCGTTGTATTCGTTACTGCTTCTTTCGTCTCAGTCAACCCGTCATCCCATCTCTCTCCTTCGCGGTGTATCCACCTCGCAGGCTCAACTTTCCTTCAGGGTTGCTGACAAGCCAGCTCCTCAGCTGGGCATGAGCGGCTTATACCTGTCCAACCTGCTCGCTCCGGGCCTGTCGTCCTCGTCCATGAGGCCTCCGTTCGCGTTCACATTGCCGTCCGGTCTGTGCCTCGTGGGCAAAGCCGGGCTGTCGCTCCTGGCGCCCGTCTCCCTCCTCGGCGGCAAGGGCGGGGCCGGAGGATCGTCCGCCCCGTCATTGCGCTGTATCTGCTGAGGCTGGAGTTTCGAGACCCTCGACGGTGGCGGCGGAGGAGGGTTGGCGGCGCCCTTCTGCAGACCTCTCGCACCACCGCCGGGCCCCGGCGCAAGAGAGTCGGGAGCGCTCACGAACGAGGCGGTCGAACTCGCCGTCTCCTTGCGCCTGGGCAGCGGCGGGGGACGCTCTTCCGGATCAGGCGCCACGGACACCTCGGAGCGAGACACGCTCGCCGCCAACCGTGGCAGGACAGGGGCCGGGAGAGGGCTCAGCTGCGGGACGGCGACCTGGCTGGACGAGGTGGTGAGGGCCGACGGTTTCGTGGGTTTGGGCGGGGGTCGTTTCTTGGGGAATCCCGCCGCTGAGGAGGATCGTGCCGGGATGTTGTTGGCCAGATCGCCTGCCGACGACATGGCTGATCGGACAGGAGAGGTGGTGGCGCTTGAAGCCCTGTTTCGCGGAGCCGAGCCTCCTCGTGGTGTCGGCGGCGTTGGACGTCGAAGGGCCTTCATCTCCGCCGCCGCTGTGGACGGCGTTGCAACTCGTTCTCCCTCCCAGGGCGGAGGTACCATTCTCTTCACCGTCCTTGGTGGTGGCGGCTCTGGTTTCCTGCTTCCCGGTCTGCTGCCGCCTTGCTTGTTGTTGTCCATGATCGGCGGCCTCTCGACCTCGACCCAGTCGTCCTCCCCACCCTCCCTCCACGGATTGCCTTCGCGGTTCCCGCTCAACATCACGCCCTCCTTTGGTGGGCGGATCGTGCTTCGCGCAGCTTTGTTCCCATCTAACCACCACTTTCGCTTGTCGCTGCTCGCCGGAGGTAGGCCTTCCTGAATACTCTCATAGCCCATGAGACTCTCCATGACGCTGTCGGTTTCGTCGTCGGTCTCCATTTCGTCCAGCCCTTCCGTGGAATCTCCGGCTTTGCTTTTCATTTCTTTTGCCCTCTTTGAGTATAGTTTTTTGGTCAAGGTGTCCTTCTTCTCTTCGTCCACCACCCGGATCCCCACGTCAAATATGGCATACACCGGTCTGTGGTCGCTGAACCTCAGGCCCATGACGCTGTCATATTCCAGTTGCTTCATCTGCGAGCCGAGAACCTCTCCAGCCTGGACTGCGTTTCGGTTATGGTTCACCTTCCAAAGGATACGATCGGTCCAAGCAGGTATACGTTGCTTGTCACTCGAGTCGAACTCGTCTTTGCCAATGTCGTACTTGTATGTCGGCAGGAATTTGACCCGTCCTTCCCGATAATAGTTGAAGCAGTTTCCTACCACCATTTGAATGTTGAGTTGGTCGTTCTCGTAAAGCTTGCCCAATGCATCTTCTCTGATCTTTTCCGACCCGATGATCGCTTCATTGACGAGGGCTTTGACTCGTTCATAGCCCAAACCGATACGGTAGTTGAAGTCCCCTGCCCAAACGATGATCTCGTGGTCCTCGATGCTTCGGTTGCGTTGAAACCTCAGGCCAGAGGTGATAGTGTTGTAATCTCGATTCCGTTCCTCGTAGTTGGCAAACCCTGCGGCCAAGTGGGCAGTGACGAAACATACAGATGTGCTTTCAATGTCCATCCTGATGGCGACGGCGCCTTTGTTTCCGGCAATCCCACTCATGCCGGTTTTCTTGATGGCGCCCTCCACATTCTTGATTCGGCCCAGAATGCTTGAGCGGACAAAGACCATTAATGCAGCTCCCACCAACTGCCCGCTCCTCAACAGAACATATTCGTCGCCTTTTGTGGGCACCCCCTCGAATTTCTCGTCAGGGCCGTGTCCGTTGAGACAGTTTCTGACTGCCCTTTCCCATAGCATTCGCCGATTGGGGTCGGTGCTCATGATTTGCTGCGGACTCAGCTCGACGATTTCTTGGAATCCCACCACCACGATGTCCAGATTCTTGCCACGAACGTCCAGCCAAGGAGTCAGGTCTTCATGGATTCCTGACGTTTTGCCGTTCAGGTTATATGTTCCCATCCCAAGTCTAAGCTGATCCCTTGACTCAAACTCCGCTCTTCGTCGGGCAACTTCCGCAACGACCCAGTCGTTGATAGGGTCGAACAGGTCCACGCTTGTCTGTCCGACCAACCTGCCGAGCAACAGATCAACAGTATTCTGTCTGTTTTTATCCTCAAAGTGATTGACATAAAGGCGAGTAGCACTCTTCCGGGCATCCGCAAGGGCGCCCGCAAGACTCATCTTACCATGCCTTGTAAATGAACTCTTCAGCGCTCCAGTCCCAGCATATATTCTCGAAAGAACATCTCCGTTGTCAGCCCATAATGCAGAATGGCGCATCCAAAAGTCAGAATTGCCTCGCTCATCCCGGTGCGACAGGAACAACTCCAACGCCATTTGGCTGATTATGCCCTGGATGAGATTTGTCCGATCTAGGCAGTCCAGACAATTGACCCGGAAGACGCCATTTTGCTGCATGATAACGATAGGCCTTCGGACAAGTTTCCTTCTGCCTTGCTCGACGGCGACTTCCTCTATCTCCTCTGAGAGAAAGTAAACAAACGACTCTGCGCTTGTGTCAAGATATGGTCGGATAGCTTTTGCTGCTTCGTATCCGGTGGGTCCACGAGTCCGTTCGTGGAAATCGAACTCAGTTTCGTGGAGTAGATGGTGTTCCTCCACTTCACCTTCCTCATGTCGTCGTAGCGGGCTTCTACTCACATGATATCGGTATCTCTCTGTCAGCTCGACCTCACCCGGCTTCGAGGCGCTCAGCAGATTCACGATGTGAACCGCGCCATAAGTTCTCTCCAGAGATGCGAAATGCTTATCAAAAGCTGGCTGCGTGGCCTCCGGCGAGCGGGTGATTTGGATTTTTTGTTGGCCAGGTATCAAACTGCTCGAGCTTTCCCAGAAGATCGGTATGCTGCCTCGCACTTGAGTGTATGAGAAGCAAAGGCCGGTGGGAGACCAAAAGACAGTCTCGGTCTCGACAAAGTTCGCAACATTACCGTCATCGTCAATGCCTCGAGAGTTGAAACGTGTCCCGGCTCTTCTAGAGGATAATCTAGAGATGATGGTTAGGGTTGTAGGTGGACCAGGGACAGTTCCCCGGATCGGGGAGGAAGAAGGTGGTATCGGCAAACTTTTGACGAAGCCACGAATCACAGAGGTGAGAAGGCGAGAGCGGTCAAGAGCATTTCGTTCGAGGTCAGTAAGCCTACTTCTGAATTTGATCAGCGGATCAATCATGTACGAATTCCAGAGGAGGCCTTCGTCGAGACTGGAAATGTCAACGGTGCTTTCTGCCTCGGCACTAGAACTTGTCAGCTCAGTTGACCTTGACGATTGATGGCAACCTACCGATCCTGTAGCCGTCGTGTAAGATCAAAATCGGCACTGTAGTAGAAATTGCCGTTGCTTATGAGTTTCTTCAGAGCGTGGAATGGATGTTCGGAGACATCGTCGCCCTGGGTGTAGTCGACATCGTCCGACTGGAAAATTTGGCCAGGATATGGGTTGGGATAAGGGCCATGGGCGTGATCGTAATCTGCACGGTTGAGGCAGTCTAGCCGGTCATCAGCACGAGGTATCTGTGGCAGGCCGAGATCGACTCACAGAACTCCACGGCGAAGATCTTCTGGACGGTCTCGCCTGGCCTCACAATCGCCACCTCTTCTGAGCCGGTGATAACGCAAAGAAAGACATCGTTATTGAGTGTGATGAGGCCCAAAGTGCCTCTGGCGGTAGTGACAGGATGAAAGTGCTCGAGGTTGATAAGAGATTTGTCTCCGAACTCGACCATACATCGAGGCGTCAGGATGGATCGACTCGCATTGCCCAGTGGTAGGCTGGTCGAGCTCGATATTGACGCTCTGCCACTTTCTGGTGCAGCATGAGAATGGCGAAACACCAGGACATGCTCATCTGTTGCAAGGGCCACTGTCCGATGAGGGTAATCATGGATCAACACCCTGGTTGACATCGTGTCGAGGATCACCGGATGGCGCGCACTTGATCCCGCATCGCCAGGCTCATCAGCGGCATCTATCTGCGGACAGGCCCAAGCAGGTGTGACCGCCTCAGTCAACCGACCATTGACTTATTGCGGAATGCAGTCGCGTGCTAGGAGACTTGGGTTTCGGAGAATTTGTTCGAGGTTCCGCAGCGCACACCAGGTTGTTTCGCAGGCCGATTTACACGATGATGCTGTCAAAGATATGCCTTGTCATCGAAATATCTGGGCCCGGTAAGATGGTCACTCTCTGGAGGTGACAAAGTGTCGATGAATTAAACGGAGCTGAAGGCGAGGTTGTTCGGCGGACCACGTGACATCCTGCTTAGTGAGATTTCGACGAGACACCATCTTAGCGACTCCAGATACTCGATCTGCTACAGATGCAATACAATATAGCGGAAAGGATCCTTGACAGGCTCTATTGTATTCATTATGTTGCTACACAGCCTTTTTATCTCCAAGGCAATGAGCAACATTGCCAGCTAAACCGATGGACCTGCAATGAAAATGGGTATCATATATGAAACCCCGGGCAAGCAACGCCATATGAGCCCACAGTATGCAAAATGGCGGCAGTGTCCTCGAGCCGATATCCAAACGACCTCATGTCAAAATGTTTCGCCGCTCCATAGGGAGCTTTTTCTTCGGCGTCAGACCCCTGAATCCCCCCATGTGTTTTGGAAAACTCCCGCTAAATCCACATTTCGTAAGTCGTAACCATGACAAAGGAAATTCATCCACGTCTCGCGTCCCCTGAGGCATGAAAAACCAATCCCGAATACTCGAGAGGATAAAGCCATGCCCCCTGAAGTGGCCTATGCCAGAGGCTCTCTCGTCCGTCAATCATGAAAAACTGTCGTAGATTGGAGGGTTGCTGCAGAAAAGCGAGAGATGTAGTCGGCGTCGAAATGTATGGTACTGAAATCGATGAGCAATGGACAGTGCCGCCCACCCAGCTTTCAACTTTGTTGTCGGTGTCCCACAATCGTTGGAACCAAACGCTGGCCAATCTACCCCAATTTGTCCTGTCAACGTCAAGAGAGCCGCTCACATAACGGTGCATGCACTGTCTTCAGTGGCACCGTGCTGAGATTTAGCGGCCACATCAGGCTTTTTATCACCTTTTAACGGCCGCGAAGGCCTCGCCGCTCCTCCCAGCATCCAGCCAGCGAGGCCTCCGGTTGGTTTCTTCTTCCTGGGGCCTAGAAATACCTGGTCAGCATTCGTCATTCCACGACTAGTTTCTCTCTAGCACCCATCCTCTCATACCTTTTCTCTCCTTCTTCGGGTTGATGATTTCATCCAGATTTAGAATCGCGTCATCCAATATCTCTGGCGGCGGCGGCGGCTCTATGATCTCCTCCTTGGGTTCGGGAATGGGCCATAGCATCATTGTGATGTGCATATCCGGCTCGATGGTAGATTCCCAATAGTTGGGCATGATAATCTCTTTGTCGGGTCCGATCAGGTCGTAACGACCAGCCGTCACATGCTCTGCAAGGTTTTCGATGTGTGCAAATGCTTGGATGATCAGATTTTCCATATCCTGCCAATGGTCAGCTTCCGTCTCCGCGTGAGGCATCTACTAACTTACCCTCCACTTGCAACATCGATCCCAGGGGAAATTGTAATTCCGCCCAATTGCGTCTTTAAATCTGACCGGAGCCTTCCTCTCGGGCCCCTTTGCTGCAGCAGCTTTCTTTTCTGCCTCTTCAGCTTCTGCTTTTGCTTTGGCTGCTGCTTCCTCAGCCTCCTTGAGCTTGGCTTCGGCTTCTTCTTTCACCCTCTTTGCCTCCTCCCTGGCAGCGGCAGCAGCCTCTGCAGCCTCCCTTTCGGCTGCGGTCTTCGCAGCCGCTGCGGCATCGTCGGCGATCTTCTTCTCGGCGGCGGCCTTTTCTGCTTTCGCAGCTGCCTCTTCCGCGGCAGCTTTCAGGGCGGCCTCGGCGGCCTCTTTGCGGATCTGCTGTTCTCTTGCGGCTTGCTCCGCGGCCGCCCGGACTTGCTCCTCATAAGCCCGAATGGCTTCCTGTCTCGCTTCTTCTCGGATCCGTTTCTCTGCGGCCCTACGCTCGGCTTCTGCCGCAGCATCGGCGCGGGCCTTTGCCTCTGCAGCCCGCACAGCTTCTTCTCGAATCCGACGGTCTTCTTCCATGCGTGCTGCCGCCGCTGTGGCTTCTGCTCGGGCCTTTTCTGCCGCCTGTAGCAAAGCCTGTTCCCGAATCCGTTTCTCTTCTTCTGCACGTAGAGCGTCTTGACGGGCCTTCTCCTCGGCTTGACGTATTGCATCTTGTCGAGCCTTCTCTTCGGCTTGCCGAACTTTTTCCTCTGCCTGGAAGAGTGCATCCTGTCTGGCCCGCTCATCCTGTCGGGCCTTTTCCTCGGCCTGTCGGGCCTTCTCCTCAGCTTGTCGAACTTTCTCCTCAACTTGCCGGAGTGCTTGTTCCCGAAGACGGCTTTCTTGCTCCGCAAGTGAGGCTGCTATTGTGGCCTTCTCGGCCGCTTCCGCATCTTTGGCAAGCTGATCTTCTTTCATCAAATCCTTGAGACGTCGCACAAGGTCGTCGTCATTCTTCGCTTCAAGTTTTTCGGCAGATGCACTTGCGGACCCTGGCTGTGGGGAAGGCGCAAGTGGTGGAGCATAGTATGGATAAGGCATCTGTTGAGGGTACTGCATGTAATGGGGCGGATACTGCTGTGTACCGAAAGGCGGTGGTGGGTATTGAGGAGAATAGTAGCTCGCTGGCGGAGGCGGATAGCTGACGATTGTCGCGGGACCATAAGGAGATGATGTGTATGGAGCGCTCACTTGTGAAGGAGCATGGTGGCTGAAGCCTCCTGGATACGCAGCATGAGGAGGATATGGGACCGGCTGGCCCTGGGGGTAAGCGGTAGGATATGGCATAGCCATGGGTTGCGGTTGAAGAGCGATCACTTGATTGGCGGGGTGTGGCACAGCAGGATATGGGTATGAAGCTGATGAACTGCTGTGAGTATACCCGTTGTGCCCATAATATGATTGAGGACGAGGCATGTGATGGCTCAGGTCCGGCCTGGCAAGGAACTCCTCTGTCGAGTCCCCACTCTCAGTCGGGGATGTGTCTTGCAACTCTCGGGTGCGGCTGCGAACAGGCTCGCGAATCGCCTGCTGGCGGTGCACCGCCTGTCGTCTTGCTGAATTCGATCGAGACTCGTATTGTTGCACTCTTTCACGGTGGTCTATCCTCGAGGCGGAATCTGAGCCATCCGGATTTTCAAGTTCGTTCGGATATAACACTTGCACGAATTCACCGTGGTGCGAGGAGGAACCGCTCTGACTTTGGGTCGGCTGGATGACCGAGTATTGGGGTGAGACGCCAGCAGAGACCTGGACGCCGTCGTTTTCGTGGAGCTCGTCGTCTTGCGAGCCGAGGGAGGGAGAGCGAGAGACGTGGGTAATATCAATGTGCGTATGACTGTGACGACCTGAAGACCTAACAGCAGGCGAGTTAGCACTGGTGGGCGAAAATGTCGGTGAAATAACCCACCCCATGAGAGACTGAGTGAGGTCAAGGAATTACCGCGTTCAACCTACCCCAGGGGGAAGGCTGAACGAGATAGCCTTGAGGGTTATGTTAGTGTCAAGGGATGTGCTAACCGGACCAAAGAGAGCTGACTTCAGGCAGTAGGACCGTCCAAATGGGCCAGATCCAGTGTATATTTTGAAACCAGTATCCTTCAGCGCCAAATGTGGTCGAAGAAATTCAAAGGCCTGGCTGAGAGGGGCGTGGTCACCTCCCGCAGGTGTGCCACCGGTAGCGTCTGGTGTCGTGAAGGTGCGTCGTGAAATTCCGACAAGGTGGATCCGTGGCCGTGGGGAGGAAAGGGACGAAGGGTCGGGCCACAGGGAGAACAGGTTGCATATGCGAGGAGCCGAGGGGGATGCCGATCAGGCAACGAGTATTAGAGACAAGAGGATCACCACGTATTTTCAATGGCAGGGATGCGAGATGGCAACGGGTACAGATGTGGTGAAAGGTGGTGGTGAGTGTGTCGAAGGAAGGGAAAAGGAGGAGCAGGTGAGAAGGTGACAATTGTAGCGAGATGAGACGGTGAAGTCGGGCTGCCCAGAATCATGCAAATGCAAATGTGTGTGAGCGCGTGGACAGGTTGTTGACGCCAAAGTGGTTGTTTGGCGTCAAGGTCAACCAAGGTGTGTTGACGGGGGATCAAGATGCTGGCTGCTGGATCCTGGATCCGCCCACCGAGTCAAAAAAGGCGACAAAAAGGGGGGGTAACGAAATTGGTGACTGATGCCCAATTGCTCGCCCACTCGAGGGATTCCCCCCCTAATTCGTCGGGCGCAGGCGCTGTGTGGGCGCAGCGGGCAGTGGACAGTGGTGGGCAATAGTGCGCAGTGGGCGGCAGGCTGCGGGTTGCGGGCGCAGCCTATTTGGTAGTAGTGGGGCCCGGTCTGACTCCCCCTGCGTGCTGTCTCCCAGGCCTCCTATTCTTGCTGTAAGGCACCAACCACGTCAATCGTAATGAGAAATCCCTTCTCCAGCAGTGTGCAGAGCCAAAATCAATCCCGGCTTCACTCAACGCCCGTCCGTCAACTCAGCTCTGGGACGGTGTCGTGGTGGTGTTAGGTTGTTGACAGTGTCCACAAGAGCCCAGCCCGGTCACGACCACCTTTTGCTTGCAGTGAACAGAGGTGCGTCTCCCAGGACAACTTGGCCCTTGGTGACGCGGACGAGTGTCCAGTGTTTAGGTCTGAAATAGACCTCGAAATGGTTATATCAATCCACCCAGAGTCTTGTACAGAGCATCGACTCATACAATTTCCTTTTTTGTTGCCCGTTTATCGTGAACTTTTGGTGTTGGTTTTTTTCGCCGCCGGAGGGTCTTTTTCCTGCAGGATCGAACTGCAGAGCCCGTCAATGGATACAGCGGTGCAAAAGGAAGACTAGAAAGAATTGAGCCTCCCGCAAGAATCTGAAAAGGGAGAATGCAAGATGTGAGTTGGCGACAGGAGAGTGTCGCCACAACAACCCGCAGAGTGTCAAAAGGTACTCAGGTGACGCAGAGTCGTACAGAAAATTCTCTCGCGGTTGCAAGCGATCTGTAAGGGGTTGGATCTAGTAGAGGTAAGCGCTTCTTGCGCGCTGTCTTTCTTCGCTCGCGATTGGATTTATGATTCTGAGACATTGAGGGCTCCTTGGGAGGAGACGTGAGGAGCAGTGAGTCTGGTATTATTAATGGCGAAATGGGAGTGACAAAAGTGCGCAAGTGGTATGCAATAGGTCTACATTTGGGTTGATATCAAGGCAGAAAGATGGCTATCCACCCTCTTGACCGGTCATGGCATTCTCAGTCTATATATCAGAAACCGAAACAACCCGGTCTTCGACGTCGCCACCGGGACAGCCTGTTTTCCGTAACGCAGGGCGATTAGCCTGATATTCACACCCCCCCCTTGGGTGTCGGAGAACTGATGATACCCTTTCTTTTTGGTGATTCTCCCAACAAAACCTCAAGTCGACCGCGGCCTGAAGGTGGGATTCTTGACCTCGTGGTTGTTAGTTTGTCGGAAAGACGAGGCTCCAGTGACTCTAAATTAGACGTGATGGGCACAAACGACCCACGGCCGCTGACGGAGTGAGAGCCTCATTCGCTAGTGGTTGGGTGTTGCGACAATCGAGGCATCCTCAGAAAAGCTGCCACGTTGGCTTGCGCTGAAATGCTGCCCAACTTCCACCTTCAAGCATCACGCTAGCGGGCGCGCCCGCATCTGACATGATCTTCGCCGAACCATGGTTTCTCCTATGGTCCATTCGGTTCTCTGCAGGAACTTTCGCCCGCCCCCCCTCTGGTGCCAAAAGGCATTGAGGTCCGTACGCAAGTGGCTTTTCCCAATGCTCTTTTATTCGGAGAATCGTCTTGACTTGGGCTGCTTTGTGGTTCGTGGCTCCAGGATTGTGCAGGATGCTTCAGCCTTTGGATCTGTTCAACAATTCCTGAGCGGCAATGAGCTCAGGATGATCGGTCCCGGAAGATCGTCGTCCGCTGCGGTCCTTGACGATACCCTCCAGTTTTGACGTGGCCAACTGATTCAGTTTCTGCACCTTGTCTGGGGTGATCGGCGAGCTGGTGTTCCCCCGAGATGTCGTGTTCGTCAGCAGGAACTTGTCCGTGGCCAGCTTTAGCCCGTAGAACCCCCGCAGATAGTCGTCACAAAGTTCAATGCTCCGACTGAACCGCTGGATTGCCTGTGCCAGGTGTTTCTCGACATCGGCATTCTCCGTTGACGACATGGCAGCCAGATACTCGAGTTCGCCCAGTCGTGCATGAAGGTTCCATGCATTTGGGGCGATAATTACGGCCTCCTCCAGGCAAAAGACAGCTTGTGGAAGGCACCCCTGCGAGTGATAGAGGTCGCTCAACTCGCACCAAGCCTCCATGTCGGTGGGAAAGGAATCGACGAATTCCACCAGGTCTTTGATGGCATCTTGTGGCCTCCCCAAGCTTCTCATGAGCGCAATCCGGCGTTTGTGGATGGGAACATTCATAGGGTTCTCCATCAATATTCTCGCATAGTCTTCTAATATCTTGCGCAATGCTGCTTCGTCTGGAGCCATGGCTTCCTGATACAGCCCTCTCAAAGCCATGACCCGTTCATTGGTTGACCCGAATCTGTTACTTAATCGTTCCACACATAGAGAGGCAGACTTGTCGTCCCCTGTGCGCAGGCATGCATAGAGGAGTTGTTCAAGCTCGTCCCATAGTTCAGCGGAATCCGCCGTGTTGAACATTGATGCAGGGAAGGTCGTACTGACCGACGAGGACTTTGCAAGGATCGAGGGAGCCTGCTGCGCTATGCGCAGAGCTGAGGCAGGGTCGGAAGCCGGGCCTTGGAATACGACTGTCGCCATTGCTGCGTTGTCCGATGACAGGTTTGGCCAGAGCCAGAGAAGACGGAGGATATGGTCTGCGCAGGATTAAGTAGTATCGTCGAAAGGTCACTAATGCCGGAACTCTGCAAAGACTGACAAGATGAGGCTGTCAAGGTAGCACAGGACAAGTTGGAGAACACGCTGGTCTGGACGGGGTTTGGAGGCCACTGCGAAGTCGCGTAGCAAGCTACTCGTTCATACAGACGCCGCGAGGTCGCCGTTGGCCGTTGGCTGCCGTTTCTTCGGAAGAAATCAGTCTTGGCATTCGGGCGGAGCATTTGACACCACACGAAGAGGTCCTCAGCATCCCCATCCCATCATCGCTTCTTTCTTGGTGGCCTGCTAATGCTCTGCGGTCGACAAGCGAGATCGAATAGCGAATGCGTGGGCGTGTGCTGAGTCCTGAGAAGACAGAGGAAAGGTGCACGAACATTGCATCCTCAGCCTCTTCTGTGTCCGAGTCACCGTGAACGAGGGGTCTCCCGGACCGCAACCTCAACTGTGTCGCGTGAGAGATGAGGGCCCGCGAGATCCCAAAGGAAACACCGGCTGCCCAGCTCTCATGACATGCTGATCAGAACCTCTCAACATGTTCGAAAAGTCACTTGTCGACCTTATTCGGGGCCTGCGAGGCCACAAGGGAAATGAGGCCGAATACATCCAAGGCGCTCTCAAGGAGTGTCGAAGCGAGATTCGTTCCCAGGACCTGGACCTCAAGGCAACCGCACTGCTCAAGCTCATTTATCTGGAGATGTTTGGTTATGATATGACCTGGGCCGCCTTCAACGTCTTGGAAGTCATGGCGTCCCCGAAACCGGCGCAGAAACGAGTGGGCTACCTAGCTGCCGTCCAGAGCTTCCGACCTGAGACGGAGGTCTTGATGCTGGCTGAGAATTTGCTGAAAAAAGACCTCACCTCTCCCTCAATACCAGTTCTCACGCTGCCGTTGGTCACACTTCCGCACATTGTCACTTCTTCACTGGCACTTTCCATTCTCACGGAGCTTCTCCCACGATTGTCACATTCACAACCAGCCGTGCGTAAGAAGACTATCGTCACGCTATACAGGCTCGCTCTGGTGTATCCCGAAACTCTGAGAGTTGCGTGGCCAAAGATAAAAGAGCGTTTACTAGATGAACAAGAAGACAGCAGTGTTACTGCCGCTACGGTCAATGTCGTCTGTGAGCTCGGGTGGCGACGACCGCAGGATTTTCTGCCCTTGGCACCAAGGCTGTTCGACCTTCTCCTGGCCCAGAAGAACAACTGGATGGGCATCAAAATCATCAAGTTGTTCGCAGTTTTGACTCCCCTCGAACCAAGGTTGGTCAAGAAGCTAGTCCGACCCCTCACCAAACTGATTCAGGAGACAACGGCCATGTCGTTACTCTACGAATGTATCAGCGGGATCATTCAGGGCGGGATCTTGGACGGCGCCGAAAGCGGCGTGGATGTGGAAGAAGTGGCCGATCTCTGCATTTCCAAGTTGAGGGGAATGATTGTGTTGGATGGCGACCCGAATCTGAAATATGTTGCTCTCCTGGCGTTCAACAAGATTGTGGCTACTCATCCTACACTCGTTTCAATGCAGCAGGATGTCATCATGGGATGCTTGGACGATCCTGATATTTCGATAAAGATGCAGGCTTTGGAGTTGGTGTCGGGTATGGTCAACAGTGACAATCTGCAAGCCGTTGTCAACCGCCTCATAAAACAGCTTGCAGGCTCAGCGTCAGCCACCGTGGACCCCAACGGACACGCGGAAGAAGAACAAACAGACATGGAGCAGAGGCTCGTCCCCGACAAACGAGGATCGGAAAATGTTCCTTTACCAGACGAATACCGCTACGAAATTATTAGCCGAATTCTTGACATGTGCTCTCACAATACTTATGCCAACATTACCGACTTCGAGTGGTATATCGAAATCCTGGTTCATCTAGTCAGACATCTCCCGGCGGACAAGGATGCGAATTCGTTGAGAGCCACACTGGAAGATGACACCTCGTTAGGAGCCCGGGTCGGAAGTCAGCTTCGCGATATCACAGTTCGAGTCAAGGAGCTCCGACCAGAAACGACCAAAGCAGCGGAGACTCTGGTACTCTTGTCCAACCGCGCAATTGCCTACCCGAAACATGGTACCGGTCAGAGCCAAGTCATCAAATCGGCTGCTTGGATCTGCGGCGAATTCGCCGTGTACTTGTCCAACCCATATGAGGTCCTCAATTCTTTGATTCACGAGTCGTCTGGACATTTCACTCCAACGACCTTGGCAATAGTAATCCAAGCCATTCCGAAAATCATTGCACGGATCGCCACTACGGCCGACCGTGAATGGAATGCCTCAAGAGGCGCGACAATGTCGCTCCTCCTCGCAAGGACCACGGAGTTTCTGGAGAAGCTCTCATCCCACCCCAACCTCGAAGTACAGGAGAGAAGCGTTGAATTTCTCGAACTTCTGCGTCTTGCCTCGGAAGCGCTCTCTACGCAGGGCGGGGATAGTCTTCAGGCGCCGCTCCTACTGACTTCTGCAGTTCCAACGCTCTTTAGTGGCACGGAACTCAATCCGGTCTCAGCGGCAGCTCAGAAGAAAGTTCCCCTGCCCGAAGATCTCGATCTTGACGCGCCTATCAATCCCGACTTGTCGACGATTCTACAAGATTCGCAGATTGCAGACGTCGATGATCACGGAGAGGATGTGTTCCAATCCTTCTACCACGATCGAGAACCGATACCGTCCATCACATCGTTACATCCGCAACCAGCAGCGGCTTATCTGGACTCTGCTGTTGCTTCGGAGAGTGCACCGCTCTCATACCAGTCTGCACCCGAGTCTCCAGGAACCATAGCTAGGCGCAAGGCCGAGAGGATGGCCCGGAACAAGGACGATCCATTCTACATTGCCCCGTCCGACGATGCGGACCCTCAATTCCACGACATCATCAGCAAGACAAACGGCGATGATGAACTCGACGTCGACTCGATTCCAATCATCGACCTACAGATCGACCGGTCTCAGACGACGGCGGCGAAAGGGGAGACAGGAGGAGAAGAACGCCGGCCGCGAAAGAAGAAACCTGTTCGAAGATTCGTCGTCGCCGCGGACGAAACCCTCGAGGCCTCCGCAGCGACCACACCCACCTCACAGTCATTTTCGAACTCGAGCCCCTTCGCCGCCCTGAGTCAGGCTCAGCGGACCCGTTCACTCAGTCCTAATGCCCAACCCCGGGCGCATTCTCGGCCCACGCGCACCCTCCTCTCGGTCGACTCGTCGACGCTCGAAAACCTCAGCCTTGAAGGCGGCCCCGCGGAGACCGAGTCGGAGATTCTCCGTCGTGAAGCCGAGGAGTTGGAGATGGCGATTGCCCTTCGCGAGGTGGAGAAGAAGAGGCTTGAGATGCAGCGGGAGATGGAGCGGCAGAGAACGGTGATGGGCGAGGGGGTGGACGCGGAAGGCACGGTTGTGAGGCGGAAGAAGAAGAAGACCCGGCCGAAGGTTGGAGTGGACGCGACCGAGGAACGGGTCGGGGTTGAGGCAGAAGGCCACGACGGCGAAGAGGGATCCATCAAGAAGAAAAAGAAGAAGAAGCGGAAGATCAAGCTTGTCGAGGAGGGTGTCGATGCTGGAGATGAAGGTGGAGAGGCCGTGGCCGCGGCAGAGAGTGTGGAAACGGGCGGCGGCTACTGAGCAATCGTGAGAGATTTCTACTTCCCACCAGGATCTTATAACAAGACTACATCCCTAGTCTTAACTTTCAGCCGTGGCGCCAACAAAGCCAGAGTGACTGGTATGTCACATCATTGGGGATTCATCACAGGACGACTGATATAACATGAGTTTGAGGAACGAATATGATTGTACATGTCACAAGCTCGATGGTGTCTTGGGGATCTTTTACCTGGTGCATAGGACGCGAGAAGGGGAGACGAGCGATGAGGGTAGTTGAGGAGCCGGGAAACGAATGGACTTGTCTGCTGCCTCTGCCTCTGCTCTCTCGTCCCGGTCCTGGTCCCCCTCCTGTGTCTTCTCGGTCGAGAAAGTTCGAGTGTGCACAACTGTCCAGAAAACCAGTCGCGCAAACAAGCAAGAACGCTCACAACCACGCCTCCAGACACCGACCCTCGCACATCCACACCAGCATCCCAACGCAACACCCAGGCACCTACGCAATTAATCGCTCCTTTACTCCGTCATCCATCTATCATTTTCCGTGTGCCTTACGACGCAGGGCAGTGACGGCGGCGGTGGGTGGCGGTGTTCCATTGTCAAAAGGGTAGCTTTTTCCTTTTAAATCCGTCTGTTGTGGTTGTCTGCCTTTTCCCGCCTGCTTTGCCTACGAGGGGATCGATCCCTCCTCACCTGTGTGTTTTGTTTGCGAGTTTCTGCATTCATAGCCCTCCGCGCCCTGCCCCGCCTCACCCAGACTGCACTGCGCGCCACCACCGCCGGCGAGGCGTTCACGCGGTTCCAGCAGGGACATGTGCAAGGGCGTGTCAAGGTAATTTCGGGAGGCAGGCAGGCAGGCAGGCAAGGAAGGTCAGATAGGCTGGTGGGTATAGCCTGGCTAGGGAGAGGAGGTAAGATGGGTATCTAGTCTCGGGTGCCTCGGTCGGGGAAAAAAGGTGAAGGAATGGCTCGTACATGTACGAAATAAAGTGAGGCGGAAGCGAGAGCAAGCAAAGAGCAGGAGGATTCTGGATTGAGTTTGTCAGGGAAGGTTGTGGTGCTGGTGCTGGTGGTTGGAATTGATCTCGGTCGCTGAGAGGAAGGGGGAGTGGAGGGGAGGGGAGAGGAGGGAGGCAAAAAGCTCACTGCCCCTCCTGCGCCAACCCGCCTCATTGTTCTGGTCTCGGCGAGGGTGTTGCTCTACCCAACTCTACCAAGTCTACCAACTCGGCCATGGCAAGAAGCTTGCAGAATGCAAGTTCGATTGCTCTGTATCCCGTGCCCCCTCTGGTGCCTCTCCTCTGGGCGAGAATATCCCTCAAAGTTCAACTCACCTACGCCGGCCCAAGCCCAAGCCCAAGCCCGAGTCCAAGCCCTGCCCATGTCTGCCTGGGCCTCAGTTTCGCGCAGCGCGTCAGGCGACAACTCCCCTCAATAACGGATCCTGCTCCGCCAACCTGCCATTCTTTGGCAGTGGGCTCCAAGCTCTCGATTGGCTGGGTCGCCCTCCGCCATCTCTTCGCCTTTGCCTTTGCCTTCGGATCCCCCAAGGCTGTTCCGGAGTCTTATGTGACTGCTTGTTAGGTATCGAGTAGCTACGAGGCAAGTCGGCAGGCTATGGCGATGGCAACACTGTTGACTTTTCCGCAACAGCGCCACTGTTAGTGTCAGTCCTGTCCCGTTCGTCACATCACCATCACCATCACCATCACCGTCACCGACCAGTTGTGCGTATTTCCCTAGGGTCTCCAGTCAGTGGATCCCAGGTTGCCTGTTGTGGCTGACGACCACTTGGTAGTAATAATTACTCCGTCCCCAAGTCCTACAGAAGTCACATAGCTACCCGCAGGCCTCGAGGCACGGGCAGACAGGCCAACAGACAGACACAGGTCCATCCATGGCTCCAGTCCCTCCCGTCACACACGCTCTCCACTCATCTCGTCGGCTAAAAGTACGAGTCCCTAACTTACCCACCTCGTTCGCTCCCTCACCATCCCTGACCCTGGTCGCCGCGTCGTCGTCGTGCATTGACTCATTCCAACTAGGCAGTGTTCCAGAAGGTTACTAGGAAGAGACACGGGCCCCCTGTCCAACCCCCTCGACGGCAGACCTATTGGGAAGCCCACATTCCAAACGAAGGGAAACACAAGGGCCCTATCCATGACCCGTTCGCGCGTGCGACCTTGCATGCTGTCTCGGCGTGATCCCGGGTGGGTTTCCTCTGCGGACGTGCTTGAGCTGAGTGATTTCTTTTCGAAGCTGGAAAGAACAGAAGTATTCACAGAACCGTGGTCAAAGAATAGAACCTTGCACCAGAAACGTATCCTCTCCCAAGAGACACAAAGCCCCGCTTTTTTGGACTTTGTCCGCAGGTCCCTCTCCTGCAAGCTGTAACCGGCAAAGATAGAATAACTTTCCAAAGACCAAAAAAAAGCCCCGGAAATCTCCTGACCACTCCATCATCTGCATTCTTCGCACCAAACTTTCGTTCCGGAAGGCTGCAGGAACTTTGGTCTCCCAGGAGGTAGGGTCAATGGCGACAAATGGGGAGCGAGGAGCGAGTCTCTTGACGACTCCCTCCCAGCTGGATCACAGTTCAGCAAGCCCATCATAGTAGTAGACGTGCATCCAGCCAGTACTGAGCGCGGTCCAGGGTGGCTGGGGAGACGGGGAATTTTCGAGCAAGAAGGTTGAACAGAGGGACAGGGCGGGCTGCATGGGTCGATCCATTTCCTCCTAAACTTACACCATCTAGAGGACTGTGATACGTCAGAGTACCCATACTTACTGGAAGGTCGGTACTTGCGTGCTTTGATTACACCCTTACTTACCTCACCTACTTACCTAGGTACAATACGAGTATTGCGTGCATTCGCCCTGGTCCCCCCAAGTCCCCTGCGCTAGTCAATAGCATGCTCGGAGGCACATCTCTACCAGTCACCGGTCACCTCTCCTCGCCCTTTGTCCCCTTGTGATGTCTGCTTTTCTCTATCGCTCCCCCTTCTCCAATTCTTCGCACTATGCTCCCTTGGGCACAAGCCCCGCCACCCACGGTAACATGGCTCGAGATCTTTTCCCAGTTTCCATTCCCTGGCCCCCAGCCCCAGCCCTAGCCCTAGCCCTAGCCCAAGCCCAAGCCCACCAGCTAATATACCATACCTATCTGAGCCCTTGTCCAACTGGGACGATCTCGGGGGACGGGGGGGGACTGGCGGGGCGGAAAAGATAAATGGCTCTCTCTTAAAACCACGTGGCATGGTGGGATCGCCCATCTGTGCGCCGTTGGCGTTGGTGTTGGTGTGTCGTGCATCATCCACTTCTCGTGATTCTCGTCGGCTCGTCATATCGATCCTCCCTCCCATATGTAGGTAACAGTAGATCTGTTGCCCCCGAGGAGAGTCTGTTTGCTGACTTTGGGGGTGATGTGGTCGGAACACACGACGGCCAATGTCAAGACAACCGTCTCCTCCCATCGGTGGCTATGAGGGAGGCAGGAGCTGGTCCGAAAGAGCTAACGGCCACCACCCTAACCACCGTTATCTGCTCCCCTCGATTGACCGTCCCGGTCGAGGAGGTAGTATTTGCAACCGTGGTCCGAGCTGGGCTCTTGTGCCCCGTCCACCGTCCACCGTCCACCACCGCCCCTTCTTCCCTGGCGGCCAGTCTTTGTTCTCTGATACGGTGCGCAAGTTCTGTGCATATTCGCTCCCCTAGGGCCCTAGCCATGCACTCAATCACTTGACCCAACCTCTCCCCCCCTGGATGCCGCCCTAAAATTAGTTGCAGGTGGGTGACCCTTGTCCAACACCCTTCCAAGAGACGCACCGCACCACCCGGATCTCTGTTCTACCTCATGGATTACTTCCACCGACCTGCGTCCGGTATTTCAGGAACCGGTGTCTCATTCGATCATTATCACCGCCCTGTCGTCCCCTATCACACCCCCCCCCCCCCAAGTCCCGGTCCTGGTCCTGGCATCTGTCTAGCTCCCTCAAGCTAGCCGCAGGCTGAGGGGCTGGTCGTTGTTGTCCTTCCCCCCACCTGCCACCTGGCAGCACCTTCGAGGCGTCTTCTAGAACAATTCTAACCCTGGCCGCAATTTCGCCAACCCTTAGTCCCCCTCTCTTCAAGCCGGGATTGGGGGGATTGGGGGGATTGGGGATCACAGACACAGACTCTCAGCTCCCTGTAGCCCCGTAACTGTCTGAAACCTCGGACTAGGGAGGAGAGCTGACCTCAATCCGACCCCCGTCGCCAGCAAGCCCCCAATGATTGATTGATTGATTGTGCGTTATGTCATGGGCGGTTAGCAAGCCACCCAGCCTAGGGGGTCACAAGGGCCAGCCATCGTCCCGCTCTTCCAAACCATCTTCCATCAGGGAGGGCTTCTAGCGTGTTTCCATAACGGGACTAGCTCCGCCCAGCCATGATGATGGAGTTCAGCCTGAGCCGACCCAAAAAAAAAGCTGCCTTTCGTTTGCTGCCTTTTTTTCCTTCCCAGAGAGGCTGAGCTGACGTCTCCCTTTCTTCCCGGCAACGGGAGGGGGATGGGATGGGCTAAATGATCGTGTCCGACGCCTCCCTCGCCAGATTGAACCTGACTCACCAGTGGCTTTTTGGGCGAGTTGTAACTTGTTTGTTCCCCCCTCCCCGTGTTGGCGGACGGCTCTGTCTCAGCCTTGCCAGAGAATTTGGCATGGCATGGCATGGCTGACTTCACCCAACGTTTGGGTTCCGTCTTTCATCAGGTTTGCCCTCGAGTCCACTTCTTCGAGGCGCAGCCCGCTCGAGCAAAGTCCTTCCGTCCGTCATCGCCATCGCGCGGCGGGAAAAGAGCCTTTGTTGTTGGGCCATTGGGCTTCCTTCCGCCCAAATTCCCGCCTTTCGCAAAAGTGTGGGTTTCTGAGGCCGACCACTTAGCCTCGCGCTGTCGGCGGATTTACTCTACTCGTTGTTACCTCATCCTCTTCCTCTCCTCTCCTTCGCCCTTCCACACTCTGTCCATTTCGCCCAATCCCTCCCCAGCGATCTCAAACAATGGTCCTTGTCCCCTCCCCTGGCCCTGCCCTGGCCCTGCCCTGATCGATTCTGCCCTGGCGATCTGGCATCCGCGCCCACAGCAGCAGCCCCGTCCCCGTCAGATTCTCTCTTGAAATCCTCCTACATCCCATCCCATCCCATCCCATGTGCCCTCGCTCGCGCGTTCATGATTTCCATTTGCAACTCTCTCTTTCCCAAGTGATAACTTTGCCCTTTGCCTACCCCCCTTTTGCCTTTTGCCTCTTGCCTCACTCGACTCCATCAGTGTTTCCACTTATCCCGTAGCCTCGTTGGCTGATGGGGAGCGTTGCCACCTTGCTCACCTACCTGTGCCTCCCCCCCTTGGAGTCCCTTTGGGTTGGCCGGGATTGCCTTTTCGTCCTGACTGTGCGATGCTGATCGGATCCCTTCTCCTACCTTCCCTTCACCTTCCTTGGCCAGTGTGATCCATTAGCATCGTCCATTTTGGCACGGCCTGGTCGGAAAGGCGGTCGGTCTCCCAAGCCTTTGCTCCACCCCGATATTCCCTGCCCTGTCGCTGTGCGCCTGTCTGTCCCTCCCTTGCGCTTCACTACTTGGTCGAAGGGACAAAAGCCCCCTGCATCGCCACAGTATCGTCGCGGGTTTGTTATAGAGAATGCGATAAAAAGCGCCTTGCACCCCCCTTGCTTTCTTCTTCCTCTCGAGACCTTTTCCAGACACCATCCAACAAGGCCACAGCAAGTACAACATTGACTCTTCTTCCAACATCAATCACCCCCAACGCCGACATCCACGCCATCCAGCCAGCCAGCCAGCCAGCCAGCCAGCCAGCCAGCCAACCTCGTGACCCCTCGCATCAAAAGCTCAACGGTCTTACCATCCACCACAATCATGACCCGACCAACTTCGACCGCCGTCCAGACCAAGCACGCGATGGCCTTGACCAGTTCTCAAGGCACCAAGAAACCCCCTTCCAGCCCAAAGCCCATTACGCGTAAGTCATCCCGTCCACCCCCATGAGGTCCTGGCTACAGAGACATACAGACTAACCCGCTGCAGCGTGGAGCTCGAAGACGGTGCGGGTATAGTGAAGGGCAGGAGGTAGAGGGTAGTAGCGGGACGGCCACCTTGGGGGGGGAGAGGACGAATGTAACTGCTGCTCGACGCGGGCTGCCCGCGTCGCCATCCAGGCTCGGCAGATATGACGCCCGGCCGGGGGGGGGGGGGGGAGGAGGGGGGAAGAGTGGGAGCAAGGAGTTCCTTTCTAGCACTCGAGCATTGACACCAACGATGGGGGGCCGGGGGCGGGCACGTGTTGGCGTATGGGGCGAATGGGCGTCAAAAGACTTCTGGGGCAAACCATGGGGCATATGTACAAGAGTCGACTATAGATGGGAAGGATGGGAGTGGAATAATTGGACATCTTGGGGGGCGTCGCCATTTTTCATATACCCGACAACACGCTCTGACGTCATCGCATGTATCAAATGTAACAATATCATCAACACCAACCACTGTTGTATCACACAGGCAAACAAGGCGATTGGGGAGGTGCTCCATGGCGCATATGGATGGCGCGTTTGCTCAATAGACTTCGGCTCAATAGATTTCAGTTTCCACCCATTCACCTTGCGTCTAGATTCCTGTCTCAATAGATGTCAACCTCTTCGAAACTACTGTCAGCCCTGCCAATTGTGAACCCTGGATCCTTCATTCCATTACCCTCGCGCTATCTAACAGCCGGTGCCTTGTTCAAATTCTCAATCACCTTCCAGCACAGCCGCCGCACATTTATATACCGGAAAGTATTCAAGTGATACTCACCCGGCTCCAGCCTGTCGGGTTTCTCGCTCACTGCGACTGGGTCAGACCAGGGTTTCCGGCTGGAGGAGCAAGCTTCACGCTTACCGTGGTCCTCGATCTCGCGCCACAGTTGGCCCTCCAAGTCGAATTCTCGGGCGTGGCGTTCGCTGGGGGAATCATGCTCGCCGGACGTCGCCACCGTTCTGCTCAAGGCATACTTGTGGAAGGACAGGAGATAGTCGCACACTCTTTCTTCCATCTCTTCAATCTTGGCCTGGGCTTGTTCCTGGGAGCACGCCAGACCGTCCTCGGTCGGAGGCATGTAGGGGAAGAGGAACAGGGCGATCTGGGCCCGGCCAAGGAATACCACCAGGATCAAAAGCATACACAGCACCAGATCCCTGTCGCTCTGGGGCGACTTCTGGCTCAATGCCATCTTAAACATCTTATCGTGAAGAATTTTGAGGAGCTGCTCCGCAGCCTTTTCGGCTCCTGGGAGGATCGAGGCTTTCAGAAAGCGGTTGATCGTCTCGGGTATGACATTTTGATGACGTGGAGCGCCAAAGCGCGCTCTCGCTGAGAGATTGACTTCAAGGGTCGGTACCGCTTCGGCTGGAATGGTGAATTTGTTGATGAGTAGATACTCGAACCACAAAAGCCGCAGAGATTCCCGGAGGACCGAGTGTTCGGCTATGTCGTCTCTGTAGTACCTTCCGATAAGGCGTAGAATTTGGGCCTCGAAATCTCCGTGTGCGTCCTCGAAGTACTGTTCAGTCCACTGGACATACTTATCCGGATCATTCAATACTCGGTCAAATATCTCGACGAGATTCCCGCGAATTTGCATGATTGTCCCGTCGAATCCGCGATCCCGAATCCACATGACGATTGGTGGATTCCAGTTCTGCTGTATGTCCAACGACCTTTGCCCATTCGAGTGGTGGGATGTCTGGAATGCATAACGGATCTCCAAATCTGGTTCAAGCGGGGAGAACTCCATGACAAAGACATCCAATGGAATGTCGATGTGGAGGTTCAACTGGATCTGGAAAGGTCGATAGGTTACAGGAGTGGAAGTGCTCTGAAGATACGGGTGCAGATAACTTTTGCGTAGGCGAAATGTCAACTCATCTGTCTGGTCAGCGGCAAGTATCATGAATCGATGGGTGATCTTACCAGGAAAGAGGCAGGCCCTACAACCATCCCAGTCGTAGTGATATGGAATACAGTATTTTGGGCACTTTCGCCGGTCCTTTCTCGAGCAATTGGCACAAGGGCTGCCACAGTCGCACTTTCAGGTGTCAGCTTCCCATGGCAGTAGCTATGGATAGGTGGACAAACCCTTTCCCTCATGATTGCACAGCGGAGGCAAGCGCCCCGTTTTCGCACATCGCGGGTCTGTTGTCTCTGGGCCGGGTTAAGAGGCCCAGTCCGACCGCCGCCTCCTCTTTCACGTATGACGAGCGTGCGACGATACTCCTGGATGGGAAGCACCGGAAGACTTGGCTCCATATTGAGAAATCGATTTTCATGACGGAAAGGGTGTCCACTCCATGGCTCACTTTGGCCGGGGTACCTTTGTTGCCCGATTGGCAATTGATTTTGCGGTGAATGGAACTGGGGACTCTGGTACAGATACTGGGCCGTCTCGGGCAAGGGAGCATGAGCGTCGATGCCCACTACAGCCTCTGCATGAACACGTCAGTGAATCAACAAGTCGAAAGATTGGAGCCACGATCTGACCTGTCATTGCACTGTCAGCTCCCGACATGTAGTCAGGAGCTATGACTGTTGGATGCACGGGCTGGTCACTCGCATGGTCGACGGCATGGGCGGGATGGTATGTCGACACGCTGGCGCTCGGGCTGGGGGTGCCATCAGCATCTGGAGAGAACTTCCGAGCACGCCCTAAAGCTGCAGTATAGCTTGTACTTGTCGAGGTCGCCACACTACGGCGAGAAAGCGTGGACCGGGTACTCACGGGGCTGAGAGCATCTGTGGTCGACGGAGTGGTTGGGTGTTCGGCCACAACCAAGCCATAGGCGCGAGGTTGCCCAGCCTGCCAATGAAGCTGCGGTGTCGGAGTCGAAAACGGAGGGTGAGACGGCTGATTGTATCGAGGCTGGGTCCAGGGCAATCCGAATTGATCAAAACTCTGGCTGGGTTCAATCCTTGGAAGAGGGAAAGTGCCTTGGAGGTGGCCAGACCGCCGTCGGTGCCGCCCCATTGGTGATCGGGGCAGACCGTCGATCGATCTTATCCACGGGTTGGAGGTGTCGGTCCGGACAGCCCTCAACAAGTATAGGGTTCAAAGGCAGAAGAATGCCTGAAAGCACAGCAATCGAGCAGTGGTGATTTGGGCAGGACGCGTGGGGGGGAGGAGGGGAGGGATGGGAAAGGGAAAGAGACCATCAGGCGACGAGGCGACTGCGGGCAGGGTTTATGAAGAAATCGCAGACGTAGCAACTTGTGAGACCGACTTCGCTTTGAATGGATGGTAGATGGATTGCAGAGCGCACAAGGGAGTTAGTTCACTTCAACGCATCATCCGCGTGGGCTCGCTTCGACATGCCAGATGGTTATCTCTGGGTAGCCAGGAAAATGAGGGGCATGGTGATGGTGGTGTCATGGCAGCATGCTGGATATAGCGGGACGGTGATTCTGATCCATTGAAAACAAAGCATGAAGCGTGAGGCATGCTGGAGCAAGCGTGAAATGCACCTTTGTGGTCTGCTGAGAGGCTGTTTGGTAGTAGGGTAGCAAGACAGCAGGGAAGCAGGGTAGCAGGACGAAGCATCTAACCAACCCTAAGCGACTAACATGCACACCCTTGTCACCGGTTAGAGATATCTTCCAACCAGATGCTGTTTTTTCAGCCGCACCCGACCCGTCAATTCCAAGCCGTGCTGGCACCATGTCATGCGTTGCCGAAGCTGGCCGGCGGAACACGGCTGGCAGTAGGTGCCCGACTGTGTTTGGCCAACGGCACTTTGGTGAGCCTGCGCTTTAGCTAAGCCGAACAGGAGGACCTTTGGCACCCCTTGGGCCTCAGTCTCGCAACAACATGTGATCTCAGTCGACACTTCTGATGGTATGAGAAAGACCAATGGCTGATGTTCTGTCCAATGCCAACCCAACTAGCACGTCGGAGGTGGTATGTTGCACAGAGCGATTCTGGAAGGAATTCGAATGTGCGATGCCCTCCGAGTGAGGCCGGAGGAGACAGCGGAGGACAGTGCATGTCTGCCTGGCAACTGTATGTGCCTGGGTGGATGGTCGAAGGGAAGAGAAGGAAGAAAAGATGTAGGAAAGGAAAGGAAAAAGAAAGTGCGCAGCATCCCGTCTGGAAATGCAGTCAATGCCTTTTAAGTAGAAAGTGACATTTTGCCTGTTTTGTCAATGCTCTTGCCACTAGCACGTTGCAACGGCCATCAGCACATAATTGGCCTCACCAAGTAATTCCTAAAGGTACAGCCAGGCAACAGTACGCGAATAGGGCCATTGATATGCTAGGGCTGAAGGGCTGAAGTGCTGAGTGCTCTTTGTTCCCCAGATCATGCAGAGTCTACCACTGGATTGGTCCGGCCGCTACGGCTCTCGACCAGTAGAACTATTGTCAATGTATCAAATATCAAGCTCGTATCTTGGTGCGCTCCAATGCCCACCCTGTCGCTATGCTCATACCATCGATAAACATGCAAAGGTGTTCCCTTCCTCGCATTTCAAACCCCGTTTTGGCACCCCCGGTGATCGAACGCCATTGAAAGCCTGATTTCCAGGCATCCCAGCCCTAAGCAACATGTCGTACCCAGAATGCCCCCAACCCTTCCACAGGGATGGTTGATTCTTCCCATCCTCAAACAGTATACTTTGTCTTTGCTCGCGTGCTGCCTGCATGTGCAGCGTCTGTGTGGCCACTGAACTCCAGTTGATCGTTGTCGGGAATCTGAAGCACTTGCTTGAACCTGGCACCAATCTTCATCAGGGTGTCTTTACCACCAGCCTTTCCGGTGGTGCGAGTCCACAATCCAATTCGGTAGAAGCTCTTTCGCACGTTGACCACAACGCCCATGATCTCATTGTCTCCATCGTCTTCGAGCGTTTCACCGATCGCAGCCAGTTGAGTGTGCAGCCATAGTTCGTCGATGTTGACGGCTTTCTTATCCTTGAATGTGTAGGACCACTTGCCACCATGCTTGTTCTGGGGATCTTCCCACTCCGGTCGTACTCCTCGCTTGAACAGGTGGTAGTCAGACTTGACGGCAAGGTCTGAGGTGGCTGTGATGTTGTTCTATTGACACATTAGACGTTTTTTGACCAGTAAATACTCCGCGCGAACATACGTATACACCCCAGAATTCCTCGACGGTGTCGAATGTGATCACCTCCTTCAGCAAATCGTTCCAGTTGTCGCCTTTTGAAGAGGGTGGTTTGGTGAACTGTTCACATCAAGTCAGTGCCAGAAGGGAAGTGACTGCGGCGTTTCGACTCACCCAGAGACTCCAGGTGTTGAGCAGAGGGTGCTTGACGTTGAAGTTGTTGACATCGTGGAAGATGGTCTTGATATCATCAGATGTTGCGGGTGCTGCGTTTTCGTTTGACACAGGGCCGGGAACCGGCTGGGGCATTTCGACTTCGGCCATTATCGAAAACACTCAGGTGTTGCGGATTGAGGCTGCAATTCTAGGGTAGTGGAAGCAAATAATCGATGCAAAGGCACGACGGAGGGAAAGGCGGCCGGCAGGGAGGGAAAAAAGGTCGAGGGGGTTTGATTCGTGCAGTGAGTAGATTGTGGCAAAACTCGGTCTAATGCGAGCACCCTGGACAGCGAAAAGACGCCTTGGTGCAGTGTACGTTCAGGAACCAGATCGTGGTCGGGTAAGAGCAAGCGGCACCTCTCAAGTGACTTCTACAAAGTGCAGCAACAAAAGTCAAGATTTCGAGGCTGCTGCGGGTGAAGATTGAAACTTGCGCCTCCGCTGCTGCAGCCAGCGAGCGGCACATGAAATAAAATCCGCAGACTCCAAATGCGGCTTAGCTTCCTTCGTGACACAAGCACACGCCCCGGTTCCTCTCGGCTCTCAATTGCTCTCTTCCTCCCATCCTCTTTCTCTCTCGACTTCTTCGTGTGCTATGTGGTTTCCTTGTCAAATATAGTTGGTGAACTCTGCTCACAGATGCTACGTCTCTAATCGTGCTGTCATGCAGATCCCAGGGATGCTAGAAATGCTAGATCAGAAGGCCAGCCCTCCATGCATACCTCGCTATGCTACACTCATTTCGAGCTATTGAGATAGCTCAAAAAGCAGTTCCAGCCCAGACTCACAACATTCACGACCAGGACCCTATGCTCAAGAGGCACCAACTTGAAGTTCACAGCCTGAACTGCCGGCCATATTGCCCAGTTGGCCTTGAGCCCTGGAAGGTAACTCTTGGCGAGCTTCTCCTTAGGATCACTTCCCTCCAATACCGACATGCTCGAGAGGAAGAGGGCGAGATTGCATGTGGCAAAGATCGTTTGATCCGCAGCAACTCGCGCCAATATCGTCATGTTATGTGATTGAAGGTTGATGTTCTTCTGCAGAAAGCCATACCATTTGGTCGCTGCTGGACCGAACACACCTGGCCGTGTCAGCTCCCTCCACGGAACACCAGCAATGTCGAACTTACAGCCGCCATACAAGCACATTCGAGCTGTCCGAGCGCCGTCATGGTTTTTGAGTCCTTTCCGCTCCACGGCCTGCTGGGCAAGAGTGTCGCCCGCAGCAAATAGTACCTTGGTTGGTCAGCCAAGTCTTGAAGATGTCATTGGAGTAAGGGTCATTACAGCGGTGGTAACGGATTGGGTCAACAGTGGCCGCTTTGCCAGCTTTGCTTGATACCTAGTCCAGGTCAGTCGTGGACATATCAGAGCGGAGCTCTCGATAAAACGAACCAGCGTATCGGCATCTTTCCTTCCTCCGCTTTGATATACGAGATTCCTCAGATAAATCAGTCAAATAGCATAGTATTGTGCCGCTAATTCTTGGACTTGGCTCAGGCCATATGAGAGCAGATTGAAATACCGATGTTGGGGGCAATCTGGGAGACCTGTTTTCCAGGGTTTGCAATGCGTCATTGGCTTGCCCCAGCGTTGGCGGCGGAGAGGCTGCCATGTCTGAAAGTCAATCCGCACATCCGAATGCAGTATAGCCCACAACTCCAAAAACAAAATCTCTTGGCGTGAATTTGCGAATCTTCAAATGCGGATTGACTGGTTCACCCGAGACTTAGCAGAGACTCAACCTGCAACTTGCGCCCACTGCCCGACAATTTCTAATCTGCGCAATCATACAGCATGGCCGACGCTGCTCCCCGAGGACGCGGCGGTTTCGGTGATCGAGGACGTGGAGATCGGGGGAGAGGTGACCGTAGGGGGCGACGAGGTCCACGCCGTGGTGCAAAGTCCGACGAGAAGGAATGGCAGCCGGTCACCAAGCTGGGCCGTCTGGTCAAAGCAGGAAAAATCCAGAGCATGGAACAAATCTACCTGCACTCGCTGCCCATCAAGGAGTACCAGATTGTCGACTGGTTCTTGCCCAAACTCAAGGATGAAGTCATGAAGGTGAGGGATCACAACCTACGTGATATCTTAGGACCATGGTCCTTCTGGCAGAGCATGTTTTTTTTCTGACAGGTCCGCCTCGTTGTACAGATCAAACCCGTCCAGAAGCAGACCCGTGCCGGTCAACGCACTCGATTCAAGGCCATCGTGGTCATTGGCGACAGCGAGGGCCACGTCGGTCTCGGCATCAAAACCTCGAAAGAAGTCGCGACTGCCATCCGCGCCGCCATCATCATCGCCAAACTCTCTGTTCTTCCCATCCGACGAGGCTACTGGGGCACCAACCTCGGTGAACCTCACTCCCTGCCCACCAAAGAATCCGGCAAGTGCGGTTCCGTCACGGTTCGATTGATCCCCGCTCCTCGAGGTACCGGTCTCGTCGCTTCTCCGGCTGTCAAGAGATTGCTACAGCTTGCCGGTGTGCAAGACGCCTACACTTCATCTGCGGGTAGCACGAAGACGTTGGAGAACACGCTGAAGGCGACGTTCGTGGCGGTTAGCAACTCTTACGGATTCTTGACCCCCAATCTGTGGAAGGAGACGAAGCTCATCAGAAGTCCGTTGGAGGAATATGGTGATGTTCTGAGAGAGGGCAAGCGCTACTAGGCCGCACAGGGGACTTGAAGACGAACAACAGGTGATAAGGGACGGCTTCGAAAGCTGCATTGGCAGACATGAGAGACAGCTTTGCAAGGCGTACGGACAAAATAAGACAAGTCTGTACCTGATCAAGAAAATACCATGATTCAAATGTGCTTCAAATCTTTGGCCATTGCTCTGTTTATGTGATCTCTATATCGGTGGAATCTGGTCCACCACAGATACATCGCACGTGCCAGCCTCCCACGCGCAATGCGCAATCCATTGACTACGCATGGAGATGTCTCTCAGGGCAGCAGGTGTCGATTGTGGCCAGTGCTACTCCGGTCTCACAAACCCCGTGTCGAAGTTTGTAGGCCTGCACAACGATCAACCAACCGACAGGCTTGTTAGGCCTAGCGAAGTCTAACCGCGTGCCTCAATCCTCCATGGCCATCTCTTCCATTGCCTTTACCGCATTCTCCAGTTCTCGTATCCTCGGTCCCACCCGACTCTGAATCTCCTTGCTGACCTCGGGGCTCGTCTCCTTCAGCGCTTTCTGGAAGGCCTCTTGCAGCATCTTCAATGCGTCCGCCGCAGCCTCTCTGTCATCGGCGGCATAGACCGTTTTCTTCTCCGTCTCTTCAGCTGCGATTTCAAATTCGTCTTTTGCCGTGGCGTACAGCTCGTTGAGGTTTTCCATCAGAGCGTCGGCGGTGGGTGATTGCGCATATTGAGGAGAGGAGCTGTGGAATGATGCTGAAACGGCACGGGGATTGAAAACCCGTGAAGGTGTCGGGGGTGAGGCCCTGCCGTGCTGAGTTGGTCGGAAAAGACAAGATGCTGCCCTCCATGGTTGAAGGGTGTGAAGCGAGTGAAATGACCCCGTGGTCCGTCGAACGGACTTTAAAGCAGCTGTGCGGATCATGGCTGCGACCGCTGCTCACAGAGACGAGGCGGATTCGGCAGGACGAGGATGGAGATGGCTGGTTGTAAACACAGAGCGTGCAAGGTTTGAACCGAGGCGGCGTTTAGCAGCTGGCGGCGGTTTGGAGGCAGCCACAGCAGCATCTGAATGATGACGTCTGGTTGAAAGCTGCAGCCATTCAGGGCCGCGAGTTGCTCGCATCCTTCGCAAATCCGGGGAAACGCAGCCGCTCTATCATGTTCCTGCATTGGATTGCTATTCTGTTTTCCCTCCCATGGCCCCCCTGGCTCACCAAGATGCCCATAGCAAGGAGTCTTGCATTTCCAGTGCGGCAGGCCAATCCCGACAGAACCAACTGGGAAACCCTCGTTGCTGCCACGGAACCCGCGTGACGTGATGCTTTGCAGTGTCTGCTTTGTGGCACCCACAGACGCCCGTGCCTTTCGCAATGACGTCCTGCGGCGCTGCTCCCCTCTGGATACTTCACCCTACCAATGAGATACCTATTGGCAAACTGTGTTGGTTCTCACGAGTCCAGCGTTGCCCAGCCCAGCTGAAGCTGCGTCATCGTTGCGCGACTCGCCCTTTCGTGAAAAGAGAGCTGCTTCGTTTGTCTTGTGTTTCCTTCACTACGTTTCAGATCATACTCTCAGCACTTTCCGCCATTCGTAGTCTACATTACTATTCCCTCCCATCTCTGGAATCATTGATAGCACCTTCATAGCACTACATGATGCTAGGAAGAACACCCACGGCAGCTCTTCGCTCGGGTCGGGCACTGAGAGTTCGTCGACCAGTCCATGTCCCTCCAAAGCCTCGCAACATCCGCTTCCAGTCTACAGCTCCCACCAAAACTGCTACCGATGCCTCGTCATCTTCAAGCCAGGCTCTTCTGGGAGGCTTGGCTGGTGGCACTTTTGCCTTCGTGCTAGGATACATGTGGTATCAGTTCTCGGGTGCCAAAACTGCCTTGAACACGATACACTCGACGAAAGCCTACGTGGACGATGCCTTCAAGAAGACGACTCAGAACGCCCCGGAGCCTAATCAAGCCATCCAGTGGCTGAGGGAGACGGTACAAAGCTACACAAGGATGATTCCTGGGGCCTCAAAATACGTCGACTCTGCTTTCGAGGATGTGGACAAGGTTCGGGAGAAGCATGGAGACGAAGTAGACGAAATCGTCAACGATACCTACACGAAGCTGAAGGATGTCACCAAGAAGGGGTTCAGCATGGAAGCTGTCGTGCAAGTTTGGGGAATTCTTGAAGATTGTTTCAAGCGAATTGGCAGTCTGGCAGCCAGCGCTGGACAAGACATCCTAGACAACCACCCCCAGTTGAAGAGTCAGTTTGGAGGCAGGTTCGAACAACTACAGCAGATGGGCGAGCAGTATGGCCCGGAAGCCAAGAAGGCAGTTGACGAGACCTGGCAGCAGGCGCGCGACATTCTGGCGGGCGGTGTCAGCTTCTCGACAGTGCAGAAACTTCAAGATCTATTGCAAGAGAAGGCACAACAGCTGAAGAAGTACGGCGACCAAGCCTGGCAGAAGGGTATGGAGCAGGCCAAGCCGCTCTTGGACAAGCAACCGCAGATAAAGAAGCTCATCGAGGAGAACAAGTCAAAGCTGCTCCGTGGAGATCTAGGTCAATTATGGCAGAAGGTCCAAGAGGCGGCTCAGTCAGGGAATACAGACGACCTGCAAAAGTTCGTCAAGGACCAAGTAGACAAAGCCTCCGAAAATGCCGGGGGTGGCATTGAGCAGTTGCTCAACATGATGCCTGGTGGATCAGAGATTGGAACAAAGCTGCAGCAGTTGCAGGAGCTCAGCCAAAAGCATGGACAGGAGGCAGAAAAGCTGGTCAAAAGTGCAATTGAGGATGTGAAGAAGGTGTTGTCCAAGAAGGTTGAAGAAGGACAGCAACTAAAGGAGAAGGTCAAGTCGGAGGCATAAGTGCCATCTCTGGGATTCGAGAAGGATCAAAAGCCAGTGTTTCAGCTGGAGGAGATGGCCAAACAAAAGGCGATACTGGTTTCCCTGCAGGATTACGGACCAAAACGAGCGCTAGCCCACGATACCTAGGTCTTGAAAGGCGAACTGCCTGGGCGGAATTGATTGATAATACTTCCATATATACATACTATCACGCAAAAACCTGCCGGTCATCTTCGCCGAGTGATGAAGCCGCTTACTACTTTGCTCACCCTCGATTCGCCAACGAGTCTTGGGGTCCTTCTCGGGCTTTTGACCTTCCCTCCTCCTCTACCAACTTTGGTCTACTATGGACAATAGGATCTGTTTAGGGTGGGTGCTGGGAGACGCTCCTTCGGTGCTGTCCTGCGTGGTCACGATGAAATTCGAAGGTCGGATTGAAGCGGCCCGCGACAGAGTCCGACTCAGTTGCATGAGAGCAGCGACCTGCAGATGGAGAGACTTTTTGGCAGGTAAAAATCGACTCCAGATATGTTCTGGGTTGTCCGATCATATTGCACTTTTCACGTCCGTCCTGTGCTGGAGACCATGCCGCCATCCACGACGAGTTTCTGGCCCGTCACATAGCGCGCGGCGACGTTGCTCGAGAGGAAAAGGACGGCGTTGGCCATGTCCAGGGAGGTGCCCATCTTCCCTGCCGGCACCTGGGCGTTGCGCGTCGCCACGAACCCGTCATAGTCGCCGTCGGCGTACTTGTTGGCAATGGTGTGCACGAGCGGCGTGAACATCAGGCCCGGTAGGACGGCGTTGAGCCGGACGCCCTTGGCGGCGTAGATGACCCCGGAGTGTTTGGTAAAGGTCGTCACGGCGGCCTTAGTCGCGGCGTAGGCGACCTGGGGCTTGCCGATGTACCGCATGCCGGCGATGCTGCTGACGTTCACGACCGCGCCGACGCCCTGCGCCTCCATGGCGGGGAGGACGGCGTGGCACATGAGATAGACGCTCTTGAGGTTGACGGCGACCTGGGCGTCCCAGACCGCCTCGTCCATCTCGGCCGGGCCCCCCTTCTCGCTCTTGCCGACGTTGTTGACGAGAATGTCCACGCGGCCGTGCCTGCGCAGACATGCCTGCACGAAGCCGTCCACGGAGGAGGAGGAGGTGACGTCCGCCTTCACGACGTCCACCACGGCCCCAGGCACGGCGGCCTCGATGCGAGCTTTGGTCCGCGTGGCGGCCTCGAGGTTGACATCGCACCCGAACACCTGCACGCCGTTCCGAGCCAGTGCCAGAGATATCGCCGCGCCGTTGCCCCAGTTGTCTGTGATGTCGGGGGGCCCGTCCTGGCCGATCCCAGTCACGATCGCGACTTTGCCTCGGAGGTCTGGGTAGATGGGAAGGTCGGCGTTGGTCATGCTGAGACAGGGCCGTGCAGGTCAGTGCCACACGACAGCGCCGTGGCTTTAGGGCCTGGGGTGGTTGTAGGGCCTTCAAACGACGTCGTGGTGTAAGAAATTAAGCGCTGTGGTAAATGTATGAAAGCCGCCTGTTGAGGTCAGTGGATATTTGGTTCCATACCCTTTATGTATATTTGTCCGATTTCGGTTGACAAAGACGCATGGCGTCCTGTGTGCATCGAAGTGCTACGGGTCGAAAAATGGGACCGAGGGCAATCGGTAGTATCGTTGTCAGTTTGGCGGGGATGGAGAAAGGTGACCAGGTCATCTTCCTCCAACATCTCCATGCCGTGACCAGTATCTCTTGCTTCCTATGTACTTGTACAGCCGGTGTAAATGATCTCCATTATTTCCTCCATAGCAAAAAGTCCCGTACAACCCTTCGACTCTCTAAGGGAGGCGTTTTCTAACGGCATTGGAGCCTCACACTGAAGGCGTCCGACAATCCATTTTTTCCAACTGTCTCTCCCTTCTCCAGCCTCTCACCTTACCTGTCGGTTGGAATCTAGTGAATAAACACTTCTAGGCCCGTTCCGAGAATAGGCATATCCAACCAACAAACTCCTTTTCTGCAGCGTTGCCTTATCCAGGCCTGCTGGGACGACAGCATCAGAGAACCAGCTACAGAATACAGAGCCATCCAGGGCGGCCGGACTCTCGGGCGATGCACGACTGTGCATGTCGTTGATCTCCGACCCTCCAAAACTGTCGTTCTCATCATCACGGTCCGACGTGTAGTCCGCCGCGCCGGGATGGTCTTGCGGCAACCGACGAGGAGCTGGTGAGCCATCGCCGTGGTCTGGAAGCTGGATATCTTGGTGAGGTGATTGTTTGAATGACCATGTCGTACTAGCAGCATAAGTCGGCGGGCGTCCATCTGGAGAGGACGGACTGGTACGCCGGCACGCTGAGATCTGCTGGATCGAAGTAACCATGGACTCGAGCATGGATCGGTGAAGAGTCTCCAACGACCCACCAATCTGGACTCGGTCCAGGATTTCAAGACTTGTTGCCAGAGAGTTGGCGTATTCGCACAGCGTTCCTGAACATTGGCGGGAATGCAAACTCGAGGAAGCCCCGTCCGTCGATTTTTCGAGACAGGAACCTGGTGACCAGCTCGCGCGTCCCAGTGGTTTGTTGTTTCTGCGACACCCGTCGGACGAGCTGGGGCGACTCTGCCGATTCCTCTGTATCTGCGTCCCTTGGGGGTGGCGGATGGATTTGTAACTGTTTCTATCTCTCAGCCAAAGGGGACTTGATAGAATGTCCATGCAAAACTTGCACTCCATGCCTCTTGCTCACAAGGTGACAATCGATTCCATCCCTTTCACAATTGACGCACGGCAAGTCCTCGCGGGTTACAATGCATCGTACCTTGCGACTTCTGCACAGCGAGCATGCAAAAGGAGCGCGGGGGGCAGAGCGACGATTGACACCACCTTTCCGCCGATGCGCTTCCATGCCGCGCTCGCAAAGTAATACCACAGGCGACGTTTCGTATCTGAAGAACAGCAAATTTTGAAAAAGTCAAGAGCCGTTTCTTGGAGTTGCCGAGTGGATTTCCTCGTGCCTATAGTCGTATAGCGTCGACTCTTTCGACTGTCCACGTTTGGCAGACCTAGGTGGCGTTGGAACTTTGCCTGACTGCATGGCCTAGGTATTCTCACTGGCCCCGGTCCAACCCAGACGAGGTTGGATACCTCTATCCGGGACCTGTCGAGTCTGGGAGTTGGAGACCGCCCCGGCTGCTTGGATCCACCGCAGTGCACGCAACTCGACAGAGGTGGAGAGAAGATGGGAGATTCTGGAGATTGTGGAGATTGTGGAGGTTGGGCTTGTGGCTTGCTCGGGGAAGCCAGGGTTGACTACGTTCTCCACAACTCCATGGACATGACCCGTATACTCGTGACCGACATTCGAGCTGCCAAAAGCCTTTTCGACAGCAGGGCGGCCTCCTCGGGAGATCAACGAGAAGTTCTGGGCCGGGGTGACACAAACTTTGCCCAGTCGTGGGATAAATACGCGGCCTGTGGTCCTAGGCGGCCGCGAAGTAACGCTTGGGTGTCAATGGTTCTTGTACAGGTGCTCAATCCTTCCGAGCCAGGCTGCTGTAACCATCTGGAACCCCCAAATCTAGGAAAATCTCAATATGGGAAAGCACCATTTCGACGTAGTCGTGGTCGGCGGAGGCAACACAGCCTGTTGCGCGGCCCTGTCTGCGTATGAAGCTGGAGCAAATGTGGCAATGCTCGAAGCGGCTCCGAAGGACAAAAGAGGCGGTAATAGTCGGTTTGCAGGCACTGCGTGGCGATTTCCGCATGATGGAAAGGAACACCTAAGACCGTTGCTATGTGCGGACAGCCTTGGGGATATGGACCGCTGCACTATGGGTCCGTATACCAACGAGGAATTCACCCGAGACATGCTGAAGAAGTCCGGGGGAAGACATGATCGCGACGAAGTCAGATCCATCATCGAGCACGGCTATGATACGGTGAAATGGATGGCAGATCACGGGGTACCCTTTGTGATTCCGCTCAACTTCTGGGTGACCAGGGAGGGCCTGACGGATGAAAAGGTCGAGTTGAGCCCCGGTGTCCCCGTGGTGAACCGAGGGTTTGGAAGGGGCTTGACCGACGCCATGTGGCAGGCTGTTGAACGAACGCCCATAAAAGTTTTCTACGACTCGCCTGGCCACGACCTCATCTCAGCTGGGGACCAAGTGCTCGGTATCCGCGCCCGTCAGGTGGATGGGTTTGTCGATTTCTACGGCAAAGTCATCCTCGCGTGTGGCGGCTTCGAAGCGAATCCGAGGATGCGAAGACAATATCTGGGAGAAGGCCTAGAGCTTTCCGTGGTTCGCGGCACAAGCTTCAACACGGGAGTGATGCTCGAACGGGCTGTCGAAGCTGGCGCACAGGCACAGGGCCACTGGGGTGGCTATCACTGTGCGCCGCTTGACGTCAACACTCCCGCAGTGGGCGATTTCAACGTCCTCGACGCTTGGGAAAGGTATTCTTTCCCCTACAGCGTGATGGTCAACTCGGCCGGAGAAAGGTTCGTCGACGAAGGAGAGGACGAACCCAGTCTGGCGTACTCCAAGATGGGGGCCGCAATCGTGAAACAACCCGGCGGCAAGGCATTCCAGATCTTTGATCAGAAGGTCATCCACCTGCTCGAGCCCAGATACAAGTCTCACGCCACTCCGGTTTGTGCCGACTCGATCGAAGAGTTGGCGGACAAGCTGGGCCTCGACCGAGCCGCGCTCCTGAACACCATTCACGAATTCAACGCCGCAGTGCCTGGCAAGGGGCCCCGACCGTCTTTCGATCCCTTCCGAAAAGACGGCCTTGCAACAGCAGCTGGGTTGTCGCCGATAAAGTCCAACTGGGCACAGACACTGGATTCTCCGCCCTATGTCGCGTACGCCGTGACCACGGGTATCACCTTCACTTTCGGAGGCATCAAGGCCGACCAGAAAGGCCGTGTCATCAGCAACGAAGGACGTATCATGCCGGGATTGTACGCCGCCGGCGAGATCACTGGTGGATTTTATTTTGGATATGCCGCAGACGCTTCCCTCATCAGGTCTTCAGTCGTCGCGAAGATAGCTGGTCAGGATGCCGCCGCGCTCGCACGCCACATTGGAGCCCCCAGACTTTAGCCGAACAATCCAATAACAATATGGAACCCGTGCTACGCCCTTAAAATCATTAATCTTCGCCATGTAGCTCTGCTGTCATTCGGAATTACACATACAGCTACGGGAACTGTTGGTTTCTCGGTTTGTACAGCATATTGTCTCACGAAAAAGGTGGGTTGTTGCTCTTGGTTGCGGCTGGTAGAACTGTCTCTGATCGAAGCCAGCCTCACTGAGCACAATCAGACGTTCTGGATTCGCGAGAGTGGGCTTTTTCGGTCCAACAGACAATACTGTGTGTGTCATTACCGTTCTGCAACGCATGATTGATTCCTCTCCGGCATCAAGAACGATTAGCTCTAGACAGCGTCATTGGCATCTCCAAGGTCTCCACAATGCTACAAGTCATCTCCAAGACAAGTCGTGCTGAGGAGTTGACCTCCAGACGGCGGCTCCTGTGCCGATTTATCGGGGCCAGGTTTGGGTGAGCTTTCTTAGACCAAGCATGAATTCGCCGTGACGGCGATGAACGTATAAATTCATATAACCCAAACACAACATCGAATTCAGGAGTCCGAAAAGACCACACGCAAACCACAAACCATTCCACCAAGAATCAACCACCGAGACAAAAAAGATGGAAGACGTTCCGAACAGAGAAAGTGGTCTCCAGCTGCCTCCGCCCCAAGGAAACAATCAAGTGTATGTCAGTATCGCAGCGTTGAACGGAGGATTCGTGACTCTGCCAGAGAGGCTGTTTGTCACCGACGCAGACCCTGAAAAGGCGTCGATGGTACCGTCGATGTGCTTCTTGATCGAGCATCCTGTGGCTGGTTCTCCGGGTAAGAGTGAACGGATCGTCTTCGACCTAGGTATCAAGCGCGACCTGAGTGCCTATGCACCTGGGATGCAACCTCACATTTCAAAAAGACAGCCGATTGTGACTTCTCCAGACACCAAGGAGAGCCTCGCCAAGGGGGGCTTGGATGCTGCAAAGGATATCGACTATGTTATGCTGAGCCATGTGCACTGGGACCATATCGGCACGCCGTCAGACTATACGGGGTCTAACTTTATCGTCGGCTCCGGCACTTTCTATATCCTCGAGCACGGGGCTCCTCACTATACGAAAGCTATGATGGAAGTCAAGCCACTCCCCACCGACCGCACACAAGAACTGCCGCCCACTCCTAATTCCACACACAAAGACCAGGCCTTCGTTCACCAAACTTCGCACAAGTGGCAACGTATATCCACTTTGGCCAACGCGGTCGACTTCTTCGGAGACGGCAGCTTCTACTTGGTCGATAGCCCCGGCCACCTCCGGGGTCATATGAACGCGCTCCTTCGCGTCGCCCCGGATAAATGGGTCTACCTAGGCGGGGATTGTTGTCACGACCCCCGGATCTTGACGGGAGAAAAGCAGATAGCAACGTACGACGATGGGCACGGCGGCATGCGCAGTGTCCACAGCGATTTGCCGACCGCGCGGGAGACGATTCGAAGCATCCAAAATTTCCTGAACGTCAATGGCGACCTCGTCGAGTGGGTTGTCGCCCATGACTTGGAATGGTACAATGCGAATCAGAGTCGATTCTTTCCAAATTGGATGTACGGGGGCAGCAAATAGTGAAGATGGATAACAAACACCGAGAAAAAGAGACAAGATATTCTCTTCTCTAGCGACCATGAAGTATTCGGAATTTCTTTGTTCATCCAGACGACGTTAATGTCAATCTATCTTCCCTTCTCTTCTATCTAGCCGGCCATGACTTTCCATAAAAATCATTCCATCGGACGGCACTCCCCTTCGGCGATCATTTCGTTGATGGCCGCCTCGGTCTGCTTCATAGCTTCTACTCCGGCCGGGACACCGCAATAGACCATAGACTGAAGGACCACCTCTCTGATCTCAACGATGGACAGACCGTTGCGAATTGCGCCTTTGGTATGAAGTCGCAGCTCCGGCCAGCTTTTCAAGGCGATCAGGAATGCGAGATCTGGGAAACATGCCGCCAAAAGTCAGCGTCAAAGAAAAAGCTTTGTTCGCTTGCACGCAGCTCTCGCTAGAGTTCAAGACTTCTCTCTCACTGATGATGCTCCTTTGCTTCCGTTCCAGCTCGGGCCTTGTCCAGACAGTGCCCCAGGCGTACTCGGTGATGAATTTCTGCAGAGGCCGTGTGTATTCGCTCTGGCCCTTCTGGAGCGCTTTGTCGACGTAGCCATCGCCCAGGACGGCACGGCGAACTTTCTCGCCGTCTTGGAACGCTCTGCTGTCGGCACCTGTGTCCGCCATTGTTTCCTCGATTCTGTGACTTTCTTCTCCTGGATTTCACTGTTCCTTTATGGCACTGCGCGAGAGAATCCAGAAAGATCATGCATGCGGACGGGACACACATTTACACCCACCTTCTTGTTTTTTATGGAGGACACGGTACCGACTGGGCGAATCTTCAACTTCCTCCACAACCAAAAAGTCTCTCGAAAGCGTCGGCAGTCTTTGGCCGAAATCCCCAAGTCGATGACAACATCGCCTCCACAAAATCCTACCTCAACTGCGAACGGCTTGAGGGATGTTAGGTAAATTTGGAGAGTGGCAGCCTTGCCCGAAAGCCGACGCCATCCATGAGGGGGGCTTGTCGCTGTCTCCACAACATTACAGTAGCCTTTACCTGTTGCCTGCCTCGGGGCCAACGACACAGACCATGATTGTGCATTTTACCTCAAGATCTAATTAATTACGCAGCAACAATTCGAGATGGTTGAAACGACTCAAAATTCGACAATTGGAAGCAACCTCCCTGTTGCCATCTATGGCTTCATTGGTCTCGGGAACATGGGCTTCGGTATGGCCAAGAACCTGAGGTCTTCGATGCCAAAGCAGTGCAAGTTGGTAGTCTGCGAGGTCAACGCCGGCCGAAGAGACAAATTCATCTCGTCGGTCGATGGATTGGTAGAGGTGGCGGAGACTCCGCGGAGTATTGCAGAGCAATGTGTGCGTCTGTTTCCAATCAATACTCGGGGAAGAGTAGAATCCCCCGAGGGAGAATGAGTCAACAGACATTACTGACAGCTTCAAGGACATAATAATAACTAGTTTGCCCGATGGGAAGGCGGTCGAAAAGGTCTTCACGGATCCATCCAACGGCCTGCTGTCAGTGATCCCCGCGGAAGGGGCCCGAAAGAAGTTCTTTCTCGAGAGCTCCACGATAGAAGTCAGAACGTCGAATGAAGTCTTGAAAGAGGTGACAAAGTCCGGCCTCGGCGAATTCATCGACTGCCCCGTGTCCGGTGGTATCCCGGCCGCTGAACAAGGAAATCTGACGTTTATCGTCGGCGGGAGCCAAGAGTTGTTTGAGAAGGCAAAGCCGATCCTGGCATCCATGGGAAAAGCAGAGAACATCATCTTTTGTGGACCGCCGGGCGCCGGTCTTGCCACGAAACAGATCAACAACTATGTGGCCAATGTATCCTACATCGCCCTCTGTGAAGGTTTGTTCTTCGACCCGCCTCGCGATCCCCTCCTTCGAGTCTTTGCTGGTATGCCGACAGTTTGACTGACGACTCCACCACCACAATAGGGATGAACACTGGAATACGATATGGGTTGGACCCCAAAGTTCTTGCAGGCAAGTACTCTATTGCCAGCATCTTTGCAGCTCTTGATGGCACTCCAGCCCAAATCCTCCCCCTCTTAGGTGGTGAACACAGAGCTTTCTTCTTGTTACCATCGCCACGTCCTCTGCTAACCTATAAATCCCCCAGACGTCATCAATGTCAGCAGCGGCATGAGCTGGAACTCGCTGCACATGAACCCTGTGAAGGGCGTCCAACCGGGATCGTCAGCATCCCGAGACTTCAAAGGCGGCTTCCCTACCGAACTGGCCAAGGGGGTCATGGACATGACCGTGCAACTCATGGACGACGTCGGCGCGAAGCATGTCATGGCGGACGTCGTCAGTGACATCTACGCGAGGGCGGTCAAACACCCCAAATGTGCGGGACGAGAGTGTCGCAGTATCTACAGGCTGATTTCAGAAAATGACGGCCGAGACCTGGGGACGACCAGGATAGATTAAACCATCACGGCATCATTTGATGTTCAAGTTCGGTGGAAAGTGAAGGCGTTGAAAACATATAGCTACCCGTTCCCATCCATAGCCGAACCCATCCCAGCTGTTGGGCAGCTGGTCTTCGTAGAATGGCATGCACTACCTGTCACCAGTGCTAAATTCGCGTGCCTCGGAGGCAGTGACGATGGGTTTTCCCAGGAACCACATCATCCGTCAGCGTTCTTAAGTGGTCGTTCTGTAAGATGCGCGCGTCGCGATAATTCAAGTAGTCGATTATGAAAAAAGGGGAAGAAAGAAGTAGCCGTTCAGGCTAGTCGGGAACAAGCTAATGGGGCTGACGGGGGGGTCTTCATTTTATGGTCCATCGTTGGCGTTGTCTTTGGGATGTTCATGTTGGCCTTCAAGCCACCCCGAGGAGTATCTCTTGTTGAGTTGATGACGAGATTCCCGCGAGGTTAGACGCTTGAAGAAAGGCCGCGGGAACGTGGTCACAATTGCGTAAGGACAAAGGCAAGGTACTACTGGTCCACTAGATACCTAGCGTGAGGTAGACAGGTAAAGAAACGACACCTTGGGTCGGTTATGCGTATAACTAAGGCTCTAGCAGAGTAAGCACTTACACGAGGCTGCTTGGCTCAGGGGTATGGAGTGATCTCGCTATCTCTGGTCTAAATCTACATGAGGGGAACGTGCGAGTCGATTACAAAGCAGCTTCCTCCAGTCCTAGTCAGATGCCTAGCGACCTCAGAGAGTCATCGTGATTTGTCGAGCTCCATTACGAGAGGTGTCTCATTATCTATAGTGAACTGGGGTTACTTCGCTGGCCCAATGTCATTCGAGGTGTCCAGCATAAGTTCTGACACCACAAGTATGTGGCCCTTTTCCGCCTCAACAACCACGAATATGGTCTATCCCCCGGCTATCAATTCTTCGAGGCGCTGAACCACGATGGCGTCAACTTCCACGCTCCCTTTGGCCCTGGTTTCGGCGCGGAGACGGTTTGATCGTTCAAAGGGCATCCTGAGGGCATCCCCCGAGAAGCTTGGGGCCGAATGGAAGGCAGTGACCAAGTTTCCCACTTCACGCTTGAAGTCGTCCATCTGCCGAAACCTCGATGGATCGATGGCCATGATGAAGAATCCGAATTCGGCCAGGTCTGGGGGCAACGCCGGCGAGCCCGCCATAATCCCCAGGAGTTGAACGGCAACTGCGAGCCCAGTGCCTTTGGCACCTCCCCAGACGGCCAGAGCGCCTTTCAGCGCCTTCTCGGGGTCCGTCGTCATGTCGCCATGTTCGTCAAACGCCGTGTTCAGGGGGAGCTGTTCTTTCTTCCTCATGGCCAGCATGGCCTGAGCGTGGATAACCTGAGACGTACCGATGTCGTAAATAATAGGTACGTCCGTGGTGGGAACGCCAATGCAAAACGGGTTGGTGCCCAGTAAAGCCTTGTACGTGCCATTCGGAGCTACCCATGGAGTGCTATTAGATGCGATAATGGTGACAAGGTCTTCCGCGGCGGCCAATTCAGCATAGTATGAGAGCATTCCGGTATAATAAGTATTGTGGGCTCCGACGGCGGCGACTCCATTGGCCTTGGCCTTCTCGATGGCCATCAAGGTCGCCTTACGGGCTACCAGGTAACCAAGCGTGTCCTTTCCGTTCAGCAGCGCCGACGTAGGCGAGTCTCTGGCCACCTCGATATCAACAGGAGGAGCCTCTCCAGACAATCTGTCGGCAATACTGAGAATGCGCGCAAGTCCAGCAATTCCATACCCTCGGACTTCGCTGTCTATCAAATGATGGCTGATAATGGCGGCATCCTCTGTACCATACCCGATCTTCTGCAGTGCACTGGTCGCCAGGTCAGTGGCTCTCTCGAGTGTGATTTTCATGTTCGCTTTGCTGGACTTGTCGAAGGAAAGGAAGGTCAATGTTCCTGCACTCTTCCTCAGAGTCCTCCTATTTCTGGACCTGTCGATGGACCCCTTTCCTCCAAGAGGATCCATACATGTTCTAGCACTCCCGCCGAGAGACTACCATGGAGAAGTTGGAGACAGGGACTTCGGCGTCAGTTGCGAGGCTCGATCTGGTGGAGAGTTTGACCGGCTAGGTGACCCCAGACCCCGCGTGGAGAACTTGCAAGACGTGACAGTATGGGGGAGTTAGACTGTTCTTCTTTTCATATATCGAGGCATTCCTCCGGGCCAGCAAGGGAAGATTTGAATGGAATACACGGCCGCACTCCTCCTCTGAAAACTCCTAGGTTGAATGGAATACTCAACCCCTCTCCAAACCGTCGAACAAGACACACATCTTGACGACATGAGCAAGCCGGACGCAATTCACCTCGAGAAAAAGGTCGAGGTTCATGGCCTCGTCGCTGACCGACGCCACGAAGAGGAGCTTCTGGCCGCACAACTCGAGGGAGAGGACGCGAAGATCAAACGCATAGTTCGACGGCTTGACCTCCGACTGGTCTTGATGCTTGCTCTCCTATATGTCTGGGCCTTTATCGACCGTGGAAATTTTGCCAATGTAACGATGGCCCCGAGAAGCCCGCCAGGCTGTTGAAGTCGACGCTGACTCTTTTGCTAGGCCAACATTGCAGGCATGGGCGATGACCTTAATCTGACAAAGGACAATCGATATTCTGTTCTTGCTATGATCGTATGGCACCCCAAGGATGGATCAAGACGACATGTTGTTTAACCCGGCGTAATTAGTTCTTTGTGGGCTACATTCTCGTCGACATCCCGTCCACGTTTCTGGTTCGGAAAATTGGAGCAACTTTGATGATCCCGTCTATTGTGGTGTAAGATACCTGAACACTCGATGTTCAAAAACCCCCATCGCTGACGATTTCTTTTAGTGCTTGGGGGTATGTTTTGGGACGCCCATGGTCGGGGTGAGCTTGGCTGACTCCTCTCAGGGTCATTACGATTGCTCAGGGCTTCTGCAACACATGGGGTCCTCTTTTCGGTGAGAAATATCAGTGTGCAACGCTGGAGGACGCTTAGCTAACGATGAAATCAGCTTGCCGAGTGCTTCTGGGGATCTTCGAGGGAGGCATAATCCCCAGCTCCATGTTCCGTAGGTGTGTTGCCGCCATGGACGAAACGCTATTGATCCATCCACAGTCATCAGTGTCTGGTACACTCGCTACGAAGCACATACAAGGTTCGTCGCAGTCTCTCCTTCATTCCTCCGAAGATAGATACTGATAGCACGTCTAGATTAGCCTCCTTTTACGTTGTCGTACGTTCGATCTCCTCTCCGGCGGTGTCTTACTAACTGGCAGACAGGGAATCGCATCGACTGGTGTGTCAGGCTTGCTTGCTTTTGGCATTGAAAAGATGGACGGAGACTCCAATATCGCAGGCTGGCGTTGGATCTTCATCATCGTTCGTCCCCCTGCTCCCTTACATGGTGAAAATATTGACGCGAATTGGCCGCTGCTATAGGAAGGTGTAGTGACCTGTGTTTGCGGAATCGTCGCCTACTTCATTCTTGTGGATCTGCCAGAACGAGGTCTGTGGTTCCGTGTGTACTCTCCTATCAAGCCTTTCTGACTCCAAGCAAAGCAACCCAGAAGAGTTTCTTGGGCATGCCGCCTTTCCTGACAGCCAACGAGGCTTCGCTCGTCCATGCTCGCATCGAACGGGACAGGGGCGACAGCACTGCCGAGAAGCTCACCTGGAGCAACATGCTCATTTATGCCAGAGACTGGAAGGTCTGGGAGTTTTCGAGCTATGTTTTCTTCAACGTATGATCTACAGTCTGTTGCGTAGGGGCACTTGATCGCTGACATTCTGGACAGAACACGGCTCTATACGCCTTCACCTACTTTCTGCCCGTCATTCTGCAGAAAAGTATGGGGTATTCGACATCCAAAGCTCAGCTGTTTACCTTTCCTCCTTACGCGGTGGCGGTTCCCGTACGGATTTCCCTGGTCTCTGCATTCACGCGAAGGAGCTGACTTGGATAGTGGATCATGTTCTGTGCGTGGATTTGTGACAGGCTCAAAGTGCGAGGACCAGTGTTGCTACTCAACTCGACGCTGTACATCATCGGTGTGACGATGTGAGTTCTTCAATCCCATGGCGTGTCCTGGCTTCCCACTTACGCTGCTGCAGCACTGGCTTTTGTTCGCATCCGCATGTCAGATACGGGGGCGTGTTCATCGGTGTCTTGGGCATCACCGGGAACATCCCCACCAACTGGGCGTACCAGCACAACAACGTCGGTAAGTGGGATTGAAAACACCGCGCAGGTTCTCTGCTCACGTTCCTCAGTTGGCCAAGGCAAGCGTGCGCTCTGCGCGGCGATGATGACCACTGGCGGCGGGCTGGGTGGTATTGTGGCAGGAAACATCTTTCGGAGCCAGGATGCCCCTGACTACAGGCCTGCCTTGACCATCTGCCTCGCTTTTCAGGTAAGACGGCATCCATGTATGTCTTGTGAACTTGCATGTCTAATATCACCACCAGGCCTTCAACATGCTCCTGGTGGCCAAGAACTTTGTCTACTTTGCCTGGGCGAATCGAAAGGCTGATCGGGAAGAGATGATCATCGAGGGACAGCCAGCCTTCAGGTATACGTATTGATGGAGAGTGCTTGTCTGGATGATATCATGATGCTTCCCTGTCCCGTTTACTGTCCTTCTTCGCCCAACCTCTTGCACTCGAAATGGATGCCGACTCTGCCGCGTGAAGTGGAGATGTGAAGACCTAGTCGAGGGGGCGAAAGTATGTAGCCTGTACCTTTGGGGATATCCTAGAAGCAAAAGTCATCAGTCCCCCTCACCCTTAGCCGTGATGAGCATTAGGGTTCCTAGGCAAGGCCTGCTTTTACTTTTGCTTGTTAGGTATTTGCACTGCTCATAGATATGCTTTGTGCTGCCAATGTTCCTCAGGCGTCCTTGGCTCCCCCGCCATTGCAACGAGCCCCGTCCTTAAATAGAGCGGCCTCTCCAACTTCGCCTTTACGTTCGCCTTCACCCCATGGAGAAAGGATGACTTTCCAATCCACCTGTTCTCCATCGCCACTGCAAGTAAATGCGAGCCAGTAGGATGCACGTATGCTCGCCCCTTTTGGTCCGTCGTGATGGAGACAGCCTCTTCTCCGAAGAAAGATTTGCCCTGCAGGTATTGTCAGAGGCGCTTCCGCCGCCTTGAGCATGTGCAACGCCACGAGCGTACGCATACCAAGGAAACACCGTTCAAGTGCTCTTGTGGCAGGTCGTTTAGCAGGAGGTATTGAGCACGATATCGCACTCTGTCAATCATTCGTGGGAATCGTGTCGCTGACAGTTATTCCGTCTATGCAGAGATCTCTTGCGCCGGCATGAGAAGGCGGTCCACGATGGCAAGCGCTGTGGTCGATACGAATCTCCAGGCGCCTCTTTGAATAGCCAAGTTACTGCCGCCTTGCAACCCAACGTCTTCGAACCTCGTGGTTCCCTGGCTAGTCCCACGGTCGAAGGTGAAGATACACCAACTCGCGGGTTGGACGATTCCTTGAATTGGTCCAACAATCTCGACATCCCGACAAGTGCCTCCCACCGTGCGCTCAACGCCTCTGTTGACCCCCTGTCACACAGTGACACCCAAGGTCTAGCATGCCATGGAAACACCCAGCTCGGTGCTGCTTATGCTGGAGGTCAGCCGCACGCTGGGTCTGAAATGCCCTCTACTGGCGGTAGTCAGCCACTTCATATGGGGGTCGATCGGTCGGGAGGGAGAAACGACGACCTGGATTTTGCTGATCTCTACGGGGAATTTGACGGCTTCAATGCCTTTCTGGACATGACGGACTTTTCGACATTCATACCACCGTCAACTGCCCTGGACCCTTCCCTGCACGAACAGGCGTTCACGGCCCAATTGGACGAAGCAACCTTGCAAGGATCCAGTCAGGTGCGACACCATAACGACGTGGCAGCCCATGGCCAGCAGCGCAACGAACAAGATACATCTTTCTCCCGCTTTGGGTCGCCATTGCCTGTCCTACATTTTGAATCGAGAGATCCAGTGGCCAGAGCCCCCAACGAACCGAGCGCCGCTTCCCGTCCGTGCTGGAAAATATCGGCCGTCGAGTATCGTCAAATCTCTGCCAGGATACAAGACTTCTCGCATGTTCTCCCCAAGGACTTCTCATTGCTGTCAAGACATACGATCTCAAGGTTCATCGAAGGAGCGATCAAGGGCCTTCTGGAGCATCTTCCATTCCTGCATGTACCAACATTCTCCGTAGTTGACGCCGCACCAGAGCTTATCCTCGCAATGGCAGCCATCGGGGCTCAGTTTCGCTTCGAGAACGGCCGCGCTCCGATGTTGTTTTACGCTGCGAAGGCCGTCGCGCTCGAGCAAATCCAATGCAGAGAGAAGAAGCAAGTGGAAATGTTCCTGTGGCGTTCCAAGTCCTCTCCGATGGATTCTACTTCAACCACAGTGTCCACTTCGAATGCTGTTCCCTCCAACAACGTCCCAGGTGCTGGCAACTGTGAAGAGGAGATGGAAACGACCAATGCCCGGCTGCAAACCTCGCAGGCCCTTCTTGCGCTCCTGGTGATGGGTGCATGGGGGCCCCAACAACTGCTCAAAGAGGCAATCTCCCTCCAGAGTTTCGCCGCAGCTTTGGCGCGAGAGGATGGAATTTCTGGCCTCAAGGATTCGTTTCCATCGGGGTCGCATGCGTCGGATTGGCACATTTGGATATCCGCGGAAAGTCGCACTCGTACGAAGCTTATGACCTACTCTATGATCCAGTTGATCTCTATAGCCTACAATATCCCCCCTCTGATACTGACATCGGAAATCGATTGCTGTCTACCGGCATCTGCGAAAGAATGGAACGCCAAAAATGCACAGGAGTGGGAGGAAGTCCGCCGATCGTCGACAACCAGAGAGCTTCGTTTTCAAGAGAGCTTCGAATCGCTTTTCCATAACATCTCCCCTCAAGCCGCAAGTATGGCACTGTCTCCGGTGGCGAATTATATACTTGTCCTTGCAATTCTTCAGCATATTTTCCTGCGCCAACAGACCTGGACTAGCTCCAAGAAACAGAATCTGAGTGCTGAAGATATCGCGGATAGTGCCCGCGCCCTCCGCTGCTGGCAGACCCGGTGGGAGAGATCGCCAGAGTCGAACATCGATCCATCTTCTGCTGCAGGACCAGTTGCGTTCAACTCGACGGCCCTGTTGCGACTTGCCTGGATCCGACTTTATAGCGATCTTGGACCATGCAGAAATCTAGCCAGTCGGGACGTCAATCTCATCGCCTCTGCCTTCAACAACAGTCCTGTGTTAAAGCGAGGCCCGGAGCTGATCCATCCGGCTCTACAAGCGGCGCACGCACTCTCCGTACCGGTGCGTATGGGCATCAATTTCGTCGCCAGAACCCAGACCGTATCATGGAGCGTGCAGCATTCCTTGTCAAATCTCGAGTGTGCCATATTCCTCAGCAAGTGGCTGGAGACGGTAGCCGTGGCTTCATCAACCTCTGCGCTGGAGAAAGACGAGTTAGTCCTCATTCAGATGATTCACAGCCTGTTGGTAGAGACGGGCCTTTTCGACGACAACACCATAACCAACATTGCAGATCGCGGAGACCAGAAGCAGAAGATTCGCCGACTTGCCACAGCGGTTGCAAGGTTGTGGGCTGACATTTTCAAAGGCAATCACGTATTCGAAGTGGTCAACATAATAGGAGCAAGTCTGACCACTTATGCGGAGTCGATGGAAAGCGCATATACCCCAGCAAATCTTGGATGAGGGTCGTCGAGACCAGCGGCCAGGGTCATTGCCACTCAGCTCCCATGGTGTTCCAGGCCTTAACGAGATCAAGGAGCCCCTTGGAAGGCAGTTGAGGGACAATGAAGAGGACCCGCCGTGACAGCCGAAGCTGAGTCGGCAGCCACTTGGTTCCAAAAGAGGCGCTCTCCTGGCAACGCTGTCGGCAGGGTACTTCTGCTGAGCCTTGACCCAACCCTCCGTACCCGCTCCAATATGGAGATGACTACTCCACATTCTCATCGTCAATTCTCGTCGTGGCAGAATGGCCTGTACGCTCACTCCACACCGCGAGATACGTTCGTACCCTCGGAGAGTGCTTGTGTGGAGTCAAAGGCTGCCTGTGTGTGGAGATGTTGGAGATTCGTGGAGATGGGAGGCGAGAATGAAGACAGCACTCGAGACAAGTAAGTCCATCGAGAAGTCCATTGCCTAGTGTAAAGTTTCTGTTGACTAGGTGTTGATCCGTGGACATTGGTCGCAGAGTACAATAACCCTCCAGCGAGACATCCACGCCGCATCCCTTTCCGCAATCAACACTATACATTTTTCTTCTCCGGCACCATGTCACCAGGAATTCTTGTCGACGATAGCCCCAAGTTGACCAACGGTTATTCCAAACAACATGCCTCGACGTACGACATTACGGAGCAGCCGTTGGGTACGCCGCGAAAGCTGCGTATAGTTACCATCGGCGCAGGTGCAAGCGGTCTCAACTTGGCTCATCAGATTGAGCAGCATATGGAGAATGTCGAGCACGTAATATACGAGAAGAACGCCGATGTCGGTGGCACTTGGTTTGAAAACAGGTCAGTGTATCCCTCGGCGCTATATTTCCACCCTGACGAAGATGGAGTACAGATATCCTGGTTGCGCATGTGATATCCCCAGTCACAATTATCAGTTTACTTGGGAACCCTATGCACGATGGACCAGCTTGTGAGTTAAATGGGGCATATTCCCACGCCATCCTCTGGCAGGCGAACTAATACCTCGCAGTTATTCTGCGGCCCCAGAAATCCTGGAATACTTCAAAGCTGTTGCATCGAAACATGGATTATACAAATACATCAAGCTCCAGCACAAGGTTGTGGAGGCAGTCTGGGACGAAGATACTAATCGATGGCTCCTCAAGATCGAAGACCTCTCAACTAGGTCGATTTTGAATGATTGGTGCGACTTTCTCATTAATGGCTCCGGTATTCTCAAGTAAGCAGGTCGCAGTCCACCGAAGCCGCCCCTCGTTCGCGCGCTCATTGTCACACAGTAACTGGAAATGGCCGAGCATCCCAGGACTGCATTCCTTCAAAGGAACCCTTGTTCACAGCGCCAATTGGCCAGACACGGTGGATTTGAAAGGTAAAACTGTAGCCGTGTTGGGCTGTGGCTCCTCTGGGGTTCAGATAGTACCAGCCATTCAACCAGGTGAGAATGGGAAAATCCCCACAGAATTTCAACTTGGTATATTGGATCAGTCGGCTTACTCCGACAGATGTCCATCGATTGGTAACATTCATCCGGTCGCCCACGTGGATCACAGCCGGCTACGCCCAGAATAAAGCAGGCCCAGGAGGATCGAATTTCAAGTGTAGGTGCTGGTGCTGGTGAAGCTCTGATATTTAGGTCTGACATGATCTCTCAACAGTCACAGAGGCTCAAAAACTCTCGTTCGAGAATGATCCGAAAGCCTATCTTACATATCGGAAAGAGGTCGAGAGCGAGCTTAATTCCCGGTTTAAATTTGTGAGTATGCGGGCCTCACAGCCTGAGGATCAATCTACTTTGGCTGAGGCTGACCAGGAACCAGATTATCAAGGATAGTTTAGAGCAGGCTGAAGCGCGACGTTACTCGATCAACGAGATGACGGCCAAACTGGGCCGCGATGAACGCCTTGTCAAACATCTCATTCCCGATTTTGCCGTCGGTTGTCGACGCCCAACCCCTGGAAATGGATACCTCGAGGCTCTGACTCAGTCTAACGTTCGAGTCGTGACAGACCACATCGAAAGGATAGAGGAAAGGGGCATCGTCCTCGAAACTGGTGAACTCCTCGAAGTCGATGTCTTCATTTGTGCAACCGGGTTTGACATATCCTTTTGCCCCCGATTTCCCTTGATCGGTCGAGGAGGAGTGTCTCTGGAAGATCAGTGGAAGCAGAAACCGGAAGCCTACTTGTCGCTGGCTGCTCCCAATTTCCCCAACTATTTCAGTATGTTCCTTACTGCCCTTGTGAAGTTGGAGAATTTCGCCGTGAAGGCGTCGAGACTGACCTCGTACAGTGTTCCTTGGACCCAATGCTCCCATTGGGCACGGCTCAGTCCTGCCGATTGTCGAGCATGCGGCCAAATACATCATCAACGTATTGCGGAAAGCCCAGACGCAGGGAATCAAGAACCTGTCTCCTTCGGCCGCAGCCGTCCGTGACTTCAACGACCATGTCACGGAATACATGACGCGGACGGCTTGGAGCACCGGCTGCCGTTCGTGGTTCAAGAATGGGAAGATCGACGGGCCGGTCGTCGCTCTGCACCCGGGGAGTCGCATCCATTGGTTCCACATGCTGGACCATCCTCGCCTCGAGGATTTCGAGATCGAGTACTCATCGCCGAACCGCTTCGCGTATCTCGGGAACGGGTTTTCGACCAGGGAGGGGCCAGGCCTCGACACGGCGTACTATTTTGACGATCCTGAGCACGGATTCGAGGAGTACTAGTTAGGTGAGGCCAATATTATTGCCGGACAGCACTCAATACGATCGGCGGACAGATAGAGGTGTTGTGCTATAGAACTTTGGTCGCGTTACTACGCGAGGGGGTGACAGGGTTCATGGATATAGATAGTGGCCACCCCTTCTACAACCCAGATAGGGGATGGAGGATGATAGATACTCTCAGAGTTAGGCTGAGGGCAAGCTGTTCTTGTCTATGTCTAGGTCTCGGCTCGTCATAGCCGTTGCTCCCCGTGACCGAGCCTCCTGCTCGCAAGGATTTTGCTCAGCCTCGCCTTACATCCTGATCCCTCAGCCTTGCGTTCAGCTCTGGAGCAGCCATCTTCTTTTCTCTCCTTTTCGTACCGACTGAAAGATACCTCTGCTTGAAGGCGTGCTCCAGGCAAGAAACATAGAATCTGCAATCTATTTAGAGACTCTGTGTTCAGCGAGACTGAGGACGATCGTAGTCTGCAGTGCTAAGGGTGTTGACGTCATACGAGACGGAATTGATGCGCCCTCAAATGTGTAATCGCGAACCATGTTAACAGTACAAAAAAGCATACTTCAAGCCCGTGTTCCTTGCTTGTTCTTCCGATCATCAATGCATCTTCAGTCCATTGACAGAGCGCCACAAGTCGAATGCAGAGGCTGCAGTCATTGGCGAAACAGATAATCTCGATTCCCCGTCAGCCACTGCGCCCTGAATCGATGGCTGCGACGACCACTTCGACAACCACAGCCGCTCCACCAGGCCGGCCTAATCCCAGCACTGTGGCCGAGCACCTACGGGGATCGTCGCAGTCGTGGCATGGCCAGATAACTCCAGACGGCCCCTTTCCCCCGCAGCAGGGCCGCTATCACATGTACATCGGACTGTTCTGCCCGTTCGCCCACCGAGCCAATCTCGTCCGCCACCTCAAGGGCCTCACCGAGCTCATAGACGTCTCTGTCGTGAAGCCGTACCCCAAAGGCGACGAGCACGGTTGGCCTGGGTGGCAATTCCCCCACTCCAACGACGAGTACCCGCACGCCACGATCGACAAACTGTTCGGCAGCCAGTATCTGCACGAGGTCTACTTCAAGGCCGATCCGGGGTACAAAGGACGGTATTCGGTCCCGGTGCTGTGGGACAGGGAGGCCGGCACGATCTTGAACAACGAGAGCCCGGAGCTGATGAGGAACCTGCAGGTGGCCTTCAACGCTCTTCTGCCGGAGGAATACGCCCGCGTCACCCTGTACCCGGAGCATCTGCGCGCCCAGATCGACGAGGTGAGTGAGTGGATGCAGCGGGACTTGAACACTGGCGTGTACAAGGCCGGGTTCGCACCAAACCAGGAAGAGTACGACAAGAATGTCCCCGTGGTGTTCGCGGCGTTGAATAAATTGGAAAGGATGGTCGCGCAGAACGGCGGGCCGTACATCCTGGGCAAGGACCTAACCGAGTTGGACATCAGGGCGTATGCCACGATCGTGCGCTTCGACACCGTGTACGTGCAGCATTTCAAATGCAACCTGGGCACGATCCGGCACGATTACCCGCAGCTGAACAACTGGCTGAAGAGCCTGTACTGGAACGTCAAGGGATTCAGGGAGACGACCGACTTCAAGCACATCAAGGAGAACTATACCAAGAGCCACTGGGACATCAACCCCAAGGCCATCACACCCATGGGTCCCTATCCTGATGTCGAAGAGGGGTTTGAGCCGGATTTCAGCAAGGTCAGGGTTGGCGGTGTCTCGATGCCTAGAGTGGTCGAGTTGGAAAAGCAATTGCCGGGATAAGGTGCAGCCGGTCTTCGAGGATGGAACAGGGATGGGCAGCAGCAAGCTTCTTGCTTGTCTGCTCACCGACGCGAGATCAGCAAGTCATCTGCTGTTCTCGTGGAATTGGAAAGTGATCGGCGGTGAGACATGTCGACATCCCAGAGGATCCTGGCGAGAATGGAGCATCCGTCCGTGCCGTTAGTGGTTCCTCGGGGGTCTTGCGAGTGCCATTGTGCCATGTACGCAATCCCTCAGCCTTGTGGCTTCACGGCCTGCTCGTGTTGCTTGAGCTGGTTGCGGCGATGGCCCAGATAAATGCGGCCATTGGCGACAAGTATATGGACAATTTGCGCCGTTATCGTCGACGGTCCTTCTCTGCAGTCTTCTCGAAATCAGTCTCCCACCAAAGAGAGGGATTTTCCTTGAAGTGTGATGCGGGACCGTCCTGAGGGAAAAAGAGTCCACCGCCAGTCATGACCGTGGATTGTGCTCTGATATGCAAGCGAAGTTGAACAATGCACCCATTCATTGGCCGTTTGAGGAAATCAGGGGAAAGCCCGAGCGGCGCCTGTGGCCGCGGCGGTGTGGGATATGCTGGGCGGGTTTTTAGTTAAAGCGACCTTGAGCCACTAGGTGTCTAGGGAGGCTCACTAGGCGTCTAGTGCCGGGCCTGCTGGTTCTTTTGGGCTAGCCACCCACTGGCTGTTTCTGCCTCCCACAAACGACACCTCATCTCCAATTTAATCTCCTGCCAGACCACTCATCACCAGAGTCAATGTGAATGGCCAGCCCGACAAGATGTTGACTTTTCCATGTGTTGGGCGTCTGACACTGTATGGGCTCCTGCATCTCCCAGTCTGATCCATGTCACCCTGATTTCCGGCGTCTCCTGGTGCCTCTCCTGCTTCTCGGAGAATTTCTGCAGCTTGCAGTCAACGGTCCCTGCAACTTTATCTCAACGGGTTAACACTCAATGTCCGTTGAGCCTGGGACCCAGGATCCCAAACCCCACCGAGGCCTAGCAGACAGCCACAAGCGCTCCTTTGCCTTCAAGCGTTGCGAGTCAAACCATGCCAAGGTGGCTGTTCGTGGCTGCAATCTAGTCCTCGTGCGGAAAAGCGACAACGCCTCCCAGAGATGACGACGCAAGATACGGGGTCAAAGGGACATATCAATCTCATTTGGGAAATCCACCTCTCAGGACACACCGGAAAAGGATGGGAGGTCGGTTGACACCGAGAACAGTGATTCAGGAAGCCACCAATTGCTGTCAAAGCCAGTGAAGGCGATGGCGTTGGAGAAACCACCGCGTGGAAGTCCCGTTGCTGAAGTGGCCAGCATCGTCGCTGAGGTGCTTGGGATACTGGTCGACGCTGAAAACGGTCTTGTCGGTGAGCATGTGCCTGTTGATCCTTTTTGGCACAAATCTTACTGGTTGCTGGGGCTGGAGTGGCCCTGAACCCCTGGTCAAACGTCGATGCTAAAGTGCGTTAGAAAAGCCTACCGCAAGCCTTGATGCTGCTTTGATCGACGCCGTGGCTTCATCTCCACCGTCTAATCAGCTTTAGGCGCGAACTTCTGAAGCCTCATCTCCTACCCCAGCCAAAGAGTGCTTTGGCATGACAGTCTGCGCATAATGCATTGGGCCCAGCACCAAAATGACCGGGCGCCTACCCGCTACTCTGCTTGTTCCTGGCCGCGATCTTGTTATCTCGTCCGCATTAACATACCCTGTCCTTGCCCACCAACGGATTGGTTGTTCTGGCCCAGGCCGGTTGTCTTAACAAGGCCATTCCCCCTTCAAACCAAACTCTAGATAACTGGATACGATATCTTCCAGCCACTGACTCAACTCTGCGCCCGGAGCCAGATCATCACAGAGCTGCTCCCAGGCAATAGATTGTTGATGCCGTTGATGAAACAGACCCTCGGACAATAGGCGGTACGACGAAGGACAAAGGATTTGCAGGAAGGAGGAAGGAAGGATGGAACCCCCCGCAAGGAATGCGACCTTATTGCCTGTCATCAAATGTTCAGATTGCGGACAAGATGTTGATATGGTAGGCCTGACCGAGCATCATTGCATGGCAGCAACAACGACAACAACACCAACACCTCAAGGTATACTTCAATGCCCGACTCTACAGACAATGCTATCGACTGACAACCCTAGCTTCAACTATGCCTCCGCCTCCTCCCCGGGCAGACCCATCTACGGCCCCGAGGAGCATGAGACCGCAACGGCCGCCGTTGCCCAGAATCGATCCTTCTGTCGGCTGTGAGTCTCGTGAAAGTGTTCGTGTCGACACAAGCTGACCGGCTACCCAGTTCGACCTCCAGTCCTCCACGGCGAGCTCACGCCTGCAAGCAGCGGACATAGCTCACTGATCTCTCCTGTGAGTGCGACCTCTGGCCCTCGGTCACCAGGGCCTGCCATCCGCAAAGCATCAATACCAGGACCCCGACGCCCACCTTCGCCAGAACTGACGAACCTCGATTGTGCATTTCCCCCGTTCCCTCTTCCTTCGAGAGCTTCCACCACACGAAGGCGAGAGAGATCTGCGACCCATCGCAGTGATACAAAACGGTCTAAATCTCGTGATGTTAACAAAGGGTTACCAGCGGGGAGCAGACCGTATCCGCTTGCAAGAGGAGGATCAGACAATTCGGTGACAACTCTGGTCAATGAAACACCAAGACAAAAGCAGTCTCGTTCACCAAGCCCCAGAAGTGGAGGAAGGCGACCTCGGAGCATGGAAAAGGACAGTCGCCAACAGAACGGAGAAAAACCGCCAGAACTGGAGACGAAGCCACCTGAGGTGATTTCAGCAAACCAGGGCAATGGAGTTCCGGAACTTCTGCATGCAAAGACCTTTTCACCCGAGATTTCAAGCTCTATCGCTCGGCGAGAGCCTCCCAACGAGACGCAAATAGATCCTGGCCTCAGTGCATTCGACTTTGGTGACTCGGCAAGCAACAAATTCGAACAGCAGCCTACGCCGGAGGCCCCTAGACTAATTGACGAGCGGTCTAGAGCTGGCACCGAGCCGACATACAGAACCAAACGACCTCCTCCACTATTCAGCAATCAGGAGGTCATGACTTTGGTTAAATCACCTACGGAACCCCAACCATCTCCAGTTGGCAGCTTGACAAGAGGGTTGGGCCGATTGTTTGGCCGACGGCGGTCTCAGTCAGCCGCGTCCCGCCGGGAAGTGGTGCGACAAGCTCTCAGTGATGAGCCAGATATCCACGACGACTACTTTACTGCCCGGAGTCTACTTAGTCCAACTAGTGATCGGTCATTCATTACAGCAGAACCGTCCCCTCTTGGAATGTCGCCGTCCCTATCGCCTGGTCCTTCACTGGGCCATGAGGAATCACTGAAGGCGCTCGAAGGACTGACAGCCGAACCGGTTACAGTCGCTCCTCCGATGGTTGTCGTGGAGCCGGCGATCGAAGAGCCGCCGCTGAAGCATAATGCCCCTGCTGAGACTGATACCAAGACACCAGGAACCTCGGACGTCGCCGTGGTGTCGCCTGATCCTCAAGGTGCAGAGCTTATTGAGGCTCTTCGGCGGGTGTCTGTTGACTCGGCGTCGTCTTACGGTTCGGAAGCATTTTCTGAGAACACAGCCAGCTCCCGATCGAGCTCACCGCAGACCGAGCACGTGGCCCCCAAATCACTTGAATCATCAAATTCCGGGGTCCTCAACCTTGGGGAGCCTGATGTGCCAGCACCACTAAGGCCAAAGATTCCAGAGCTTTCGCCCGATTCGCCAACGGATCCATTCTTCCAGCAAGGCCGTCTGTCCCCGATTCCAGACCTTCCCAACCGTGCATCTGACTCGACGGACTCACTGTTCTCGATCTCCGTGGGTCTACAGACAAGTCCTAAGTCAACACTTGAACCTCAAGTATCACTGAGCAGCAGTACCAAGTCCATGGTCCCCAACAAAGGTGTTTGTCGCGGCTGTTCACAGCTAATACTCGCGGGACAAAAGTCAGTGTCGAGCGCAGACGGTCGGTTGACTGGCCGGTACCACAAGGAGTGCTTTGTGTGCCGAGCGTGCAAAATCGCCTTTCCCACTGCTGAATTCTACGTTCATGATGACCACCCCTACTGTGCTTACCACTATCACGAGCGAGAGAATTCTCTTTGTGCTACGTGTGGCAAAGGGATCGAAGGCCTGTACATGGAAACCACCAACGTGGCGGGGCGCGGAAAAGAGAAGCATCATCCGGAATGCTTAAAGTGCACAACCTGCAGGGTTCGACTGGACCACGACTATTTTGAACTGTCTGGGAAAGTGTACTGCGAACGAGATGCGTTTCGGCTCGCAACTTTACCAAGATCCCACGACAATGCCCCTAGCCGCCCAAGCCCATTGGTACGAGAATATATCTCCAGTGGAGACCCCGGACTCGTGAAGGGCAGGAATTTCCCTGAGCGTAGAACGACCAGATTAATGACGACGACCTAATTTCACGACCACGATAGATGCAACGCTTGAGGCCGGATTTCCAACCCCAGCAAAGCATGGGACTTTCATCCTCTTGAAGCTGGCCTAGATGAGAACTGGATGCCAACAGCTTCGGCTTTGCACGACGGCGACCTTTCCAGTTTGTGGTGCAGCGGGCTTCAGTCCGCCGCAATTCTTCCCCCTCCCAACATTAAATATGTATACTCAAGACTTTGTGCCGGCCACATGGTGAGACCATCCCCTGCCGAAGCATGGGGTTTGGGTGTGCGATCAGAAGAATATATTAGATATATATCGATAATGTGTATGCTAGTGCAACACCTCAACCGAACGTTTCCAGTTGTTGTTCATCATTGGCCATTACAGACGCTTTCCCTTCGAATGACTTTGCATGTCTTGTCAGTTCCAGTGGTTTGTACGACGTCGGGCTATTGGCTTCCAGCCGTGACAAGATTCCACCAAACCCGGCAATGCTGACAGCATATTGACCTCGTTCGCGATTCTCCTTGGTGACCAGAGAGGACATGGTGGGGATATGCCATTCCACTCCGACTTAGATCCTTTGGAATCGGAAGGACATCAGACTCGAAATGGTTGTTCGGGCTTAGGCACCGGCTTTTCGGTAAGCAGCGATACCCCCACGACGCACACGCGCATCGTTGGTGAGCCTTAGCGTGTCTGCGCTTGCTGCGTCAATGTTACTCGACAGGGTATTTAGTGTCAGATCTGGCAAGCAAGCAAACAACCGAGACAGGCAAAAGATTATCCCATGATTCGGAAAGGGAACAGAAATCCCAAAGCTTGCTTTGACGACCACAAAGAAGACCCCCCGGCCTGTGTGACACGGAGGCATTTTCCGTGGGGTAGAAGGAGACAGATGACTGACTTGGGCGGGGCGAAGAAAGACTAGACCGCGGGCACTGCACGATCAGAACTGCCGTCAGGGCGTTGGATGGGACGCATTCAAAGTTTGAAATTGGGCCAGAGAGGACGTCGTGTGACCGAAACAACAATCCACAGCGCATCCGAGGGAGATTAGGGGCACGCTGACGAGCAACATTGGGTCAGTGGATTCAGCCGGATATCAAGACTGGATTCGGAGAGAAGCGGGATGTCGAGAAAGGTGAGATTCTGGACTGTGGTGAATTGATTGGAGGTAAGTGGGAGTTCCAAGATATGATTCCGGACCGCAGCGGTAACCAGTGGTGCAAGTCTCAGGCGGTCCAAATGCACATGCATCTCTGCGTTTTGGATCCATTCGTGCCTGAAAGCCAACAACAGATACGAGAGCAAAGAAAAGTGGTGCAAAGAAGAGGATCGGTCGGGCTGGTGTGGGATGGAGACTCAACAGCATTCGATCAATCCCGCGCACTTGTACCACGGTTCCCACCTCTTCGCATGATAAGGACGGAATGCACGAACACGCCTCTTATCGACAGCGGTGCTGAGAGCAAGAGACGACCCAGCAAATCCCCACGATGGAGCCCTTGCTGCCCAAACGGCTGTCGGGATACAGTCAGGACAAACGCCAGTGTCGAAGCGGTCAAAGCAACAAGGCTAACTAACAGGCAGCTAATTAGCGAGGCTAGGAAGACGCAATTCCCATTAGTCACTCTCTCCACCACACACACCGATTGACAAGTGCGCGAGGAATACAAGAAGTCGCGATATTCCATCTGGCCTCCCATCCCCCTCAACACCACACACATTCACGTCCCAGATCTGTTCGAAACGCGAGTCTGATCACCGCCCGGCTGTGATCTATTCTCATTCCTCTTCCACACACAAGGATCACTTCCGAGTGATCCGCCCAACCGCCAAGACGTTTTCCAATCTGCTGCCCTCGTAAGTACCACTCCGTTGCCTCGTCCCCGACCGGTCTTGCAGCACTGGTACCTGCATCTATCCCCTGTTCATGCATTTCGAATCTTCATCTGGTGGTACCTGGCGTCAATCTCGCGTCGTGGCCATCGTGCTCTTTGTCATGCAGTTGACCGCGGGTGGTACCTTTTTCTCTTCCACCGCAATAGGCGGCGTTGTTCGTCGTCGTCGGGTGCCACTCGTTCCATTGAGAATCTGGTCTCGTCGCCATGTTCTTCCTCTTCAGACCGCTCTTGCAAAATGCTCTCTGACTTGTCAATCCTTTTAAGGTCTCATCACCCGTTCAACGGTAGCCGACGCTCTTCCCCTCCTGGAGGAGCATCGGATTCAACAAAGACCCGATAAATTCGCCATCCATCAGAGAACCGCTGCCACTCCAAATCTTTGACAAAGTCATTCAGCCAATTCTCTTGAGCTCAATATGGCACCACACGCGGAAATCGGCGTCGGCACCATGAACGGGTATAGCACTAATCACACTTCGGACTCGGCTCAATCGCACAAGGATCTTTTCACGGTCAACTCTCCCAACGTTACGTATACTGACGAACACATCAAGAGCAAGTATGTCTACCGCACCACGGCAGTCACCAAATCCGCCGATGGGAAGTACACCGCCACCCCCAAGGAAACCATCTACGACTTCAAAGTCGACCGCAAAGTGCCCAAGGTCGGCGTGATGTTGGTGGGATGGGGCGGCAACAACGGCTCCACCGTCACTGCCGGTATCATTGCCAATCGTCGTGGACTCGTTTGGGACACTCGTGAAGGGAGTCGCGCCGCGAACTACTATGGCTCCATCATCATGGGCTCGACGATCAAACTCGGCGCTGACGCCAAAACCAACGAAGAGATCAACATTCCTTTCCACGACGTCTTGCCCATGGTTCACCCCAATGACATTGTGATTGGTGGTTGGGACATCAGCAGCATGAACATTGCAGCTGCAATGGACCGTGCTCAGGTCCTTGAACCGACCCTCAAGGCCCTGGTCTACAAGGAGATGGCTCTGATGAAACCGCTGCCAAGTATCTACTACCCGGATTTCATTGCTGCCAACCAGGAAGATCGTGCGGATAACATCCTTCCGGGTAACAAGGCAAGCATGGCCCATGTTGACAAGATCAGGGCAGACATCAGGTATGGCTTGCTCGGTACTATTTATATACTGGAGGATACTAACCTCGTGCAGGGAATTCAAGGCTCAAAACAACCTTGACAAGGTCATTGTCCTCTGGACTGCCAACACCGAACGCTACGCAGACATCATTGCCGGCGTCAACGACACGGCCGAGAACTTGCTTAAAGCCATTGAGCAGGGTCACGAGGAAGTGTCGCCTTCGACTGTCTTCTCTGTTGCTTGCGTCCTTGAAAAGACGCCTTTCATCAACGGCTCCCCTCAGAATACTTTTGTTCCCGGAGCGATCCAGCTCGCTGAGAAGCATGACTCCTTCATTGGAGGTGACGACTTCAAGTCGGGCCAGACCAAGATGAAGTCGGCACTGGTCGATTTCTTGATCAACGCCGGCATCAAGTTGACGTCTATTGCAAGCTACAACCACCTCGGCAACAACGACGGCAAGAACTTGAGCTCCCAGAAACAGTTCCGATCCAAGGAGATTTCCAAGTCCAATGTCGTCGACGACATGGTGGCTGCCAATTCAGTCTTGTACAAGAAGGACGAGCATCCTGATCACACTGTGGTCATCAAGTACATGCCCGCCGTTGGAGACAACAAGCGAGCCCTGGACGAGTACTATGCCGAAATCTTCATGGGGGGCCACCAGACGATCAGCATTTTCAATGTCTGCGAGGACTCCTTGTTGGCCTCGCCCTTGATCATCGACCTTGTCCTCGTGGCCGAGATGATGACTCGCATCCAGTGGAAGACTGAAGCTGCCGCGGAATACAAGGGCTTCCACAGTGTTCTGAGCATTCTCAGCTACATGTTGAAGGTACGGATGCCCATTATGAACCGTGACTTGGCCCCTCGTCTCACTAACATGGCTTTCACAGGCACCACTCACGCCCCCCGGAACGCCTGTCGTCAACGCCTTGGCCAAACAGCGCAGTGCTCTGACCAACATCTTCCGTGCCTGCGTTGGTCTCCAGCCCGAATCCGACATGACCCTCGAGCACAAGCTGTTCTGATCCCGCAACCGACCCTCCGACCCTAATGTGCAGGTAATGGCAAAGAAATAGCAGGACTTGCGAAGCCGCTCGGCATTTGATGCGATAGGGGTGGCTAGACTGCTTTTCCTTGCATTGCGAACGGCGAAATCCAAAGGGTCGGTCTCTGTCGAATCATTGCACCTCCTAGACTGCACAGATTTGTTTCCCCCCCCGAGTACTCTGGTGTACTTGTTCTGTCGTTCCCGTCGCCCCTCCCTCGACTCTCGAGGTCGTCCAACTCGTTGTCACTCCTTTGATCCAGCTACATAGTATAGCCTTAGCAACACAAGACATATTAACCCCCAACCTCTTGGGCTCCATTCGTGTTTGTTCCGTCCAATAGTCACGGGAGGTGCCGGTTTTCTCGGTGACGGGGATGCCGCTAATAAAGAAAGCGCCTCGACAATAACGACAGCAACATCTCCAAGATACGAGCGAGGCCTGGGCAAGGCGAGCAGACAAGGCCCTCAAGGTCCTGTAACCCGAGCAGGGGTGTGGCTTGGTAGGCTAACAAGAGACACGATATACACACATACCTTCGACAGGAATATACGTAGGTAGAGTAAACTCAGAACCCACCGCGCGCGAGGCCGTACAACGCGCCGACGCCAGCCTTAACCCCGTCGACGATGTAGACCGCCTTGCCTCTGTCCTCACCCAGCGCCTCGACGCACGCCGTGCGCACCGCCGAGTCCAAGCCCACCATGCCCGCGCAGCCCAGACAGATTGCGTGGACACGCGAGGCGAGGACTGTGTCTGTGTTTGTGTCTCCTGGACTGGAACGCGAGGTCGTCGTCTCAGTGCTACTGCTATTGATGGTGTCGGTGTCGGTCTTGCCGCGCAGGAGGAGCCGCTTGGTCGCGTGCATCATTTTCCTGCGCACCTCGTCGGCGGGCAGGTCGTGCAGTTCGCTCGCGTTGAGCCCGGTGGTCTCGCACCCGACGAAGGGCGACTTGGCCGCCGTCATGGTGCTTGTAGCGGGACATCCGAGAAACTCCTGCACGGCGTTCTGCAGGGCCTCCTCCCAGACTTTGCCCGTCGAGACGATCCCGAACGCGGGTCGGGGCTCTCCAGAGACGTCCTCCCCTCCCGTGGTGGGTTTCCACTCCGACTCGCCCAGCAGGGCCAGGCTGGCGAGCACGCTCGCCTCGAAGATGCCGGTGACGTACTTCCTGGCGCCGCCGCCGCCGGAGCCCCGGGTCGCCGCGGCCGTGAGCCTGGCGCACTCGGCCTTCAGCCGCGCCACGAGCGGGTGCTGGCTGTAGCACGCGACCAGGAAGCAGTCGTGGTGCGGCAGCAGGGGGAGCAGGTGCGGGAGGCAGATGTCGGCCGACCGCGCCGCGTCCGCGGGCGAGTTGATGCTGGGGATGCCCGGCGTCGGCGACGTGAAGAAGGCGTACTGCGCCCCGGGGAAGCCCAGACCCTCCACGACGGGGACCAGCGCGGCCGTCATGTGCTGCGACGTGTTGGGGTTGATGATGAGGATGCGCACGGGCGTCGTCGACGCTTCTTCATCTGCGGTCGCCATCGTCATTGAGCCTTTGTGTGTGTGGTTTTTATTCCCTTTTTTTTGTACGTGCGTGCGTGCGTGTGTGTGTGTCTCTCTCTCTCTCTCTCTCTCTCTCTCTCTTGTGGAATCCCTTCTTTTTCCCTCAATTGGTCCTGGCAACGGTCAGGTTCGGTATCGGACTCGCTGGTTCAGATGTTGCTGTATTCGTGGGAACAAAAGGCGACTACTGGCTCGTGTCGTGGACTTTGTCGTGATGAGAAACCTGTCGAGCCCGTCTCGTAAATTTTTGGTGGTGAGGGGAAAAGAAGAAAGTTCGGACGCAGTTCGTTGTTGTTTGAGTGCGGGGAGCTGCGTTATCTTATCGTTGATAAGGGATAAGGAACGAGCACATTGCATAGCAAAAGGTGTCGAGAACATCCACGCAGACACTCACTCAACGTCCATGATGGCATCTATCCACTCTGTCTATTTTGGAGAAGCTGTCTCCTTCATCCCCTCTCTCCCTCCCTAAAAGATCGATCAATGCCCAACTGTGATCTTCAACAGACCCCTTTCAGGACTTTCTCGCAGATCCATCGTCTGGGTGTGCATGTCTTGCCATAGTGTTCCCTGCCTTACACGACTGGCTGTTTCGATTGAGTCACTGCTCGGTATACGTGTTATGACGGAGCTATCTCCCTCTCTTCTTTCCTTCTCGTAGTATTTGCCCTCCTTGTCGCTTGGTAGATTTACCAGTCTTATCGAACCCTTACAAGCAGCAGATATAGCGTGTAGCATCCAGACTAGCTGTCACAGCGACTATGACTCCCAATGGCATGCGTTTACTGTCACACTGCAGTGCCAACCATCCAATACAGCGACCAAGAATAATTGGAGGAGGCAGAGTGCGCAGTCCAGCAATCGATGTGTCGGACTGCAGCGGACTGGCCTTAGGTTGGCACGCGGTGGAGCAGCTTTTTGAGCAGGGACGGTGCCATGGAACGCCGGGACCGGGAGTAGAAGTTGGAGGAACACCTGGATATGCTTGGTATTGGTGTTGGCCATGTAGACAGCAACTGCAGAAAATCGGTGTGTGCGAGTTCATGCAATCCGGGGGTGTTGACTGGCGCTGACTGACTGACTGACTGACGCGGGGAAGCGAGAAAGGAATAACGTGGGTCCGGGTCCGGACTGGGCTGGCATATGACGGACGCATGTGCCATGTGCCGTGTCAATGGTCCATTTGTTGTTTGTCGGGCACGTAGAGAAGTTGTACCTTGCAGGTTTGAACACTCATCACCATAACATCAAATGGACGACCTATATTTGATTCCCCCTCCCTTGGCCTTCAATATGCTTCTACCATCGCCGGACTGGCCCTTCCCGCCCACTCGTCCCCCCGGATCACCAAAGCTGATACCATGATCACCGCCCTTGAGGATCCCCAACTCCCTATTCCCGCCATAGTCAAATTGCAGACTCGGGTCATATTATCACTGCTGCAGAAGCGCAAAAGGAAGGGAGGCATCAGTGAGCTCCCAGTTGAGTTGCTTGAAGAATGGTGCCAGTGCGTAGACCAGCTGGTGTGCGGGGACACCTCGAAGTTGAACGAGGTCGAAGAACGGTCTTGTAAGCGCAGCTGCACCCCACTGTTCTGCCGCTCAGCACAATGCTTGCCTCAGGAGTGGAAGATGGCTAATCAATTGCCGTAGGCAAAATCGAGGCTTGCCTCTCGCCCAGGTCCGTGGAAAATATCGGCTGCCCTCGTGGCTGCCGTGTATCGTTCGGATCGTGGGACGCTTGGAAGAGACATCAAAAGGCACAACACCGGGAAGGAGGTGTTAAGTGGACGTGCGATCAATGTCCCGAACTGGTGTTCTATGACGCCCGCCAGGTCTCCAAACACAAGGATACCAACAAGACACACAGGACCAGCGAACAGCCCTCGGGGGTTTGCAATTACGGATGCGGTCTCTGTGAGCTTGAAGAACCCATCGCGGAATTTGAAAATTGGTTCGAGCATGTGAAGGGTCATGTTGAGAGAGGTGACAAAATCAAAGGGTGGGATTATTCGCTTGAGATGACGACGTTGATGAAGAGCCAATATCTCGAGGATGCCTTACCGCAACAGCCAATTCCTCTGACCCAATTCGACCTCAAGGTAAATGAGAGGACTGAAGAACTTCGACATGATATCCAGTGTATAGCAGGTGAGGGTGGTGTGGCTAATCTGGTGGAGAGGATTGAAGCACTAGTCAGTCCTCCCAAACGAGGGCATCCTGCAATGCCCACGCCCGCTTTTGATGAGCTGCCTTCGACGAGGCAGTTCTCAGATGTCCCAGGCGGGAACGGGATCGAAGGACTCGAGGAAATTCATATCTCTGCAGCCTCTGGACAGAGTAATTTTAGCCCTGCCGATCTCCATCGACATGGCAGGGCATCAGGGCCCCATGACCATCCTACCGCCATCCACGATCAAGCCACTGGGCAGTACGATCAGTTTGGCTCCAGTTTACGGCCTTTGATGTGGACAAAGAGATCTCTGCCTTCCCAGGACAACCCGCTGGGACATGACGAGACGTATCCCAAGAAACAAAGGCATGACCACCAGAACTGCCCACCACTCCAGGAACGACCCAAGCAATCACAAGATCCACCATCCTTGGAGTTGACGGAAAATAGCGGCAGCAGCAACTCTACCTCTCTGTCTACCAACTTACCCCTGAATGGGTGGTCCGATTCTTTCCCCAACCAGGGCGATCATACCGATCTGATCGAATTCGACGAACTCTTCGATTACGAACAGTACAGCCATGACTGCGAAAATGGGGGTTTGAAAATTGGGCATCCAGGACACTTTTAGCACAAGGAATACCAAGACATGTGGGATTCTGGCACACGCGACCCGAGGCATGTCCCGTGACGCCATCTATACACTGGGATCGCCAAAGCGAAGGGAGGGAAGAGACATGATTGACTACCGATTCCGAGAACGAAGAACAGGCCCTGATTTGACTGACATGCGGGCCACCGACCTCATGTTCGACGGCAGGAAGGACAAGAGGTTCGGCCATGAGATCATTTCTCGGTGACGACAGCTGGAACGCGCGCCAGGCAGTTCTGAATACTTACGACTGTCTGCCATAAATGCTGAGGCCGTTACAAAGACCAATCTAGCCAGCTGAAGCATTCACCCTCCACCAATACCTGCGGTCGCGCCGTAGCGGCTAATGTCCTGCACTCTGACTTGACTCCACCAGAAACAGGAGCCGCCTCCAATCGTCACAGCTGAACGATACTTGATCGCGGCTGAGTTGTCTCTCCAGACGTGCCAGCAGATAGGACGCCAACCCGACGGAAAGGTTGGGCAGTTTTCGACAGTTCGCTTCTCGATGGGTTCGGACAGGTCCTACTCTAGGACGAGAGTCTTCATCTTTCAAGACTGTTCATGGCAGTCTTCTGTGGATCAAGTACATGCAAAGCTCTGCACTCTGCAAGATGAGGCGGTCTCCATCCGGGAAAAACGAAAGCCTCCGACCTATCTGTTCGTGTCGGGGGCTTGAGAGTTGTGTACATAGCATTGCTATACCCGACTCGTCGTTTTCGATCCTCACACAAGCTTGGTCTCCGCTGCATCGTCAAATTTGTCGGGGCCTTTATCTTCAATATTGGGCACGGCTCTTGTAGGTGTCTTGAATAATCGCTGTCCGCCTGTTATGAGATCTCTAAGGGTGGCGTATATGACAAGAAGCCAAAGCAGGAATACACAGACAGAGGTTATCTGTCATTGCAATAGTTAGCCAGGTGACATGAAGAGACACCAAGGAGCAGGAGCATTACAGATCCAATGACTCGAAAAAATCGAGAGGGGATCTCTTTCGCGAGTGTATTGCTCGAAAGAGCGAATGTGCCGATCGGGAAGGTGAACCTATCCACCGTGAGTCGCCAGGTTTTCTGGAACGGGGTATTCTCGCGATGAAAAACCTACCCCCACCAGCCCATATTGAATGGGAAATGCTTGCAATGGTATATCGTTGCAACGGCAAGAAAGAGCCACAACAAGGTGAAACCCCACAAGATCAAGGATAAAAGCACTCCGAAATTGTATGCCAAATCTCCCGCCAGAGGATGGATAGTCTCCGTCAAAGGGAAAACTTTCATCGCGACGTTCCCGAGCTTCATGATGGCAAAAGCACCCATGTTCAAAGGGCCCAACGGAATGAAACAGGACACAATCACCTCGCGTGGTGGGAGTTTGTGGATAGTCAAGCGTTGCCAGTAGGTGATGAGAATGAATATCGCCGAAGGGACGCCGACACCCCAAAGAACATAGCCGATGATGACTGTGACTAGAGCTTGCTCTTCGTCGGGCAAGACATCTGCAACCAAAGCCGCGGTGGCGGATGCGACCACTGTTCCGATGACGGGGAAAGTCTGTAAAGCGGTAATCGTCGACAGAGGTGTTTCTTCTTGTCGTTTGATGACGAGCAGAAAGGGTAGAAACAGGGCACACAGCAGTGACACGGCTGCGTCGGCCATCCACAACCTGGACTGATTAGCAAAGGACATCGTGCAAAGACTTGGAAGGTACTAACCCCCATGCGAGATAAACGACCCATTTGCCCCACGAGGGAGCGCAGACAAACACCATCATATTGACGATAGTCCCAAGACTCTACGGGACCGTGTCAGTACGATATCCAGACTGAAACTCGAGATACGTACCACTGGTATGCTACTCAAGAAGAATGCTTGATTGGGCCGCTCGATTATCGTGATCCATGTCTTGGGAAACAGAACAAACTGGAGAATGGATACGAAGATGAAAAAGGTGAAGAGGCCGATGTTGAGGCAGAACACGATGACGGAGAGCCAGTAGAGCCATCTCGCATTGTATGGGAACTGGTTGAGAAGGCTCGCCACGACCTTTTGGTGTCCTCAAATCAGCCATTTTGTTCACGACAGAGGAGATGAGTTCGTCGTCGGCTTCGGGATAGAAGGACAGGGCCAGGAATTGGCATCAACTGGGGGAGAAAGGGCGCTTACACCAGTGCCCATGGTCACCGTGAACCAGCTGCGGACGCGCCGTCAGTACGTAGCCTCAGGATTTGAGGGGAGCTTGACGTACGATGGCGTGAAGTACTTGACATATTTCCTCCATCCCAGCTCACCACTTTTCCGAAAATCCACAGCCATCTGTTTGCCATTCTGTGTTGATGAAGGAGGAGCTGGTGTTAGAGAGGAATCGTCGGGGCCATCCCCCAAGGCCGGGTTCCAAGATGCAATGTCGCCATCCTCGCCGGTACCTCCGCTAAGAGTCTTTTGCAGGGAAATGGCAGCATTAGTGACAATTCTGGTCAATGTCCTTGGGCGAGTCGGTCGAGACGGAGTGTCAGGCATTGCCTCTTTGCGGGGGGAAAGGGGCGGCTTTTGGAGTAAATGTGTGTCACGAAATGGTCTTTGTGACGTGGAGTGCCAGGGGCGGTGGAAGTATTCGGTAAGACTGATATACGCTTTCTCCGCGGTACATGGGAAATGCCTGGGCTTTGGGAGATGAGCAGTATTCACTTCATAGGCGAACGTCCATTATTGCATTGGTGCTATGGCCTTGCAGATGTAGATTCGGCGATCGATCTGCAATAAGACTCGAGGTCAGCTGGCAGAGGCGAAGTGAAGAAAGAAGCAGTCAACGAAGGCCAGATCCAAAGCAGAAGGGAGGTCGAGGTTATTATTTTGAATCTGGACCAATGCGGGATCACGCGGCAGGATTGGAGCCATCTGAGTTCCGCGGGCGTGGGCCCAGCAAGGTTCGTCAAGTGTGCTAACTGGTGACTGGTCGAAATCTGGAAGGAGAAGAATGCCCGATGCAGCTGAGGTCTCAGCGCGGGAGATGAGAAAGGGATGGTGGATGGAGGATGGTGGAGGGAGGAGAGAGGCTGGTAAAGCCGTGGTGTGGATGCGGTTCTATGCAGGGCTGCTTACGGAAGCTGCGTTTTCCTATTGCGCATTGCGCCTCGCGCCTCATGCGCTTCTCACATAGCCAATAAGATGTGCATGCCATTGCTATACAAAAGGATGCATATTCGACATACGTGAACTTGTCGGTGCCAGTAGAAATGAAGGTAAGAAAAAAGGAAAGTAAAAGATATCGCAGCCGTGCACATCGACAACGCCTGTCGTGATAAGGCTCCGCAGCTGAATGAGCGTGCCAACCTCTGTCGATTTCCCTTCACAGGTCTGTTTCACAACTCCAGCTGGCGTCGATACGAGACATGGCTGATTGAAATGAGCGTGTGGTGGTGCCAAAAGGCCAGGCATAAAGGCCGGATCCACCTGACCGACCTTTCCTCCGTGTAGAAACGTCAAGAGGCTCCTCTGTGCACTCCTCAGCTCTGCTCCCCATCGCATTCGTCCTCGTGTTCGGAACTACTGATCCATCTTCCAACCACCAAGATGTCTTGACCGGAAAGTGCTGAACAATGATCCAAGCCCAAACGGAAAAGTAGTGACGCCTGCAAAACTGTAGACCCAGCTCGTGGATCTTGTGTCTGTGCTTGACCGTGTCGGAAACCCCATCGGACGAACCGCATGCCTGTTGTGCGATTCGCAAATACCTGGTTCAAGCATCGAGGTGTGAACCTCTGGTTGGTTTCGGCTCCTGCCAATAAGTGGAATTGGGTTTGCTCGTGCTGTTGTAGATATCAAACGTCCACAACAGCGGCAGGAGTGTCTAAGGGACGAACAACCGACCTCTGCCGCGGGTCGATCCACGTTCGAATCCATTGCTGTAGCCACGGTTCAGGTTCGATCCTCGTCCCCCTCCGCGGCCATAGTTTCCGCGGTAGGCTCCCCGACCACTGCTGAACTGGTTTGGGACATGGTTGCTAGTATTGACGAGCGGTGTGCTGCCCCGAGCGAAGCTGCCGCGGTCAAATGAATCTGGGTCGATCTCCTCCACTGGAATTTGCGGCTTGTTCTGCGCCGACTGCGCCGACTGCGCCGGGGTGCTGAAGGAGGTTCGTGGAGACCGCGTATTTCCTCCTCGACTGCGGATGCTCCCTGCGCCGGTACCTCGCGAAGTCTGTGCTCCGCGTGTTGAACCTCGACCTCTTGGCTTGAAGACAACTTCCTCCTCGTCACTCTCGACGTCATCGTAGCTGAAAAGGGTCTTCGGCTCCGCATTGGATGATCTTTTCGCCTTGTCCTTCTTAGGATTTTCTGGCGCGGCGGGTTCATTTTCTCCCAAGCCCAGAGCACTCCTTAGTTGGTGGATGTTTTTGGTAGGGACACCAAAGTCCCGCGCGAGGTGCATAGTGTCAGCTGAGTTCGTAAGGAAGACGAGGCCTGCATCGGCAGGAGCCTTCTTCTCATGTACATACCAGACCACGGGGTTAAGAAGAGACTTGAGCGATGGTGGGACAGGTGTCTGATCGTGACTGATTATGGTAGCAGACTTGACCTCCGGGCTGGTCTTAGAGCTCTGCGGTCCAGAGGAAGAGGGCGACAAAGGTGGCGTGGAGCCGGGTGACATAGTCGCTGGTTCTTTCGCAAAGTTGAGTTTGTCCAAGAGAACTTGCGACAATGGGCCTGCCGCGCCTGCGCTGACCTTGAAGGGAATTTCCGAGTCCTTCTCCTGTTTGGTGTCCAGGATCGGGATTGAATCTTCTCCTTCGTTCATCCCAGCAGTCTTCATGCTTTCATTTGTGTAGTGTGCCTCCACCTCAGCCCATGTCGGGTATTGGTCGTCGGGACCCTGGAGGATGACTGGGTCGTGTCGTAAATCGCCGCGGGACGAAGTGCTGCGGTCAAGGAACTTGACAGCTTTACGCGCACTGACGCCAATTTGTGAAGAATCCTTCTTCAAGACATTCAGGCGAGAGAGCGCTGTAGCCGATTAGCGGGACACTGAGGATATGCGACACGGGCGCCTATACTGTACAAGGGCACAACAAGAATAATAAGGCCCTGGGAGACCCAGCTCTCGATCTCCTCGAGGTTCCTGGTCAAGGCCGTGTCGTCTACAAGACAACGGATGACGTTGTTTTCGGACATTTTCATGGTTTGCCGCTTGTGAATCTGGGTTGGATCGGGTGTCGATGTGTTGGTATAAGGGGAAATTTTAAAGATTCATCTGCGCGAACTTTGGAAGGTGCGGTAGCCGGGCGCTACGACTGCATTTTCCCAGTGATATATTAGTGATACGCAAGGCCACAAAGAGGTTGCGGCAGAGAGGCGAGGGCAAGGGAGTCAGGGCGCAGGCAATACCGGTTGTGGTTGTGTTTGTGGCGGAGAGCAAGCAGTAAGGATAGGTGCGCATCTTCGCTAGGAATGGTTTGATGCCGAAATGCGGCAGCCGATCGGGGTCATATGAGGATGCATCTACAGTGCAGGCTTGCGGAGTGAAGAAGAGTCCAGCTTCGCGTGAAGACTAAGAGAATGAGTTCAAGTTGTTGTGCGGTGGGTGGCAGTGGGTGGGAATCAAGAGGATCGGAGGTTGGACTGCGCAGGACGGGAAGCGGGACGCAGACAAACTGCGGGTGAGCGAATCAGCCCTGGACTTCGGCATCTTCTCCGCTTTGTGCCCGAACTGACTGCGCCGCAGCTGGTACAGCCCAAGGTCCTCAGTGTTATCCAGGTATCCAGATTCTGTAAATGTCTACCCAGCACTACTAGATCCTCGCTCTGTGGGAAACCGGCTCTGGATTCACGCCTCTGTGCTGGGTCCCTCTAAAATACCGTCAGACAGCTGACTGTGTCGTTCTTCAGCACCTCAAACAACATCCCCGGAAAGCCAAACAGCTCCGTGTTGCCCATCACCCCTCCAGCATCGGCTGTGCTGTGGTCGTCGGCCTTTTCTCGATTCGGGCTCTCCTCGAGATCGCCCAGCAGCTCTATTGAGCTCTCTGGACTCTCCCCCCACCCCCTGTTGAGGACCATCCCTCGCTGCATTTGCTTCTCCTCGTCCTCGTCTTTGTAAGTCTCGTGCCACACTTCTTTCAGAGCCCCAGATATTTCGGAGAATGCCATTTCTGAAGTCAGGATCGGCCCTCGGGCTTCCCCCCGCGTACGTATCACCCAGCGACTTCTTCGGTGGCGATTGAAAGCGAACGAGCCAGGGATGTTGCCATGTAAGAAGACCTTCGTGGCGACCAGTTGCGCGCTGGACGAACCAGAGCTCTCGCTGGTCGTCGAATCCGGAAAAGCTGGAGATCTTGCGGCTGGGGATGATATTAGGATGTCAAATCCGTGCGTAAAGTAGTTGTAGAAACACTCATCACTGGATGAATCTGCTCTATCTTCCTCCAGCTCGGGATCGAAGTCTGATTCTTCGGTATAGCTTTGGATCGAAGACTGGTCCGTGTCCAGCGCCTGAGGATCGAGCCCCGGAGACATGCTAGGCCGCCGCCGATTCGCAGGGTTGCCGGTAGCATGAATCGAAATCCGCCTATCATTCTTACGATATATGGCATCAGGAGGCCCCAGCTCCGCCACGAGATCTTGAGGTGTTGTTTCACTCAATGTGATGGCCATGGGCGGAGAGGCCCTCCGCAGCAGTTCAAGTCTGCCACCTCCGAACACTCTCACCTCCTCGATCTCGTCTGGCACCGTTTCAACAGACTTGCCAACAAGCGTTGGTGATCGAGGATATGTTGGAGGTCTCGTATACAAATTTGATCTTGCTTCTGTCCACGAAGACCCGGAGAAGACGGCCATGGACACTGCCGACCCAGTTGCATTGGACGACAAAATTGACACAAAATCAACTTTTTCGGACCAGGATTTATGCTTCACGGGGAAGGTAAATGCCAGTCCTGGATACGAGAGCACGTAGGTGCCCTCCGAAAGACTGGGCTCTGGAGCAATGTATTCTCCGGCATACGTTGGTCCAAAGAGACGATTATAGACATGTCGAAAGGTGGGCCCGCTAGAGGAGCCTTCATCTTGGCTGATGTCGTCCGAACCCTTAACTCGGCGGACCAGATCTGTGTTTTTATAAACAAAAGTGCTGAGGGAAAAGTCCAGAACCTCGATTAACCGTAGCCGCTGGTCTGGACCGTCGAACCGGAGCCTCAGTCCATTACAAGGAAGACTGAGAACGACTGGTTGCGTGATTGGCTCTGAAGCGGAATAGGACAACTCGAGACCTGGATAGATCTGTGGCGACGCTTTCAGCCTCGTTAATATGCTGTAGATAGAAGACCCAAGAGCTGATGCAGTTAGCACGACCCGCTGCTGAGCGAGATATACACATACTTATCCAACTAATGCCCCTTTCTGGCTGGATCTGAAAAGCAGCCTTGGAGGCGGTTTCCGTCATGGTGAAGGTAGCATGCCGGGAGAGGAGGAGGAGGATGAGGAAGCGCCTGCTGAGTGAAGGTCTTTGTGATATTTAACCTGGTGATCACGGCGAACAAGAATAGAAGACAAGTCACAAGGGAGTCAGAATAGTGTCGACGTGGTTGGGCCGGTGGATGGACCAATCCGAGACCAGTATTCTGGGGCCGAATCACGTGTCGGGACCCACAACTTTAGCGCCTCGGCATTGTTTACATTGCGTCCTGTTTCGTTTTGCTGGTGGATGGAAGCATCGCTCCGCCAAATTCATATCCTTGTTTCCAACCCTGGTACCTTGTTATATGGCAAGCATTTCCAAATGCAGCTTCCGCACGCTCAATAACACTCCATCTGCTATCACCCGCCGCTTCCTGCACCAACATGTCGGGATCGCAGCGTCTTGCCCATCCTGGCACCAGAACCTCAATGCGCCCACCGCCGAGACCGCATGTGGCACACTATCCTTCAATAACCGGTCGCGCTCCTTCCCCCGCAGAATCATTATCCTCGAGCGGTGCCTCTAACGCGGGCACTAAAAGAAAAGAGAGGGATTTTGACCAAGACCATGGCGAGGAAACAAACATCCATGTCGTGGTACGATGTCGAGGTCGAAGCGCGAGAGAAGTTCGAGAAAACAGCGGGGTGGTGGTATCAACCAGTGGAGTCCGAGGAAAGACTGTTGAACTGTCGATGGGGCCCAATGCAATCAGCAACAAGACCTACTATTTCGACAAGGTGTTTTCTCCTGCGGCGGACCAGGCCATCATTTTCGACGACGTCGTGGCGCCCATATTGAACGAAATGCTGACAGGCTACAATTGCACAATATTCGCCTATGGCCAGACGGGGACAGGCAAAACATATACAATGTCGGGTGACATGACAGACACCCTGGGACTGTTATCCGATGCAGCCGGCATTATCCCTCGAGTACTCTACTCACTGTTCCAGAAACTGGAGGCAGACGAGGTGGAGTGCTCGGTGAAATGTTCATTCATCGAGCTATACAACGAGGAACTGAGGGATTTACTGTCGCCGGACGATTCCGTCAAGCTGAAGATCTTCGATGATGCCAGCAGGAAGAGCCATTCCGCTACGGTGGTTCAGGGCATGGAAGAGTCGCACATTAAGAATGCAGCGGCGGGCATCAAGCTTCTACGGGAGGGCAGCCACAGGCGTCAAGTTGCAGCTACCAAATGCAATGACCTCAGCTCTCGAAGTCATACCGTCTTCACCATTACCACATATGTGAAGAAACCTAACAACACAGGCGAAGATTACATCTGCTCTGGAAAACTCAACCTTGTTGATTTGGCTGGCAGTGAGAACATCCAAAGAAGTGGCGCGGAGAACAAAAGAGCCGCGGAAGCCGGACTCATCAACAAGAGCTTATTGACTCTAGGAAGAGTGATCAATGCTCTGGTGGACAAAAGCTCGCATATTCCATACCGAGAATCGAAACTGACAAGATTGCTACAAGACTCACTGGGCGGAAGAACAAAGACATGTATCATTGCTACAGTTTCACCAGCAAAAAGCAATCTCGAAGAGACCATTTCGACTCTAGACTATGCTTTCCGTGCGAAGAATATTCGAAACAAACCGCAAGTCAACTCAATGATATCCAAGAAAACTTTGCTGAAAGAGTTCACCGTCGAAATTGAAAAGCTCAAGAGCGAATTGATTGCCACAAGACAACGGAACGGCGTCTATCTCACCAACGAGCAGTACGAGGAAATTACGGTGGAGAGTGAGTCCAGAAGGATACTGAGCGAGGAACAGAAGGCTCGGATCGAAACGATGGAGGTCAGTTTACGCAACAAAGTCCAGGAGCTCTTCAGCTTGACCAACAACTTCACGATGCTGAAGCGAGATAATGAAGGGACCCGAGCCACCTTAGAGAGCACAAAAGATGTGCTTGAAAAGACTGCAGCTGTTCTCGCGGACACAGAAAGGCTGCTCGCGGAGGAGACTGCACTTCGCGAAGCACACGAAGTGACAGAGGAGACTTTATTCGGCATTGGGACTGAGCTGGTCACGACTGTTGGTGACTCGCTAAAGGATATTGATGGTCTGCAAGCCAAGCTCAGGCGGCACTCCGTCCTTCACTCTCACAACCGCGAGTCATGGAGCTCTTCTCTCCACCGGGTCATGGATGTCTGTGGACTGGTTGACGGGCGTATCGAAAGCTTTCATGCGGCACATGCAGAGGCCGCCGCTGCAAGCTCTCGCCGAATCGAGTCTTTGATAGCGACCGAAATGGCGCGCTTGGAGACTTCTGCGCAACTCTCTCAGGAGAAGTCCTCCCAGCTGGCTGAAGATTGTGCTGGTGTCGAAAACCAGTCGGCGCAGGCTAGAGATTCTATGAATAATGTCCTCGAGGAGATCAAAGATCTACGTGAGAATGTCAAGGACAACCTCAGCGAAGGCCTCCAAGGTCTATCCCAGGCAGCTGCAAAAATATCTGCAGAGGTGATCTCGGAGCTGGAACAGTTTCATACACAGCTACATTCGTCTTACAGTGGGCTCGGAAAAGACTTCAAGGCGATGTTCGATGACCTTATCAAGCAATTGACAGTGCAACGAGAGGAAATTGAAGCCTTGTCGTCGGCGCTCCAAGGAGCAAGTCGCACCAACATTGAGGCATCACTTACCGCCTCTACCCAGCTCGAAGCCATCAGGGACGAGGAGAGAAAGACTGCCGAGGAGGAGAAAGAGAAGCTCAAGGAGCAGATCTTGAAACTGATTGACTCGTCACATCAACAACAGGAACAGAGACTGTCGGGTAGATTGAATAATGTTCAATCACACCTTGTTGAAGCGACAGAGCAATTCGAAAGCGCTGACAAGTCTTATCGAGATGGGATGGACAGGTGGACAGCTCAAGGCAAGGACCTGATGACGCTGGTAGTCACGGCAAAGGACGAATTGAAGGGTAAGATGAAGGGTGACTGGACGGTAAGCACAGCACAACTTCAGCTTGGTTCGAGGCTAACATCTTGTAGGCAGTGAGTGCTCGAAACTTGGCCATACAAAAATCCACAAAGGCCGTCCACGAGGAAACGGTCAAAATTGTCGACGCTCAGCTTACGCAGATGTCAACTCAAATGGGAGCCCTGGACGAATTTGTGACGAGAGCTCGATTGCAGAATGACAGTCATCATGCTGAACGCTTACAGTCCTTGAGCAATGCTGCATCCCATGCCCAGGAAGGCTTTAGCAGTCTTGAGAAGGAGTCGGAGCTGTGCCGCGAGGTGTTTGGAGCCTTTACGGGAGAACAGGAGAAACACCGTGCAGACATCGACAGACTTTTTGTGTCATTGGAGGAAGAAGTAAGGCACCCACTCCAGGAAATGAAGGCAGAACTGTCAGAAGCAACCCTGGCCGATTACATTCCAACTGGAGAGACGCCACAAAAGAGAGAGTGGAATTATCCGACACGTCTGCCACGAACCGAAAACCACGAGTCCATCATCGCCAGGTTGCGAGGCTTACCTGACCCTGCCCTCATTACCAAGACGCCTTCATCAGTAAAGACGCCTGGCCGTTCGCCTAGGAAACAAGCATCCCCACGTAAAGGACCATCATCGCCTTCGAAGCTACCGAGTCCAAGCAAGACCAAGATCTTCACCGACGTTGAGAATCCCACGGTCCAGACATCTACGATATCGCTATCGCAAACACAAGGCACCGCAAGTGGGATCCCTGTCAACGAGCAGAAATCTGGGCTGAAGGAAGTCGACATCAATGTTATTAACAGCAACAGACCGATATTGTCATCAGCAACATCCATGACATCGTCCAGCAACGACGAAAAACCGGTACTGCTGGACTTCAGCAAGAGCGTTGGCAGTGGGAGTCAACAGCCACCACTCAAGAGGCACGCAACGACTAATGCGATTGTCGAGAGCAGACTGCCTACTGCGAAGCCCGGCAGGGTGACGAGGAGTACGATGGCTGGATTGGCGGGGATGGGAGTCGGTGGCGTGGAGAATTTCAGTCAAAGTATTGGGCCATTGGGCGGAGGGAGGAGGCTGAGAAGCAGTCCACCTGGCTAGTCACATGGCCTGGGGAGTCGGCATTGTTTTGTTTTTGATACAATGAGTGGGAATTTTTTCAAGGTGGTGGTGGTGTCGGAGGTTTGGGGACATTGCTGCTGGAACCTGACGAATCGAAATCACATTGCGTTCAAGTCGAGTACTGTTAGAGATACCCCTTTCTGTTGTTGTTGTTGCTGTTGTTATCTGTGGGCTTCTTTGCATAATGGAACGACTGATACAGAGGCAGGGATCGACCGACTGTTTGGATACCCGGCAAGGAAGAAAGGACGGATGGATACTTACATAGACTGGTTTCATTGAGAATGCAACACTAGCCAAACAAGAAGGAAATGAACGGGGAGGAGCAGCAGAAGTGGAAGTGGAAGTGGAAGTAGAAACAGGCCCCTAAGTTCCAAATCCCTCACAGACTGACCCGACCACAAGCGTCTTGTGGGCGAATGCTTGTATGGAAAGTGAGTGTGGATGTGGTAGACGATCAAAATCCCGCGCTGGCCCCGGTTATTGCGTGTGTTATGATCTTCGTCCTCCCCCTTTCTCCCTGCTCCCAGCTCCCCCAGAAACCCAGCGTGCGAGGGCGAAGGTCAGGATTATGTATGATGCTTAGGTAGGTGGGTATCTAACCACACCAAAGACGGAGCTGGTTAAGTAAGTAGGCAAGGAAGGAGGTAATTAAGTAAGGAACCAGATGACTCCCAACGCCTGGCGCACCTGCTAGCACTGTGTGTCATGGTAATAATTGTGATTGGGCCCTGTCTGCGCCATTGAAACTCCGTCGTCGATAGATAACATAGCCCCTTTCCAAGCAGCTGGCCGGATCAGACCTCAAAGGTCAAAGGGAATGTGCGTGGTTGGTGGGGGGTATTCTGTCGATTTGGTCTTGACCGAAAGAGCGTTGTTTTTCCAATGTCGACTCTCCTCCTATGACGAGGCCCCTGTCCTTCTGTCCTTTCGGTCGACCTCTCACATTCTTCCTCTCTGATGCCTCATTCCTCTCCACCTAGCGCAGCAGCACCGACGGGCGCACTGATCCCCCCGGCCTCGATGACCATTCTGATATCATCGAGGCGTCGCTGGAACCGATCAATCATCTCTTCCATGCTCTCCCTCTCCCTCTCCCTCTGGCTCTCCCTCTCGGCGTCTCCGGCGGCGGCCTTGTCTCTCTCCTTGCCCGCCGCGAGGTCGCCGGGGGTGTTTCCCCTACCCTCGATGCGCAGCATCAACCCTTCTCCTTCCTCACTCGGCCCGTCCCCAATGGTCGGCGCGGCCGAGATGCTGGTCCGCAAGACCTGCCATTCTGCGCTGAGACTGTGCGCGGACGTGACCTCGTAGTTATAGCCTAGCGGACCGCCACCGCCGCCGCCCGAAGAAGCTGCGCCTGCGGCGGTCGCGTCGTCTGGGTTCTGGGCGCGGGGCTGCGGGTGCACGTCGAGGATGATGTAGTGCTCGTGCATATCGGCCGCGGGGGGAGGAAGGCGGGGTGCGTTGATGCTGTCGTCCTGGTGATGCAGGCTCGGGTCCTGAGAACTGCGAGGTGGCTGGGTCTGCTGCGCGTGTGAAAGGGGCCGCCCCTGTCGTCCCGATGTAGCACCGCCCTGCTCCGCTCGCTGGGTGGGATCCAAGGCCTCGAGGCTCCTCAGCGCCGCCTCGGTGATGAGGTCCGCATCATCGTCCGCAAAGATGTAGTGGACCGTGGGGTGATGGTGTTCGTTAGTGACGCTGTCTTCGATCAAGGTGAAGAAGGGCTGGAAGGACGGGATGGGCAACAACTCGCCCGGATGCGCGGCGGACGCCAGGCCATGGCTGTAGTGTTCCGACTCGGCCACGGCGTGCTCCGAGTACTCGGGGTTGTTGAGGGTGAGGCTCGGTCGGTGTCTGAGCTTGGCCTGTTGATGAGAGGCGACGATGGGGTCGTCTTCAAAGTGCGGAGAGGGCAAGAGGCTGCGGGCGTTTGGAGTCGCCGTGGGCGGTTGCGGTTGAGACGGAGGGAGACCACTACCACCGCCGCTTGTGGTCCGCCGCGATGGGGGTTTGGACGGCGATGATGAATGCGTGGGCACTTGACGGGCCTGCTGGGACATGTCACACGAAATGCCAGAAGGTCAGTTGCGAGGCTACATCGTGACCGATGGCCGCGGCTTTTTGATGAGGGAGGGGGAGGAGCGCAGGCGGAAACAAGATGTTTGCTGGCTGGGCAAAGACGCGAGGCGGTTGTTCCATGCCAGGCAAACAAATTAATGTGGAGAATCATGTGGGGGGGCACAGCACACGCAAGGCTACGAGGCTGCGGCCCTCGTCGCTCTTTAATAGAGAGGGCGACAAATTCGTCTATGGTACAGCCCCTTTGTATACATTGGTTTCAGATCTCCATGTCCTTGCCCTCGACCCAGGCTTTACACTGCCAGTAGAGAAGATCATGCTTGTCTCCACAGTCTTTGCTGCCGCCTTCCACTCCGCTCTCACGCCTGTGCCCAGGCATGTCGCGGAGCACCGTGACGCCCATGGTCACTTCCTGGAGGTAGGCCAGATACCGATAGCCGCTTGGATAGTCCTTCAAGCGCTGCTCGTCGAGGATGGGCACTTTGGCAGGGTTGACGGGGATCAATTTGTCCTAGATGCAGAAAAAAGCATTTCAGTTTCCGCCCGCCTTGTCTTCCGTCGTTTCGCGGTTTCTTTTTCTTACCTTTTCATACCAATGCCGCACGAACCTGGCCCGCCACTCGCCCGTGTCGGGCAGCTTGACCCAGAAAAAGCAGAAGCGGCAGTCGCTCTCGGCGTCGACCTCGCAGCCGTCCACCGCGAATCGCTGGGTGATGGTCGCCTTCATCTTGGTCACCGCCCGCGTGGCCTCGCGGTTGATGTCGGTGGTGCTTCCGTGGCAGCGATGCATGATGAAGGCCCCCTTGTCCATGCCTGCCTGCGATGCCTTGATGAAATCCAGGTAGTGTGTCCTCCCTGTCCAGGTAGTGTAGATGTAAGCGTCGGGGTGGAAGATGGATTTGAGGTTCTCCCATTCGCACGCATCCCTAACCCGGCATCAGCAAAACAGGCGGAAAAGCCGTGCACGTAAGGGTCTCGAGCAAGGGCGCAGACCTATAGAGCGGCCAGCCTTCAGCCAATTCACGCAGCTTGTATCTCTCAAGTACGAGGTTGTCCGGTCCATTATTGCGGACTGCATGTTCGGGCCGCGAGCCGGCCGGTAAGGAATGAAGGTCGACCATTGCTGGAACACAGGATTGCGATAGAAGTCTCAGTCTACTGTACACAAGCAACAGCGTCTGGTTCGGGGAGGAAGAAGTTGATGCAATCAAGGCAAGCACCTGATTCTCCCCCACAAACTCCAGTCATCGGATCGGGATCTCTTCCCGGAACATATGGCATATTATTTCGGCACTTCGACGGCCCATCCGGCCACAGAATCTGCGTAGGTCCTTGTCCTGACGAGTCTCGCCAGTTTCATGGTTTGAGGTCAGTCATTCTGATTCCAGTTTCATTGTCTCTGTCCCACGGCCTCTGGGAGACATCTAGACGCGGCCTATGTTGACACAAATCTGATAGTAATGCAATGATAGCCATGGCAGCTTTGAAAAACAACCAACCCGTTCCAATGCCTTTCCCAGATCCCTCACTGTCCGACCTGGTTAAAGACACCCGACACCGGCCACTCTGAGTCTTGCAACAAATCCTCTATGGCCACCCGGTGCAGTCATCGATCCACTCGGTTGTCGAACAGTAGATCATTGGGATGTCTGCCCTCTTGGCTTTCTCCTCCGACCTCTTCTTCATCGCGGGCTCCGCAGCAGGCTCCACACTACGCTTCTTGACCACGGGGGCAGCAGGAGCAGCATCTTCGGATCTCTTCACAACAGGTTCAGGAGCAGGCCATCCAGTGCAGTCATCAATCCACTCGGTGGCAGAGCAGTAGATCATAGGAGCTCGCTTTTCCACATCCTTGGTGTCTCTCTTCTTCAGGTCGTCCTTGACGGCGTTTGGCGCCGGAGCTCCGCCGTCAGGGTTGGTCAAGGCACCGCCAAAGCCCATGAGAGTGTTCCAGGTCTCAGCGGTGGATCTGTCGCGAGTTCCCAAAGCTCGGATCTTGGCCTGAGACTCGCGGCAAAGAGCCTTTGCGGCCTCGTTTGCTCCACAGACGGTGGCGAGCTGGTCGCAGATTCGGTTGGTAATGATATCTTGCAGCACTGTTAGTCACAGCACCGAGCAAAAGCCAGCGGCGGACCTACTTGGGTTGGTGGTCTCTTGCTGACCACGAGCACACAACGTATCGGTAGGCAAGAAGGTAAAGTCCACCGATGATCGTCCACCAAGACCACCCTCAAATTTCATAGTCGGAAGGCAGAGGCCAAAGTCGGGGTCCTCCCTCATCACCGACTCCTTGCCGTATGACATGACGGCAGCTGAGGCCGAACCAACAGCCACCAGCAGGGTGACAGCAGTGGATTTGACAAGCATTTTGATCTCCCGAGATGCTGGATGAAAAGTAAAGAGCGTGAATGTGACTATGCTGGGGGGAAAGGAGGGACTGTAGAAAAGAGCCGACCAGCGGTAAAGAGCGAGAAAGTGGAAAACAGAACGACGACGACAAGAAAGAATGTTTGGAATAGTGAGAGAGAAACCGACTTGGCAATGGCAGGTCTTGGAAGTTTCTTATAACCAATTGACCCGGTCGCGCGGATGGCAGAGGTGCCGGTTGCACGTTTCGAACATGAGGCGGAGTGTGTCGTGGGTTGCGTTTCACGTGCAGCCAGGGGCTTCGCCCAAACCACTTTGGGCGTCCACCAACACAAAACCTCAAACGAATCCGTCTCTGAACTGGAATCACACTTGGTCTAGAGGAAGAGGAAGGTAGTTGACACCGGTCGGAGGTTGGTCAGCAGCGAGGAACAGTAAGACCGTCTTTCGCTCTGAGAGGAGAGCCAATCTCTGGATCTGCAGCCACCCAGAAAGCTTCGAGAAAAAGACCACGGGTGTAGGGTCCTCGGCGGGCCACAGACAGCGCATTCATGACGACCAGAGCCTAGAGATTCAATTCCACTCATGTTCCTATGTCGCCATTGGTTGTGGTAGGCATATCAAAGCATGTCCCTGGGCTCGAGGGCGGATGTGTCTGCGGGACCCCTCAATTTGATTAGGACCATGTGGGCATGTCGGAGATGGGCACAGGGAAACGATTTCGAGTGTAGAGTGAGCAGCAGAGTGAGACTGGATTGCACGGCTTCCATGCCATCCTTGGCGGTAATTGCCCTCGGGTTGAGGCGATCGAGCATCTGAAGCATAATGGTGAAGCGGACAGTGTCGCAAGAGAAAAAGGAGGAGCAGACAGGGAGACGGGAGATCTAGAAAGGGCTTAGCCTTTTGCATCACGTGAACAGAATGCATCACGTGACTATCACGTGCATGCGTGCAGACGGCGTGTCCTACGACATCCCTTGGTGCTTGCTGTGATATCGAGTGTTGTATGGTATATTTAATTTAACTGGAGGGAAGATGACTAGACAGAAAAGTGGTGTTGAGGCCAATGCTGCAGTTCATCAACAGGCGGGCCCGGTCAATTCAGTACTTATGGACATTTCTCCCTGAATATGCTGGGACTCATGCCTACGGCTCGTTCTCATCATCATTTTCTTCGTCACGGACTTTGGGTCGTCGTCTTCGCCGCCGCCGATCTTGAGAAGCAGCATCCTCACGATCTGCGTTCGACTCATACTCGACGTCTTCTCCTCGCTCCTCCTCTCTCACTTCCTCCTCATCCCTTGTCCATTGGGTCTCGTCGACCTGATTCACCCTCGCCCGTCTGTCCATCTCTTCCATGATGTCTTGTCCCGGCAATAATATGGCACGGTCGATGGCCATTGGCAAGATCCTGTGGCGGCCCCTCAGCATGACCGTCATGAGGACCAACTTGGACAGGGACTGCCAGGCGCCACAGAAACTGTAGTCATCGTAGGGCACACCCAGCGAGAGTCCGACGGTGCCATAGGCAGATACCGTTTCGAAGATGATGTCAAAGAGGCCCGCGCCGAACGCTGGGTGGGGGGAAGGCAAAGACTCTGGATCTGGTGGTGTGGTGGCCGCCGGAGGCGAGGGTGCAAGCTTGTCACGCTCGATGATTGAAACGAGCCAGACGCAAGCGAGAATCCACCAGATGTCATAGGCTAGCTGCCGTCGAAGATGTTGGCCGAGCCTGGACTTGGTTTTATGCGGCTTCTCGCCGTTTTGGAGAGCAGCTTGGGTTTTGGAGTCATCGTCTTGACCGAGGGACCGCTCCTCGTAAACATTGGTCTGACGCACGGACAGGAGGATCGGGAAGACAGAGATGTACATGATCACCATGTACAAGAATTGCAGAGCTGGAGCCACGTCGGAGAGGAGGATGATGTAGAAGCCTGAAGAGCGCAGCCCGACCGATTGATACAGCCCCTGGAAGACGCGGAGGCCTCCAGGGATAAGAGGATCCACAGGTGTGTAGTTGATGTTGAGGAGGATGAACATGACCCAAGCGATGAGGTTGATGGCGATCTGGACGAACAGTAGGCCGTAGGTGGTTTTGGCGGGAAACAGGAAAAGATAACAGCGGCGCGGGTGGTGCAGAAGGAATTGGAGCGAGTGGTGCGTTTCCGAACCTCGCGGGACGGCCTTGGAAAGGAGCCAGATGGCCAGGCGTAGGAGGACTGGGTAGAAGGTGTTCCCGGTAAAGACAACCATGCCAGTAAAGACCAGGACAAAGTAGTTTTTGGCCAACGGAATCATGTTGGCGTTCAAGAGACTGAGGCCGCTGTTGGTGTATGCCGAGACACCGACGAATACAGACCACCATGCCGGGTTCAAATGTCCTGGCTGAGCCGTCCTGATCACGGTTCCAGCGTTGGTATTTGACACATAAGGGGTCATGACCACCGTGATCAAAGCCAGCCAGAAGACGGCGTAGGCCGGCAACAGCCACGTCAGAAGTCTCAGAGCGCGGTACTCGACGCCGCCTAGCTCGCGCTCCTGTTCATTTGTCAACGCACAGAATCGTCCCTTGTGGTCCAGGTTGGGCTCAAAGGAGAGATAGGAATGATCGGCCACTCGATGGGTTCCGAATTTCCTGTACGTCCACCTGGCCACGCGACCGGCATAGCTCCATGGCGCGGGAAAACCGCCATAGCCGCGAAGATGATGCTGGCCGTGAGATGAAGAATGCTTGGTCATTGTGGAATGCTCTTGTCTAGGAGGGCGAGAGGCGTCTGGCCGTCTCTGGCGGGCTTGCTGTAGAATTGGACGATCCGAGCCAGTGGGCGTACACCCATCGGCCTCAATGTCGGAGGCTATTCTCTGCGCAGCCTGGGAATGCTGGAGGAATTCCCTGATGTATTTGCCAATGAAGTAGCGCCGCACAATGACGACGGAAATGCTGACCAAACTGAGATCTCCCATCAACATGTTCACAAATAAGACCGACTGCTGGAAGCCGTTCAGCGAGCCCAGATTGACCGTGGTGAGGCCGACGTTGCACATTGCCGAACAGCACAGGAATAAGGCGTCGACATATCTGAGCTTGAAGTCCGCGGTGCTGGATCCCCAGAGGATCGCCGACGAGACCAGGATGGCGGCGATGAAGTAGAGGAGATGGATCCGATAGAAATTGGGTCGAACCACAGCTTTCAGCCGGGAGAGTTTCGATTGCTGTGGGTTGTGTGCGATGCCGCCGCCCATCTCGACCGAGTGGCACCTGGGGTCTCATGCGCCAAGGGTCTCGTATGCCGCAGGGAAGATCTTTGGATCACAATAGCCTGCACGAGCTTCATTCCGAGTTTGATATCGGGAAATAGACTTTCAAAGGCATGGGCCGGTTCATCGGATGGCTGGTGTTGGCTGTATCGTCATTGGATATGACATAATTGAGCGACTAGGAACGAGGCACTTCACCGCGTGCTCAAAGGACGTATATTTCAACATAACACAGCATCAGGACACTGGCCACCTCTAAGGAACTTCGTCTTTGAGATAAAGAGTTGGGCGGGAAGAGCAATGGGGCACGTTGTGATACAGCCTTGCGCAAGGCTGAACCCACTCACGGAGACCACAGGACGGATAGAACGAATGTGGTACAAAAACATGCCATTTTATTCCGTTGCCTTGTTTCCAATCCCGAGTCCAGCACACCATCCGTACAGTTTGGACTTCCATGCTCGCGTCTGAGAACGCCGCCAGGGACCATCTCCAGTCCTTTTCGTTACCCAAACATCTCGAAAAGCCAGTTGACTCCGGCCCGGGGAAACTGGCATCTCAGACAGGATTGTCATCTCCTGCATGTGCCTCGGCGTCGAAAACCTTCAATGGCCTATGACAAGTTCGTGCTCATACAATCATGCTTCATCCCACCCAATGCAACGGCAAGTCATGGACTCGTTTCACTTGACTTCGTGCTCACGTACCTCATTTTGTTCGTTCTTCTGTTGTCCCGCACGGATCGACTCTGGTGCCACAGCGGCATATGGGTCCTCATCTACTTCACCGTGGTCGCGTGCTTGGCTCTCCATATCGAGCTCGATGCCGGCCTTTTCCTTCTCCATGATCTCCGTCTCCGCCTCCGATTCGCCCATCTCAACACCGTCCGCCGACACCGTATCCTCGTCCCGCTTGACCGTTCCCACGCGACCACCACGAAACATTCCACCAAACGGTGACCTCTTCCTCGCCACTTTGGGGCTCGGCTCTTGCACCTCGATGACGATGGGCCCGGTCTCCTTTTCCGCGTACTTGTCAATGAACGCCTCCTTAAGGACTTCGTAGAGGAAGCTGTACTGCAATTCGTTCATGACCATCATCATGCGCTGTTCGCGCAGCGTGTTGACGGTTTCCCATATGGGATCATCTTCATCTTTTGGATCGGGTGTGCTTGCTTTTGGAGGCCCGCTCCTGCCCCACGTGCCTGCGCCGTTGGAATTCGTTGTCGGTGTATGCGTACCTGTCTGAGGAGCGGAAGACTCAACCAGTCGGCCTGCTTCAAGCTCTTGTAGGAGGAAGTCCAGCGCTATCCAGGTGCCGGTCCGACCGACGCCGGCAGAGCAATGCACAATTCGGGGAGAATCGCCCGCAACCGCTCTTGACACCTTCGTCAGTTCCAGCAGAGCCCTGCGATCCTCTGCCTCGGGCTTGCCAAAATCTGGCCAACCATGGAACAGGTAATGATAGATGGTTTTGGCTTCACCGTCAATCGTCAATCGAAGTTTGCGGACTTCACAGCCAATCTTGGCGTCGTAATCTCGGGAAAGGAGAGTAACGGAGCCACATTGCCCTTGCTCTTGGGCCGGAGCTTCTTGTCCGTCATCTCCACGGCCGCTTCGTGCCTCGTTTTCAGGATCTTCAGGATCTGTTCCAACACTATCAGTCTCAGCGCTTCTCGGAGGGGAGTCCAGAAAGGGATCACCGTCATCCAGGGTCTCTGCGTCTCCATCATCATTGCCATCCTCGTGGGCAGGCAGAACTATCGTCGGGTTGTCCATATCGGGAGGGAAGTACTGGGCGCATTTCTCCTTGTTTCCTTCATAGAGCTGTGTAAGCATGATAACGACGCCAACGTCGCCCGGTGTTTCTTGCATAACCATGTGCCAAAAGTGGGAGAATTGCCCTTCCTTTGGACCTTGGGTGGCGATGTAATTACTTTCGACTGGGGCTGGCAGAGGAAGAGAGGGTTGGCCAGTCGACGCGGGAGTTGAAGTACCACTCCGAGGCTTTTTAGCAAGGCGACTCCTGAGGGTGATGGGGGACGCGTTGACATAGTCAGAGCCGCCAATTGGGGTTTTCAGTTTGACTCTTGATGATTCCCAGGGCTGAACATTGCCATAGCGGTTGCGGCTGATGACGGCCAACGAGCGGTCGACGCGGAATGGAGACGTGTGTGGATTTTGAGAGGCATGCTGAAGGCGATATCTCTGCTTCCACTCCAGTTCCTGGAACGCCAATGAGATCTCTATTGCCCCCGCCAGTTAGATGCCCGGACGACTCAAAGAGCAGAATTTATTTCAGGTCCTCCTTTACTTACTGGCCCGGGTTTTGTTTAGGTAGGGAGGTATCTTGACATTCATCTGCCTTGCTGAGTCATCAGGCTTGCCAACCACACCGTTAGATTGCGCCTGGCCGCGAGAAGTCGGTCGCGAGACGTTGGCAGACATCTCTTGAGACCGTTGCCTCTTGACGGACCCCTGCGGCGGAGTGCTCAGGGATAAAGATTGCGGCATGATATCGGTGATCTCGGCGATGGTTGCGGCATCGGAGGAATGAGATGAGCCAGCCCGACTCACGGTGGTTGAGAGAGGGGGAAGCGAAGAGGAGGTGGTGGGCCGGATGGTAAGGTTTGGAGTAGGTTTGTTCTTCCTCCCAGACGTGTGGATATGCAGTCTTTGCAGGATTGATGGACGTTTGGGAGGGGTTTGGTTGGAAGATTCCCCAGAGGAAAGATCCTGGGGAGCGGCACCGGCTTTGTCAGCGAACAGCCTTGAGACAGTCGTTGTGATAATGAGTGGCGGTGTATAAAAGGAACGACAAGAGTTTGAGCTTCTCTGGACACAAAGAAAGGCCAGCGCTCAATCGCTCGCTGCGTGGACAAAGAAGGTTGGAAGATGCTTGGCGAGCAGTGGTTGATTGCAGGTTGAGGTTCGTCAAAGCCGCCCCTGCCAGACCTTGCAACTGACGATTTGGCCGCTTAATGGATTTCTTTGGCAAGACCTTGGATGGTCGTAGGCATCAAAAGCGCCTCGTCCGATTGGGATCGTCGCTCTGGGGTTGAGCAGCGAACCTTCAGATATGGCCGTGCGCCTTTATCGGTTTCAGGAAGCGCCGGAGGGGTCTCAACGTCGAGGGGTCGCTGAGATGCTGCGCCAGGGGCAGACAAAGGGAAGAATGTTTGCTCAAGGAGGCAGACAGCCGATAGCCTTGTTCCAAGGGAGATCTTTAATGGGTACTTTGATATGGATTCCTGTGCTTAAGCGACTATTGCACTGTTCCAATCAAGAAGGAAATCCAGAGAGAGAGAGCAGAGAGGCTGAATGGCTGACCTCATAATGCAGACGTCTAGCTACAACCAAGCTTTTGGGTAAATCTACGTAAAGTACCAGTCATTGTTCCATGTCACCCGCTATCACCCGGCTGTTGGGGCCCCTGTTGACAGTATTACCGTGGTATCGTTGTGTCATATTACAGCGCTCGGAGTCGTCTGGCACCGGATGCGGAGAGAAATTGACTAATTATTTCAGACTTTGGCAGAGGCGTCAGTTTGTCGCAAAATCGAACAGCATCAACCCCAAGCACCAGTCCTTCATATTGAGAGGGATCTTCCTCCGCCGAGCATTTCATCGAGGCTGCGCTTGGACTACCTGATCGCCGTCTTCCTCACAATGGCTTGGTGGTGGCTTCTCGAGGTCTGATTGTTTCGCCGCTCATTTGCCTCGCAACACAACCCACTGACATCCACACAGAAGCGATTAGTAGAAATGGTAGGCCATCCCTTCACAGGCCAGGACCTCTCTCTCTCTCTCCCTCACACACACACATACACACGCACGCTCGATGAGACATCTAACCAATCGTGATCCTTCAGCTCCTTCGAAGCCCCTCCTTCCATCGTGGCGTCCAGCGCGTCCACAAAAAAGTCCATGAAATCCAACATGGCAAGCCGCCAGAATACTATGGCGGCACGCACCTTGACCGTACGTGTCCGGAAATATCTTTTTCTGCTCCCGCCTACAGCACTGTTGTGCTCCCCCAAAGAAGAAAAGAACTACGCTCATATGTTGACATGTGAGACAGACGACCAAGCCACCGAGCGTGGCGTTGGCCACTTTCTCAAGCTATTCTGGGAGGAGCTGAAGACGGGGCACAAGTCTGAACCGCCCACGAAGAAATGAAGAGCGGGAGATGACACTGCAAGATTTGTGTGAATGTTGTACATACGACCGCTCACTGAGCTTGTCGAGTTTGAACGGTCTGATTCGAGCGAAGGTGTTGGAGGCGCACATACGGTTTGCTCTCGAAACTCATTTGCCATGATGTGCCTGAAAGCACGGTTGGACGGATTTGTGAGTGCCTCCTTTGTGGATCAATGCCTATCTTAAGTGCAAGGGAGATACAACAGGCATCCGATCGCATTTGGTCTTGCGCGGATTCCCTGAATAATGCCAAATTATTCTGACCAAGGTAAGGCCCCGAAGTGAGATACCGGCAGCAGTTACCACGGATGCTTGAAGGATATGGGTTATGTTCAGAAACCTCTGGATAAATGCTATGTCATCGGATAAAGATTGGGTTGGCTCATTCTCTCTCTACATGGGGGCTCGACCCTCATTCCATCCGAAGAGCAGATTTCGTGCCAGCCAAGTTAGTGTGTGTTGCTTCTCCTCCTAGGCATCACAGACCGAAAAACGAGGAACGGCAGACATGAAAATGTCTTGGAAAAGTGGACTACAAAAGCCGCCATTGTGGATCAGCATACACGGGCATCTGGTGGCTCTGAAGAGTGCTACTATGTGCCACAAAGGTGTATGATGTTCTCTGCATTTTGTCAACTCCCTGCCACAGTCACTTCTGAAGTGTCGACCCAGTCAACAATCGACCAACGGGGACCCGAAAGGCGGCCTGGAAACCCGACTTTTTGGGTCCGAGGGGTGACAAGCGACGGGAAATTCAAAAATGTCTCCAGTTTGCTGCCCAAACCTGTTTACCTGAGGTAGCAAAGATCTGTAGGCCTCGAAAATGAGGCTTGAACGGCCGTGGGATTCCAACTTGGGTCTACCGCTCTCATTCGCCGGCCAGAGGGCTGAGAGATCTCGTGTACAAGTCAACGGCTGAGGAACCCGATACAGCGGTGTGAGGCTGTCGTCCAGATTCGGGGGTGTTGGACCACGATGGCATGCTACTGCTGTCATGCACGTCAAAGAATCCCCGGGAGGGCAGTCGGGAGACGCAGCTGCCTGTAGCAGGGGAAGGAGGCGGGACGGATTTGAAAGCAGTTGGATTACAGAGGGTCCATTGCCCGCAGCCGGCCGCACTGCAGCGGAAAGGGAGTGCGATCAAAGGACACACGGCATACTCCTTCTTTTCCAAACTGCTGTCATCCCTGTTGGCAACCTGCCGAATCGGTCAATGCTCCGATCCCATCTCCTCGCACCAGCCCAGAGCAACAAACGGCGGTGAAAAAGAGAAAAGGGGTGCAAAGTGAGGAAGGCGAAAGAGATCTGCGAAGTTGAACAGGCCACACATATGTTGGACGCAGTGGGTGTTCAGATGCCTGATTCACCTACACCTACGTTGCGCTGCGCCATGCGTGCCCATCAGCAGAGTGCGAATTCCCTGACGGCGACAGCAGGGGACGGTTTGTTTGTCAACCTGTGGTTGGTGAACCATTCATTTGTTAGCGCTGTGGAACATCGCCATGTCCAATCAGTGCCACCAGTTCGAGCTGTCAACAGACGATCCAACCCGCAGATCCTGGTGATGTGACGGGCATCCGCTCAAGTCGACTGAATTCAAGTACGCCGAATCCCTGCAATATCCATTGTGATGTTGGGCATGCCGGTGTCGCTTTGCAGATGTGCTCAAACACTGAGCTGTCAACACTGCAGGACACCCAATCAGATGTAGAATCCGGTGGGGTTTGAAGGCTGAACTCAACACTTGAGTTCCAGAGATTTGCAGGATCTGGTGCGTACAAGCAGAGAGTTATTGGACGCCTTTGGAGGATCTCCATCGACGGGTCAGGTCGGTCTTGGGGTAAGATGCACTTGGAACCCACAGCCAGATCGAATCGACCTTCTCCAATGTCCCGGATGGCGAGGAGGGGGTCGTTGAGGGTTTCTGAGGGCTGACTGCGCTACCCTTGGACGCAGCGAGACACATGTCATCTGGCTTGTAATGGAAACCCAAAAGCACCAATGGCTCTTTGCAACCTCGTCACCCACTCCACTCTTCGATGGACATTAAACTCCAGCCGTGGAGCCCGATGTAGTTTCAAACACCTAGGAAAACAGAGGCGAGAGGCATGCGTCATGGTCCTACCCCTCAAAGCGCTGAGAGTATGTTCACCAGAGTTCCCTTGCACTTCCGGCGTAGAAATCACCACATCTTGGGCGAGAGGCGGCGGACTCCGAGCAGTTTTGGTTGTCATTGGCCATATTGTGATCTGGTTCTGTTGATGGGCGGGGGCCGATTGCTCGCTTGAACAGGGCGAGTGTCTGGGGAGCCAATTAGTGAACAATGCCAGTGATTGATTTGCAGAGCTCCTGCGCAACCGTTGAGAAATGGCTGCACACCCACTGTGACTAAGAAAACGTCACAGCCGCCAGCCAACCACCAACCCAAAACCTGGCCGCTGGAGTAAAAGAGTGCAACCTACGGGGCCAGTATGCGGAGTGATGCGGCCGGAGTGGTTCACATGCGCAGTTTTGCTCCCTTCCCCCTTGTTGAAGAGGGCATCAGCAAGATCAGCTGTGCAACCATCGGTTGCACGTAGCGGCCACGAAAAGGAGGAGTCGAGCGATCCTACACCCTTTGGGGACAGGGCCTGGACAATGGCGGCTGGCGCTAAGACATGCAGGAGATCGTTGATCACTCAAGAGAGGGGGCAACCGATACCCAGATTCAGAGACACTGAGCAAAAAAGTCTGTCAGGGTTGGCCAGTGGCGAGGACGCCTGACATTCCTCCTTCTTCTTAAGGAGAAATAAGGCCCGAGCGCTTCACATTCTCAACGATAATGGTGCTGACCTCCCAGTTGTTACCTCGTATTTCTTGATGGGGAGCTGAAAATAGGAAAAACAGATGGTTGGTGCTGCCAACCATGGGGGTTGTTGAAGGGGTGGGGAATGCCTTGCAAAAAAAGCCCTTTCAATCTGATCGTGATTTGGACGGGTTGGACTTTGCCTGCCACGTGTTGGTGGCGTCCTGCCAGTTGCAACAATGCAAGCGATACCCACCCTTTGTCCATGACATCTGTTTAGGACATGGCACAACATCAGCAGCGTGAATTGACCTGGACAAAACCACAAACCGGAGAAGGGATCCTGGCTTCTGAGAAAAACCACCAGATAGAGTTCCCGGTGGACATTCCACATTGTCAAGCTCTGAGGGCATCGCTTGCCCGCGTCTCTCTGTCTGCTCCGACCTGGCCGCCCTTCCCGGAGATGCAAAAGCAAGGCAGCAATACGAGTGTCCATTGCAGTGGGCGTGGCGTCCAGTCAAAGTCACCTCCAGGTGGTCCCTGGCAACGAGACATTCCGGGCATCTTTCAGCGACCGTGGTCTGGTGCGGTTGGGACCCAATAATCGACGAGACCCTGGGTGAGCGATGGGCAAGATCTCCTCATGGGAATTGGACGAACCTTGGCCCATGAGACGGCCGCAAATGTGACTGGCAGGTGTCAGGGCGGCACCACTCAACCTCGCCCATAACCATTGCTCTGACTGGTTGATCCGAGTTCGAGTCAAAGGGGGACTGACTCTCTGAGGGATATTCGGGAGACGCAAAGGCGGTTAGAGAAAAGCCCACAGCTTCAAAGTATGATGCTCGCTCCACATCACATCGACGCCAGTACAACTTGCCTAGCTAGTTGTGGACTCAAAATGTCCCTTTCAGGGAAAGGTTGCACAGCAGCTGGGCGAAGGACGGCATGCAGCATCACATGCTCGATCCGGTCAACTGGGAAGGCTAAACCGTAGATTCCTGACAGCTGTCAAGATGCGCCTTTCCAGCTCCGCCGCAACCTGGTGGCTAGAGCTGTGATAGGAGGTCGCTGAAACTCTGGCAGATCAAGCTCGATGCGAGGCAGCCACATGGTTTCGAAAGCGCCGCCCTGATTTGCCCCCCCTCCCACCCCCCCCCAAGCAGCAGGCCGGAGATGCATCGGTTGCCCATTTTTCGAAGCTCACCGCCTTCTATCAGGAAACCCACGGTGGGAAGGAGGTCCCGAAAGCCTCCTGCTGCTCAAAGAAGCAGTTGACGCCGCAGATCAATACCTATGTACGTACGATGGCATGGTAAGGGGCAAATTCGCCAATGCCTGATAATATTAACCGGCATTTATTTGGCGGAAAGAACTAGATAGCCGAGTGCGACGGGGGAATCTGAGGGTTTCCGTATGCCGGAATGGGGTCGGATACAGCATGGTGGAAACTTAGCTGCTGTATCGAGTACGGAGCAAACATCCTGCGCGCTCGGTTCTTGCTGGGCAGGCAGCTGGCAAGTAGGGAAAAAGAAAGTTCGATGGAAAGTCGACGCTGGCGCGGCCACAAATCAATAGCGGCGAATCGATGCAACGATGCTATACATCATTGACCCCAAAGTACGGGATCAGAAGTCTCTGATACGTCGAAAGGGATCGATCTGAAAGGGATGACCGCAAAGTCTAAGGCCCAAAGGCTGCCCCGATTTGATTCGATAAGCTCTCGGATCCCACGTGTACTCGATGGTCGACGTTGGCTCTGACACGGCTCAGCACCTGTGACTCGGAGTCCATTTCCACCTCCTCGACCCAAACCGCCTCCGGTCTTCCTCCTGCTCACTTTTGTCAGGTGTCACTGTAGCCCAGACATCCCTAGCTTTTGCGCCGAAGTCTATTTTGCCCAAATCTCGCGAATCATTGGCAGAGAAAGATGTTGTAGGGAGCACGTCAATGCTGGAACTCTAATGGCCAACATGCCGTGAGGTGTGTTGGATTTGGGAGCGTCAAACGACCAACCGAGACTGGTCTTTGCGAGCGCGGCCATCGCCTTCGCATCTCGACCTCGCATCTCGACACGAGAGCGGATGCTGGAGGCGTTGTTGCCGTTAGTGTTCTGGCAAAGCCCAAAGGAGATTGAATGGTTTTACTGGCACTCGGTAAGACGGTAACTGCGTAGAGTTGCGCACAAAAGGTTTCGCATTGGCGCCAGAGGCGCCTTCGCTTAGCTGGGTATCAGGGTGGTGGAGTTGTTGTTGCTGCGCATTCGAGGGAGCGAGGGCGGTTCAGCCAGATAGGCCATGGAGAGGATCGAGCGTCGAAGCGATGGTGCAAGGGCCTGGCAAAGTAGTAGGCGAGACAATTTTGGCATGGTAGGAAGCGGCAAATTTGGTCCCAGAGATCCAAGTTCAGTGGGCGAGTGGGTGAATGGGTTGAAGGAGTGGGTGAGCCAACGACCAATCCAGACTCGAACTAGCCTCCAAATTGGATTTCTTACTGTTGTTACACAGCATGACACGAAAAGTGTGAGCAGTCCCAAAGGCACCCGGCGGAAGCAGACCCGGGGACTTTGCAGCACGCCCAGTGGTGAGTGTGCGGTGATGCATCTCCACTGCACTAAATCAATTGCTCTCGAGCTGTGCAGTTGCGGCGGCAGTCGGCAAGTCTCAACCCTCAACTCGAGGCCCCAAGTCTTGAGATTCCAGGGCGGGGGAGGCAAGGGAAAAAGGGCGTAACAGAGGGGATGGCGCAGGAAAGACAGCCCAGCCCACGGGTGATGGTCAAACGTGCGGAAGCGAGAAGCAGATCTCTGGAGTTCTCCCCAAACGAGCTGCCTGCAGGGTGCTCGACACACCTACAGTACTAGGTGCCTGCCTAATCGATACTTGTAGGGGGCCGTATGTGCCTACTGGGTAACTCGTAGGTAATTACGTAGGTAAGGACTGGGAAGGCAGGCAGGTAACCAAGCAACGAGGAATATGATTTCCAGCTGGGTTGCAGGGCGACCTTCTTGGGCGGGGGGGTGGTGGTGGGTTGTTGCTCCTGGTGCTGCTGTTGTTGTTGCTGTTGTTGCTACTCCTCCAACAATGCCCCAAAACAGTTGCACCATCATTCTCTCCCGGGGCCCCTGCTCTCTCTCTCGCGCCCGCCCTCTGTCTTTCGCCCCCCCTCCTCACTCTTCCTTCTCTTTTGGTGAGTGAGCCCTTTGGCCCTAAGAGCCCACTCCCTAGCCGGCCTTCTCTCTCTCCTCCCCCCCGCTTTTTCTCTGCCTCTGACTGCAATCCGACCAACTCCATCAACTTCCCAGCTCCGACCCTTCCCCCCCCCCCCCCCCCCCCCCCC